GAACCCAAATCTTGAATACCATATTTTTTATAGGTTTTATTTTTTTTTTCGTTTTGTTTCAATGTGTATCAATTCACAAATTATCCCAAAAATTATCCCCCAACTCATAAAAACTCATGAAAATCAATTGTTTACTTATATTTTGTCTTTAGATCCTTATGACGCGTGACTGAATCCAACCATCTGTACATTACATAAGGCTCGATAAACAGATCAGTCGATCGAGCACCCCGGATAAATGTAATTTTAGAAATTTATTGCGTTCTGTGTAATGTAAATGGGTGTTGTAATTCACGCAGAAATAACTGCGTTTCGAGAGGAAAACAATGAAATTGGACTTCCATCGATGCCTTTGAATATTTATTCATTCGAAATTATGCTGTGAGTGCGGGTCAAATTCGGCTATTTAGGTTCCATTCGAAAACTGTCACCACGGTAATTGTCATTCAACATTTTACATTTAAGGGGAGACTACTATGGGGTTTTAAAAGTCGTGGGTTATTGGAGTGAGACTTTTCATACGCGCTCCCGCGCGCGCTGATCTATTCATTTGTTGAAATGAAGAAATGGAATTCATTGAATTTCATTTTCCCATGAATACCTTATAAATATTGATAATGAATCAAAGAGAATTCGACTAATGATTGAAGTGAATAGCGAAATAGAGTAAAAGAACCTATAAAGAATTTTTCATTTTCAATTAATTATCTTCAATTTTTTTAAAAATAATCGGTCTCCATAAAAGGACAGAATTTATTCATTTCACCGATGATATATATTTATCATGTATATATATATGACGTGAAAAAAAAATTTACCACTGAAGAATTTGAAATTATGTCACTGAAGAATTTGAAAATGCCGCCTGTTTTTTTGTGAATAACTTCGTGTCACCTGTTGACCAATCAGAATTAAGGATTAGCGGTCAGGCAGTTTCGAGATATTTCGATATAAAACAACTTCACGTTTCTTTCATCTTTAGTAAATAGGATAGTAGTCTCCCCTTAAATTTAAGGGAAATAATTATTGTAGTAAAACTGAAAATATAATTACCTACACGTATATGGGAACACATTCCGCAGAACTGCAGTCTCATTATTTAAGTAGTGTAAATAAACTCCAGTTCAGGCACTACCTCCAAAGAAAAAAAATAAATTCAAAAAGCCAAAAAAAATTATTCATCATTGATAATTTTTCCCATGAATTCTAACTTTGATGATTCAGTTTACATGGAGTTGATTTTTATTTAGTACCACATATTCCTCCGAATTCCGATTTAAAATCTTGAAAAAATGAAAAGAATACGATGCAATAAAAAAATTGTAATTGAAATTTATTCTGATTAAAATTATTCATCTTTGTTATATTTTCAGTCACGTGAGCGCCTTGCAGTTGTCATTCAATATTGAACATTTGAAATTTGAGCGAAAAAAAATTCCTGTCATAAAACGCGAAAATATAATCCAAGTAGTATACGTAAACTCCAGTTCAGACGTTGAGTGTAAAAAGGAAAAATAAATTCAAATAGCCAAAAAAATTATTCATCATTGATAATATTTCCCATGAATTCTGACTTTGATGATTCCGTTCACTTGGAATTTACTGTTAATTATTACCACATATCCCTCCGAATTTCGATTTAGAATCTTAAAAAACTGAACATAATACGCTAGAATGAAAAAAGAATTATAACTGGGATTTATTCTGATGAAAATTGTTCATCTTTGTTATATTTTCAGTCACGTGAGTGTCCTGCAGTTGTCATTCAGTATTCAACATTTGAAATTTAAGCGAAAACAAATTAGTCATAAAACGCGAAAATATAATTCAGTAGCGAAGTGGTAAAGCGGTTTAAGTCGACTTATCTCTTACTTGAGTTTTTGAAGAATATCTCCGAATCCAAAGGAGGTAACAAAGTTTTCGTAATGACCTTTTTTCTAGAGCAAATTGAGTGCTACAAAAAAGGTTCTAACAAAAATTTAGCTATCTTCCTTAGATTCCGAGATATTCACTGAAAACTGGCCAATAATCCAAAATCGATTTAAACCGTTTTACCACTTCGCTACTGACTTCAAGTAGTATACATAAATTCCAGTTCAGACCTTGATTGTAAATTGATAATTGATATTAACAATTTTTCCCATGAATTTTAACTTTAATAATTCAGTTCACTTGGAGGTTATTTTTATTTACTATCAGATATCCCTCCGAATTTCGACAGAAAATCTCTTAAAAATCTAAAGAGAGAGATAGGATGAAAAAGAATTATATCTAGAATTTCTGACAAAAATTATTCATCTTTGTTATATTTTAAGTCCCGTGAGTAACCTGCAATTATCATTCAATATTTAACATTCGAAATTTAAGCAGAAAAAAATTGCTGTCATCAAACTTGAAAATATAATATAATTCCCTACATGTGCATGGGAACACATTCCACAGAAGAACATTCTCAGTAGTAAAGTAGTATAAATAAACTCCAGTTCAGACGTTGAGTGTAAAGAGGCAAAATAATCAATCGACATCCCCCAGTTGAGTTTTTGAGGAATATTTCCGAATCTAAGGGAGATAGCGAAATTTTCGTAATTACAATTGTTGTAGCTCTGAATCGGGTCTACAAAAAAGGTTATATTAAAAATTTTGCTATCTCCCTTGAATTCCGAGATATTCATTAAAAACTGGTCAATAGTCAAAATTGACTTGTACAGTTTTACCACTTCACTACTAAATTCAAAAAGCCAAAAAAAAATTATCCATCATTGATAATTTCTCTGATTTATTCTAACTTTAATGAGTAAGAAATTAATCCATCAAATTCAGTAACGAAGTGGTAAAACGGTACAAGTCAATTTCGACTATCGACCCGTTTTCACTGAATATCTCGGAATCTAAGGGGGATAGCAAAATTATTGTTATAACCTTTTTTGTAGAGCCGATTGAGTGCTATGACAAATGTAATTACGAAAATTTCGCTATCTCTCTTAGATTCGGAAATATTCCTCAAAAACTCAACTGGGAGATGAGTCGACTTAAACCGTTTTACCACTTCGCTACTGAATTCTTTCTTCAATTATTTTTTTAAACAATAGTCCCTCGTTTGAGTAGGGTGTTTCGACATAACACGTCAATCCGGGTACGCAGAAACATAAATTATTTATTACAAGAGTTGCCACTGACGATAATTTTTATATTGTGCCCAGAATTTTTATTCACTTTTTCTGATTTTTTCGGGACTTTAATCTTCTGAATAACCGCTAAAAGATCATTTCCTCACAAGACTCAGCATTATTTTTGCACTTTCAGATTAATTATCATCAATAATACTAGACTTCCGATTGAAAACAAACGCAACCAGAATATGTCCATTCATATTAAGGATGTATTACAGCCTTTTCGCCAAAATTCACGTTTTTTGAATTTTTCTGGGAAATTGTTAATCGGATTGACGTGAAAAAATATACCGTTTTTGCGTTTTTTCATTACTCAATGGCTCACGAAATTTCATGATCGTGCAATGATTTCCTGCGTTTTTTCTAAAACTTTTCGGAAATTCACAAAAGTTTTGAAAAAATGCAGGAAATCGATTGCACTACCATGAAACTTCGGGAGTCAGTCAATAGTGATAAAACGCAAAAACGGTATATTATTTGACGTCAATCCGATCAATAATTTGCCAGAAAAATGAAAAAAACGTGAATTTTGGCCGAAAGGATATAGTACATCCTTAATTTCCGTTTAGAATTTACGTCAGATTTTAATTCTCACTAGATCTGTGCGCGCGCTTTCGCGCGCGCTTATCTTTTTGTTGTGAAAATGAAGAAATCGAATTTATTGATAATGACTTAAAGAGAATTAAGAGAATGAAGAGAATGAACAATGAAACATCAATGAATAATTTTTAATCTTCGATTAATTCTTTTCTTTTTTACTTTTTAAAATAATCTGATTAAAATCTGTAATTGTTGAAAAATTAGGGGAGGGTTATGAATTGATTTCCTAGAGAACTGAAAAAATTTCTTGAATTCTTCGGAAAATTTCACAGTTTTCTAGATAATCGTAGATCACAGATTTTTCTCGAATTATTTGGGAAACCAAAGAATTTTCGTGAATTTTGAAGAGTTTAGAATTTATGTATGAAAATCTGAAAAGCCAGAATTGATCATTTTGGCGTGTGATAAATATGAAAAAATTAAAATTTGGGAAGTGAAGAATAATTTGTGAGTTGAAAAAATGAAAAAATATGACGCAGAAAACATTTTTGGCATTTGAAGAATTTGAAAATACCGGTGTTTTTTTCAACAACTACTTCACGTGACTCATTGACCAATCAAAATTGAGGATTAGCGGTCAGGCAGTTTCCAAACCAATAATACTAGACTACAAAAACAAAAAAACAACCAAAATTCAACAAATTACCCAAAATTCACAAATTAATGGCGTTAATTTGCTTATGTCGCGCCGTGCAATAAGTCGAGTTTATCGCACGCTGCGCTTCGCGCAGCCTGCTCAAGACTCGACTTCTGCACGACTTGACATAAAATATTATAGAGCACTCGGTAATAAATTTCGTCTTCAACGAATGTGTGTAGAGACCTCGCCTTCGGCTCGGCCTGTAAACTACACATTCTTTGAAAACGAAATTTGTGCCCTTGTACCCTAAGGTACTATTTTTGGTTGAGATATTTCGATATAAAACAACTTCACGTCTCTTTCATCTTTAGTAAATAGGAAAATTGAAGTTCTATTTCTTCTACTTTAAGAATTTACATGTGAAGTCGTAGCTTAAAAGATGTTGAATGTGTAAGATGTCGAACTCCTGGATGAACCCCAGCAGAACAATTACCCTCGCCCTCCCATTTCGAGAGACTCATAAATAATTTAACGATATATGAATGTTTGAATGGGCTGGCCTGCGAGCGCGGGAAGTGGTATGAGAATGATTCCAGCGCTTGAGAAGGGAATGAAAATTGATGTGAATTTTTGGAATGTTTTCAGGCCTCACCATTGCGAATATAATCCCTATTATGATTCTTGGGCGCAAGCAGAGCCTCAAGGGGGAGCCCATCCTGGCAGATTACGGCCCGGAGGAGTCCCTCAATGAGAGCGCAGACATTGAATGGGTGAATAAGGTAATAAAGGATAATCTGGAGTCATTGAGAAGAAATGTAGTATTTTTTTAATATTCTTTTTTTTCTTTCGTTCTACACGTGCACTGAAAGAAAATATTAGTTCTGCCGAAAACTTATACGTTCCACATGAGATTTACTTGAGGGAACTTAAGGATATCCAAGTATTTTGGCAATTTTTTTTCGCATGTTTGGCACAAAAAAAAATTTTTCTGATAATTTTTAATAAACGATTTTTTGGCACAAGTAAGATTTGTTTGGGAACTCTGAGGTTTTTCTCTCAGTGTATAATGTGGGCTGTACCAAACTGTAACAGATACTTGGATATCGTTCATTAAGGATTTTTTAAACTGGGCTTGGTGCAAACACTGTTAAAAAATTTCGACTGAATTTTCCGTGCTTGTCATTGAAAAATAAAATACTTCATTGATTTTCTGTTCAAATGATCTGAAAATCAATAAAGGCTTGATTTTTTAGTTCAATTATTCAGTGAAAATTCAGAAAAATCAGGAAAATTCAGGGAAAAATTGGAATTTCATGGCATTTTGTTTCTGAATATTCGTATTTCACTGAAAATTCAATCAAGTTATGAAATTTCCATTTCACTCCCCCTGATAACTCATGAATTTCCGTGAATTCTACCTAAAACTTGAAATTTCATATCCATTTTTTCCATACATCCGATTCAATACCACTTTCATGAAATTTACTATAATATCTTCCATGAAATTTCAAAACATTTCTAACAGTGTGCACTATTAAATATTGTCGCCTGAATTTTCTGTGTCAAATTCCGGAAATTTTTATCGTGCTCAAGTTCCACTGAAATTTCCGGAAATCTTGTCATTGAAAAATCAAATCAGCAGTGAAGTAGTAAAAGGAGATAAGTCAATTTTGACTATTGACCAGTTTTCAATCAATATCTCGGAATCTAAGGCAGATAACGAAATGTTCGTAATTACATTTGTTGCAGTACTCAACTGGCTCCACAAAAAAGTTTATAACAAAAATTTCGCTGTCTCCCTTAGAATCCGAGATATTGATTGAAAACTGGTCAATAGTCAAAATTCACTTATCTCCTTTTACCACTTCGCTACCGGAATATTCCATTGATTTTCTGTTCAACTCCTCTAAAAATCAATAAAATACTTGATTTTTCAGTCCAATTATTCAGTGAAACTTCATAAAAATCAGGAAAATTCAGGCAAAAATTGAAAATTCATGTCATTTTCTTTCTGAAAATTCAACCAAGTTGTGAAATTTCATAACCATTTTTCCCCTAAACAGATTCAATGTCAATATCATGGGAATTACTATCATATTTTCCATGAAATGACACAAAAAAACTAATGCAATTGATTCAAGAATACATACAATTCAATTGTAAAAAATAATACACAACAACAAATGATATACGATAGAACAGAATAACATGCAGTGACCATTCGCAAGCATATTGCTAATTTATTATCAAAAATAGCTATTTTATATGTACAAAAGCAATTTTCCAAGTGTTAGCATTTCAATAATATTTGTAATAACACTTAATTTCAGAAAATGAATTTTTATTAATTATAATTTAAAGCCATAATTTAAAGTATTTCTAACGATATTTCCAATTGTCTAATGACGTTCCTTAAATTTTTATAGCCTTGGGTCATCACCACACTAATGCCCTGCTGTGCCCTCGTATCGCTAGCATCAGTCTGTCTAAACACACCAAAGACATTTGAAGAGATACCAGAGCTGCAGTACGTGACATTCACGTTGGACCTCATCATCACATTCCTATTCACTGCCGAAATGATTGCCAAATTGCATATCCGAGGAATTTTAAAGGTAACCTGACAGGAAGTTATGAAATTGTCTAACCAATTCGCTAGGTTTTTATATTAAATTTTTTCATCCGTGTAATAAAATTGTCTTAGTAAAACAATTTTTTTTGTCAGTGTAGAGTTAATGATGAATTTTTTCTTTTATATAGAGAGAGAGAGCGTATTTGAAAGACTACTGGTGCCAATTCGACGCGACAATGGTCCTCTTCCTCTGGTTCTCCGTAATTCTACAAATGTTCGAGATGCTTGAGTTTGTCCCAAAGTTCAGTGCAGCGTCCGTAATCCGAGCACCAAGGCCACTCATTGTGTTTCGTTTTATAAGGATTTTCCTCAAGTTTACCATGGCAAAGGATAAGATTAATCAAATTTTCAAGTAAATGAACTAAAATTTATTCAGACAATTCGATTGTGAAGTGTTGAAAGGACAAATTCAACAATTATTCTGCAAATGTCTCAGGAAGGATAAGATTTAGTAGAGAATGTCGATAAACATTTTCATAGAAAATTTCATTTACGATGGAATATCTTTTAACATTTCTTTATGAAATTTATCGCTCTGAAAATATTCACAGAATAATTCGCACGAAATTTTTTCAGATCCTTCATCACTTGATCTCAACACAGTGAGAGAAATACGACAAAGTTGTCAAACAAGTCTTGCTTGTGTCAAAAAAATTATGTTTTTGAATTATCAAAGGAGGATTTCTTTTGTGCCAAACATGCGAAGAGTGCGTCGAGATGGAAAATTTTTATCGCAAAAATAGATTTAGTAGTTCCAAAAAAAAATGTATTTTAAGAGATAGTTTATGGTTGTGGCTGTTCAATAGTCACAGACAAAAAAAGAATCCTTAACTGAAATAAGAATAATGATACGATAGCAATCTCGTAACTTAGGGACGAAATATTTCTTGATAAACTTTCGTCTACAAGAGATATTTTCATCCTGAAAAGGCACAGTCTCGTGTGAATCATCCGCCTCTTAAGCCAAATCTTCCTTTCTTGTCGAAAGTAGAGCAATTATTCATGCTTCAGACTGTCAAATTCAAACCAAACAATTTCTGTTTTGGCAATTTTCAACTTGCGGTTTTATCGGCCCAAACAAGACTTGTTTGAGAATATGTTTGTTTTTCTCTTAGTGTAAATATTAAATTATCTCGATAACGAGTGGTTTTAGGAGAAAATTTCACCAGTTTTTTCTAATTTTCTTCTTACACAAATAATAGTTTTGAGGGAACAAAAAGTCCTGGATTTCAGTGAAATTTTCACTCATTTTTCGATTTTTATAATATGGAGAGGTAGAGAGAGTCCCATATGACCCCCATGACCCTTATTAATCTTAATCTGAACTTTGTGACCCTTAATCTGACCCTCGTGACCTTATTCTGACCCTTCTGACCCTTATTTTGACCCTCACTAGACCTCTTGTGACCCTTATTCTGACCCTCATTAGAACCCTTGTGACCCTTAGTTTCTGACCCTTGGTTTTTGACTTTTCATTTTCGACCCTTAATTTTGGAGTCTTAATGTCGAGTACCAAATTCTCATCACCAGAAGTCGATTTGGATTTTTATAACATGGAGAGATAGAGAGAGCCCCATATGACCTCCATGACCCCCATGGCCCTTATTAATCTTAATCTGAACTTTGTGACCTCTAATCTGACCCTCGTGACCTTATTCTGACCCTTATTTTGACCCTCACTATAACTCTCGTGACCCTTATTCTGACCCTCATTAGAACCCTTGTGACCCTTAGTTTCTGATCCTTGGTTTTTGACTTTTCATTTTCGACATTTAATTTTGGAGTCTTAATGTCGAGTACCAAATTCTCATCACCAGAAGTCGATTTGGATTTTTATAACATGGAGAGATAGAGAGAGCCCCATATGACCTCCATGACCCCCATGGCCCTTATTAATCTTAATCTGAACTTTGTGACCTCTAATCTGACCCTCGTGACCTTATTATGACCCTTATTTTGACCCTCACTATAACTCTCGTGACCCTTATTCTGACCCTCATTAGAACCCTTGTGACCCTTAGTTTCTGACCCTTGGTTTTTGACTTTTCATTTTCGACATTTAATTTTGGAGTCTTAATGTCGAGTACCAAATTCTCATCACCAGAAGTCGATTTGGATTTTTATAACATGGAGAGATAGAGAGAGCCCCATATGACCTCCATGACCCCCATGGCCCTTATTAATCTTAATCTGAACTTTGTGACCTCTAATCTGACCCTCGTGACCTTATTCTGACCCTTATTTTGACCCTCACTATAACTCTCGTGACCCTTATTCTGACCCTCATTAGAACCCTTGTGACCCTTAGTTTCTGATCCTTGGTTTTTGACCCTTAATTTCGAGTATCAATTTTTCATCACCAGAAGTCGATTTGGATTTTCATAACATGGAGAGATAGAGAGAGCCCCCATGGCCTCCATGACTCCCACGACCCTTATTAATCTTAATTTGAAGTTTGTGACCCTTAATCTGACCCTCGTGACCTTATTCTGACCCTTCTGACCCTCATTAGAACCCTTGTGACCCTTAGGTTCTGACCCTTCAATTCTGACCCTTAATTGTGCAGTATTAATTTCGAGTACAAAATTTTTATCATCACTAGACTCCCGATTGAGCACAAACTCAATCAGAATGTTTCCGTTCACATCAACTTTCGTTTAGAATTTTCGATTTTAATCTTCAAAATTGACCTTATGTTTATAAAACTTTAAATTCAATACCTAAAATGACTCTTCGTTGAAATAACCGGATGAAAAAAATCAAATTTCCAGGCTTTGTCAATGAAATTAATTTCAGACGTTCGAGTCAACAAATCTACAACGTAACCCTCTTCTTCGGCTTCTTCATGTCCCTCTACAGTCTCCTGGGCGTTCAATTTTTCGGTGAACTAACGAATCACTGCGTCTTGAACAATACAGATCAGAAACAAATCACTATAAATAGTTTAGCAATACCCGATACGTATTGTTCGACTGATCCCGAGTCCGGGTATCAATGCCCCGAGGGGATGACCTGCATGAAGCTGGAGTTATCCAAGTACATCATGGGATTCAACGGGTTCGATCAATTCTGTACGTAAAGATCATCGGAAAGTATTTTCAAATAATATTTTTAGGTCAGAAGACGCGCTATTTACCCATTGTTGGGATTTTCCAGTCATCAGTATCTTCACGGTTTATCAAGCCGCGTCTCAAGAGGGCTGGGTTTTCATTATGTATAGAGCAATCGATAGTCTTCCCGCTTGGCGAGCAATTCTATACTTCAGCACAATGATATTCTTCCTCGCTTGGCTCGTTAAGAATGTTTTCATCGCTGTTATTACCGAGACATTCAACGAAATACGAGTGCAACTTCAGGCAGAGGGGCAGAGGACACATACGAGTACCTCAGAGTCTCAGGTAATTTTTGTGTTTTTGGTTCTTGAGAATTTATTGTAGACTAGGGGGCTACGCCCCCTGCTCACTCCGTTCGCCAACCCCCATATGACCACCATGATCCTTATTCTGACCCTTGTGACCCTCATTTCGATCCCTAATCTGACCCTCATAATCCACGTGAAATGTTCGAAATTTTCCACATTTTTTTTTCATTCTATATTTCTTTTCTTTTCATCAAGAAAATCAAACAAAAAACTTGGAAAATTTCAGCCGAGAAAATTCTATAAAAAAATCTATAATCGAAACTGTCTCAATCGAATAAGTTGTATAGAAAAATCGAATTCAATTGAATTTTTCTACAATAGAAAACATTTCAATAGAATTGTCTAGCGAATTCGCTAGGTTTTTCTATGAAATTTTTGTGCCATACTGATATTTGCGTCTCCACAGCTTCTCTGTGATGAAGACAACGGTTGGAAACTAGTGACACTAGATGACACCAAGCACGGAGGACTAGCGGCTTCGCCCCTCTGCCAAGCTATCCTCCGCTCTCCCCAATTCCGAATGATCGTGATGTGCGCCATTCTCGCGAATGGACTTACAACTGCCACTATGACTTTCAAACACGACGAGAGACCACGAAACACGTATTACAATAACTATTACTACGCAGAAATTGCCTTCACTATTTTCCTGGACCTCGAGACTCTGTTCAAGATCTGGTGTCTAGGTTTCAAAAGTTACTACAAACATTCTATTCACAAATTCGAGCTTCTACTGGCCATCGGGACGACTATCCATATTCTACCATTTTGCTACATGACTGCATTCACATATTTTCAGGTAAGAAAATAATGAAGAATAGACATCTACATAAAGAATAAATCAGTGGTGAATTGGTGGACTAGGATAAGGGCATTTTTTTCGAAAAGGCTTTTTTTTAACCCTCGATCACTCGCCCAATGAGAGCTGCGCCACCCGTTTTCGTTGTTTTATATTTTCGTGTGTTTCTCGACGCTTAAAAATTCTGAAAAAATTAGAGTTCCTAGTTCAATTCTTTTATTAAGCGTTGGCTTTGTCCGTTTGTTTCTCGGGAAATTTGTTTAGCTAAAAAAGAAAACGTTGAACGGATATAGAAATGTGGCGCCGCGCCGCCCGGTCCGAGTGCGTCCCTTTCGACCCCGCGAGCGACAGTGTTGCTACATTCACTGCCACACTTGAAATGCGCCCATAACGGTAAGGGCTAAGGTGGCAACAGCGCGCTCAGTTTAACCCAGCGGCGCTGCGCTAACCGTGCGACAGATAAACACTGGCGGCCAAAGGCGAGTGATCGAGGGTGAAATCGCTTCTCAACAATTTGTAGAAGTGATTTGGCAAAACAAATTTTTATAAATGCAGTTATCAGCTATAATACCCCAAGACCTTCAAAATTATCGGATATTTCCCGAATGTTTTGTTGCATAGCACCGAGAGGGATCAGTTTTACAGATTTTACAGCTATGCTGATCCCGATCGTTGATATGCAGGAAAACTTGAGGGAAATATCCGACGAATTTTGAAGGTCGAGGAGTATTCGGAGGACAATTTCTTCAATTCTGATTTTGGCCGATCAGGGTGCAGTGTTCGGGGTTACGGGACACATCTCACCAAAATGTGAGGAATATCTGTCAAATTCGTAGAAAACAATTGACAGGCTACAGGGAAATTATCAGTCTGATAATTTCCCTGCAGCCGGGGAAATTATCAATGTGAAACGCGTCACGTGACTCCAAATACTGCACTGTGATTGGTCAAAATCAGAATTGAGGAAATTGTCCTAGTTTAACAATTTACGACAGAAATGATAATTGGTAATGATGATAGTAAAATACATTTTGTGATTACTCTTGAAGGTGTTGAGGGTCGTAAGACTCATAAAGGCGTCACCAATGTTGGAGGGCTTTGTTTACAAAATTTTTGGCCCTGGAAAAAAACTTGGGAGTCTTATTATTTTTACCATGTGCTTGCTGGTCGTTACTTCGAGCATATCCATGCAACTATTCTGTTTTCTATGTGGTTTCACAAAGTTCGAGACATTTCCAGAGGTAAATCATCACACTTGCTGCATGGTAATGAGTGATTTTCGCAGTTATTCATTTTTATTTCGTAAAAATCTCTTCTAAAAATTTTTTCTTACTTCAAGGCCTCTTAATCGATATCGCAGTTGACTCGACCATTAATTTTTTCAGGCATTCATGTCTATGTTTCAAATCCTGACTCAAGAAGCTTGGGTCGAAGTTATGGACGAAACGATGGTCCGAACCCATCACTTCATCGCACCTGTTGTCGCCATATATTTCATCGGCTATCATCTCTTCGTCACACTGGTAATTTAAAAAAATGAAAGAGAAAATCACCAAAGACTTCAGTAATTACTGCATTAAAATTCCCATCCAGATCGTGTTAAGTCTTTTCGTCGCTGTGATTCTCGACAACTTGGAGCTCGACGAGGAGCTCAAAAAAACCAAGCAAAAAAGTTTATGCGCCCAAAGTGCAGAAATCAAAGAAACACTTCCCTTTAGATTACGAATATTCGAAAAATTTCCAGCCAGTCCACAGATGACTTGCCTCCACAAAGTTCCCTCAGACTTCAATCTCCCAAAAGTTCGTGAGAGTTTTATGCGACAATTTGTTCTTGATATTGAAGACGAGAAAAATGAGGCTGCCAAGAGGATGAATGAGACATTCGACTCAAAGATGGTTTATAGAAAACAGAGGCCAGTAAAGATTCTGAATAATCCGCCGAAAGTTAGAAATGTTGTAGTTAGTTTGAAGAAAGCCGCTGTTATCTACATAATTAAGTAAGATATATGTGAAGAAAGAAATTTTTAATTTTGTAGGAAACGATAATTGAAAGCACATGTAACCCCTCACGTACGGCGTCCATATAACGCGGCTTGTCCCAATGGCCGGGAGACTTACGACGCGTCAACTCCGTTATTTAGTGAGCGATAACTTGAAAACAATTGAACGAAGAAAATTGAAACAAAATGCATTGGCTGCGTTGAACTTTGAAATAAACTTCCTAAGAACTGTTTTTTTTCCATAATTTCCTCATTTTTGCCACCAATTTCAATGTTTGCCGACAATTGGTTGTCGAGATCTTCGAACATGCTAAATTTATTTATAACAAACAAATTATTCAACAAATTGAAATTTAACTTCTGCCATTCGATAGAAGGATTATTAAAGTATTTTCAGTAAAAATTTCAAAATTTTGGGGGGAAATTTTGTCCCTATGTTTAACCCTAGTCTGGTTACCTCCGCGGGGATTCCCCGCCGTATTATTTAGGCTCTAGCGTTGCCAAATTCACTCTACACTGCCCGGGCGCGTTTAGCGAGTATCCGGCAACGTCGTGTGATGGGCAATTTTATTTGACATGAGAAAAAATAATTCATCTGTTCGAAATAATTTGTTTTCTTTTGGAATTTCAGGAAATATGTTGTTCTAAAAACTACTATAATTTTTTAGACACTTTAGTTGACAAAATCAAATTTTTTCGAATTTTTCCAGTTAGTCAGTCAATTGTAATTAACCCTCGATCGGTCGCGTCATAGCACGAGCGCCGTTCTGTATCAATTTTTATTTTTTACACTGAAACGTTGTTGAGAAAAAATCCGAAAAAATTGGAATTCCTACTTTCCACCATGTCAAACATTTAAACAATTTTTGTTCTGTGCATCTTTGCACCGATCAAAAATGAAAATTCCTTAAAAATTCGACTCGGTCAAAATCTCTGTGTTTAACCTCCGAATTTCGAATTTTCGCACCGAATGGAAATCAATTTTTCAATGATGTTTTCACTTTTCTCGTTTTCTACTGATCTTAGTTGTTAGTTGGAAGTTCAAAGTTACTCGTTTAATCTTAAAAACATCATTTTTTTAACTTTTTTTTTCTCAAAATGGTAAAATACACGGAACGGCGCAGCGCTCATCACGCGACCAGATACGTTTGGTGGAGAGGTGCGACCACTCGAGGGTTAAAGAAAAACGACGCGGGGCGGAGTTTCCCTCATATGATGACCCATCTAGGGTTAATGTGATTGAATCGGTTCACTCTAAAATTTTCATCTACAACTTTTGTTCATTAAAAAAAAATTATAAAGGCATTGAAAAAAAAATAGTTCACTACGGAGACAATTCCATTGACTTTCCGAATATCTTTTCCAAATGTCAATGTCTCTTAGAATTTTTTACTGTTGACGGAAAGGAGGGTCGATGCCATGCATTGACTCCGGCCGACAGGACAAGCTTATGAGTCTATTCATGGTATCGACGCCGTACGTGAGTGGTTAAAACCATTAATTCTTTGATTATGATAAATAATAATTGTGACGGTTTTAGTGACTCGAACAACCAGAGACTACTTCTGGGGGATTCAGCAATGATTCCAGTACCAGGAAAAGGTCTTCTCAAACCTCAAGGTACACTCAGCAGTGCAAAACAACTCCGCATAGACCAGAAAAAATCAATTCGTAGAAGTGTTAGAAGTGGTTCAATTAAACTAAAACAAACGTATGAGCATTTAGTAGAGAATGGAGACATCGGAGCGATAAATAGGGTAACTTCATCGAGAAGCACTCCCAATCCTGATTGGGATATGAAAGTACTGCAGGCCAAGAGACAACAGGCGGAGATGAGGAGAAATCAGCGGGAGGATGATTTGAGGGAAAATCATCCGTTCTTTGATACTCCACTGTTTGCTGTACCAAGGGAGAGCAAATTTCGGAAAATTTGTCAACTGCTCGTTTACGCTAGGTACGACGCGAGACTCAAGGATCCGCTAACGGGGAAGGAACGAAAAGTTCAATATAAAAGTTTTCAGTGAGTAAAGCAAAATATTGAAATGAATATGGTTAATGATTCGAGTATTTATATGAGAGCGGCAAATTTCGATATCTCAAGAATTGTGAAGGTCGATAATAATTTGATTATTGTTTGGCACAAAAAAGAGTGTATTGATCTCATGATTCGTGACATATTAAAAATGAAAGTTTGCACAATGTCTAGACTGTGTAAAATATGACTAGCATATCCAAATATCTTTTACAGTTTGGTACAGACACTATAGATTCAACTATTTTCAATCATGAAGTTTGTCAATTAAATTGTGTGATAAAACTTAAAAAAAAACATGATTATTCAGCGTCTTTAAAATTTAATTTTGCACAGAATTATTTTTTTTCAGATTTGTAAAATCGTTTCTAACGGTTCAATATCAAGATTCAAATTCAGACGTGCAAAGTTAAAATAATAAAATCATTGTAAAATGTGCGGAAACTTAGGGTCAAATGGGGCTCAAACGAAAACTCCAACGTTCGATCACAAAAGTAGAAAAGCATTTCACTGGAGAAAAAATAGCCAAAGTACTTGGATATCCTTAATTAAGGAGAGAATCCGGTGAATTTTGATGTAACACACGATAGGCATAGGCCATAAAACTGAACAGTGTAACTAATGCTATAAAAATTTTGAAGACAAAAAAAGTTGTTTACCTAAAAAATTAGTTAAATTGGACCATTTTTTCGATTATGTCATTTTAGGCTTTGGCACGGCTAACGAACAGTAAACGATTCGTTTTTTTCACACTAATCATCAATTTTTCCATACATGGAAAACAGGGGGACACATATGAAGATCCTCCCTTCAATAACTCGTAATATTGTATTCGAGACATGAAAATCCTTATTTTAAAAACTCGTAATACTCAAAACTCACCGGAATCTGCCATTAAGAACAACAAAGAAATATATGTAACAAGGGCTGACAAAGGCCAAGGATGAGTTGTCTTGAATATTGCCGATTATTTCAATGCTGGAATGAATAATTAAGGTTAATAATAATTTGATTACTGCTTGGCAAAAAAATCATTGATTGAAAACGTTTTCAATTTTTCTGCTGTAGTAATTTTCTTGGACTCGTTACGTATCTAGACTGGGTCATGATATTGGTCACAACGTTATCCTGCGTTTCCATGATGTTCGAAACGCCGAAGTATCGAGTTATGGAGATCCCAGGGCTTCAAATAGCTGAATATGGTTTTGTTATATTCATGAGTATTGAATTGGCTCTGAAAATACTGGCTGATGGTCTATTCTTCACACCCAAAGCTTACATCAAGGATGTCGCCTCTGTTCTTGATGTTTTTATTTACATTGTGAGTTCTTTGTACCTTTATGTATGAATTTCCAACAATTCATGACCTATTTAATTGTAAAATCATCTTAGTAATGAGTTGCGATGGTAACAATCATCAAATTTTTGTCGGAATCTAAAAAATCAATAGAAAAAGCCAATAGAATTCGATTTTTTCATGTCACTAATTCTCTTCAAATATTTTTTATAGAATTTCCTCGACTCAAATTTTCCAATTTTTTTCATTCCATTTTTCTTTTCTTCTCATCAAGAAAATCAAAGAGAAAACTTGGAAAATTTGAGCCGAGGAAATTCTATAGAAAATCTCTGAAGAGAATAAGTTATATAGAAATTTTTTTTCGATTTTTTCTATAAAACATTTCCTATTGAACATTTCAGTAGAATTGGCCAAAAAATAATAGAAATTTCAATAGAAATCCGATACACTTGTCTAGCGAACTCACTAGATTTTTCTATTAAATTTGTTCATCCGTGTAGTCCCTGAATTGATCAAATAATCGACTAAAACATCATAATTTGGACGCATTTTACAATCCTTCATTGTTATTAGGGGAGGGGAGGGCAAAACGGACCACTGACAGAAAATTGGTAGTTTTTTTGCTTCAAATCAGGACCACTGAATGTGTTGAATTAAAAGTGAGTTTCTTGGATCGTAACCGTCACAGGGGTTTTATAGACAACAAGTGTCGTTAAACCACAATTTGATCAGATTTGCTAATCACCTCAAACCACAAGTGACTTCGAATTTGCTCCATTCGGAAGTAAAAAAAAATGATCAATTTTCGGTCAGTGGTCCGATTTGCCCTAGGGGTCCGTTTTGCCCGCCTGGTCCATTTTGCCCTACCCTCCCCTGTTTATTAAACAACCTTTACCAACATCTCCCTAGGTGAGTTTGGTTTTTCTCTGTTGGATGCCGAAAAACGTCCCCCCGAATTCGAGTGCTCAGGTGCTGATGATTCTACGCTGCGTGAGACCCCTCCGAATATTCACTCTAGTGCCTCACATGAGAAAAGTCGTCTATGAATTGTGCAGAGGATTCAAAGAAATTCTCTTGGTTCGTATATCCATTACTTTCTACTAAAATAATAATTATTCATGTGAAACTTTGCATGTGGACTACTTCTAAAACTCCGTAGGCTAGTAGAGTCTCAAACTTCTTTTTTCATTCTTTCTCAAAGGATGATATATTTGACTCAAGAAATTAGTTTTTCATCACTCGTCAGTAAAATAAACTTTTACGCACGGTCCGCGGGTGCAAAGTCCCACTTTCCACATATTGTGATGGTTTGACACTCATGGGAAAAGTGTTCTTTGACCCTTGGGAGGGTAGAACTAGCCTTTGGCGAGCGCAGCTCATCTCTCCTGGGTCAAAAAACACTTTTACGCACTCGCATCAAAATATACGATCCTCAACAGACTGTCCGTAAAACGCCGTTTTACGGACATTGTGAAGAAAAATCATGTGCGCCACTCGGCCGAAATAGTACATTACATGCCCGAGCCTTGGAAAAGATCACCGCCCCTCACGTGCAAGATTGCCTTCCGAGCCGAAGGCGAGGATGGCAACCACGTGTGGGAGGGGGATATGTTTTCCATGGCGCGGTGTGTATATTAATTTTCGTGTCTAGGGACCTGAAAATCGCTGCGCGCCACGAAAATGGGGTTTTTCAGGTCCCGTGACACGAAAACAACTTTTCTGACTGATGTGATTGCATTCCTCGGCTTCACCTCGGTCTGCAACCTCACACTCGTCAGAAAAGTTGTTTTCAGCCTTGTGACGAAAAAAGCTATTCCATTACTTGTGCGCAAAATCCCACTTCCCCACCATTGTGATGAAAAATAGGGCTTCGACATTCGAGGGAAAAGTGTTCTTTGACTCTTGGACAGGTAGCATTTGCCTTTGGCGAGCGCTACACACCTCTCACAGGTCAAAAAACACTGTTACACACATGCTTCGCGTGCGCAAAATCCCACTTTCCACACATTGTGATGAAAAATAAGGTTCGATGCGGGTGTGTAAAACTGTTCTTTGATACTTTGGAGGGTAACACTCGCTTCGGCGCTACGCATCTCCCACAGATAAAAACACTTTTACGGACTCGTATCGAAATATACTGTTTACATCACTTGGGCGTAAAGTAATGGAGATACTTAACAATAGTGCTCCCCGTGCGCGAAATTCCACTTTCCACAAATCGTGATGAAAAATAGGGTTCGACACTGGTAAGAAATAGTATATTTCGATACGAATGAGTGATAGTATATTGTGTTACTAGTGGGTAAAGATCCACTTTGTCACACGCACGTGTAATTTGGCCACATCAAATGGCCTATTTGTCATCAAAATGTGTGGAAAGTGGGATTACGCACGAGTGATGAAAAGTGCTCTGCGCCGCGTGAAACAACACTTTTACGCGCTCGTATCGAAATATGCTATTATACTATTAGATAGCTTTGGCTGTCGGTGCACGCACAAAATGAACGAAAAAAAAATCACAGAAATATGTAACTATTCTCATTTTCTTTCCGTGTTACGTTCTTTGTTCCTATTCAGGTATCAATTCTCCTCATTTTGCTGATGTTCGTCTTCGCAAGTTACGGAGTACAGCTCTACGGTGGCAGATTGGCCCGTTGCAACGATCCAACCATAACATCACGTGAGGATTGCGTCGGTGTCTTCATGAGACGAGTATTCGTAACGAAAATGAAGTTAAAACCCGGTGTGAATGAGAGCTATCCGTCCATCCTAGTGCCGCGAGTCTGGGCCAACCCGAAACGCTTCAATTTTGACAACATTGGTGATGCAATGCTGACATTATTCGAGGTTTTGTCGTTCAAGGGTTGGCTGGACGTCAGAGATGTGCTCAGTAAATCTCTGGGACCTGCTCATGCTATTTATATTCATATCTACATTTTTCTTGGGTGTATGATTGGACTGACACTCTTCGTGGGTGTTGTCATTGCCAATTACTCGGAGAACAAGGGCACTGCTCTGCTCACTGTTGATCAGAGACGCTGGTGCGACTTGAAGAAGAGATTGAAAATTGCTCAGCCACTTCATCTGCCGCCCAGACCCGATGGGAAGAAGTTTCGCGCTTTTATTTATGATATTACGCAGAATATATCGTTCAAAAGATTCATTGCGTTGATGGTGGTCTGCAATAGTGCGTTGTTGGTGGTTTCGGTGAGTAATTTTTTATTGAGATTAAGGAACTTCCGCAGTAAGTACAGGAGGACTCCTGTAATTTCGAGCCGGGTATTTTCGACGGGCGGAGTCACTGCGTCCCCAGTCTCGCGTTTTCAGGCCCCACTTCTTCCGTTTACGGAATGGTCCCATCCAGGGTTGGGTATATTTCACAGATGGGAATTTTCGACGTGACATTGCCAAATACCGGTAATTTACCTCTGGAGCATCATAAATGTCAAAAAGTGTTATAAATCTACTCACAGGAAGGTTCAACTGAAACCTTCAAAACGTTCAAAAGTTAGAGGCACGCAGGCCGGATGATTACAAGGATGGTACGGTCACGAGGATCATGACGCGCGAAGGCCAAACGTCGCAAGAATTAAATCAGAATTATGCTTCCCAAGAGTCAAAAGTCGCAAGGGTTAAATCACACGAGCAAGGTAATGTGGAGGGGTGGAACTACCGAAAGGCTCGACCGCGGGACGTAAGCAGCGTAATGATATGAAGGGTCCAACAATCATGAATACCAAGAAGCAAGAAAGACGATCGTAAGGGTCAAATAGGAGAAGTTCAGATAATCCTTCGTGATTGTTCTGCCTGCCTGCCTATCATTCTTGATCCTCGTGATTTTCAGATATCCCTCTTGCACAGGCGAGAGATAAATCAAGAGAAATAATTCGAAAGTGATCCCCTTTGGCCCTTGTGGTTATTTGACCCTTGAAATTATCCACCCTGGCTTTTTTGTTTGGTCCTAGTATTAGTTTGGTCATTATGAGTTATAGTGGTTATGACATTTGATCCTCGCGAGGAATGACCGTTGCGATGTTTCACCTCGCTTCACCCCCAATCGCTCGGCATGACCCTTGCGAGGTATGATTCTTGCGACATTTGACCCGCCCGATATGAAAAAATATCACGGTTTCGCTCTTACCAATGACCCTCCCGGCGCCAAATAAGTTTTCGACGTGTCAAATAGCTTGAAAATCTACCATGTAATTTACCTAGTTTATGGCAATTCAGAAACTATGTAATTTACCTGAGGCAATTTACTTGCCCAACCCTGGCCCCACCATCTCCCGAGCATAGCCCTATGCGCCCGAGTGTTTCCCTAACCTCAATCATCGGGAAAAATGACGACGCATCAATCCAGGAGAAAAAATAATTGAAAGACAATAGGAGACAGTAGGGACAGTTTCAGTGAATTAAGTGGCTCCGAAGACAGAGAAACATAATGCATTCTCTCTCTTACCGGCCTTCTACACGCGCTTGGCCAATGAGAGCTCGGCCGACTGTTTTCGAGTTCTCGGAATTCGTTCCCCCGTCAGTTCGAAATTATAGGAGTCCTACTGTATATGGCAGTAGAAGGAAATGGACGGCAGAGCTGAAATTTTGAGAATTTATTCTCTGAGAGATTACAAATATCCTCCCGAAGTCCCAAAACGCTGAATCACGTAGATTGTTGAGGAGAAAATATTAAAAATGTGTCATCCACACGAAGTATTATGGCGCCACTTTTTATAAAATCACAAAAAAATAATCGACAATGGAATGAAAATCCAAACATTTCACGAATAGAACCGTATATATTTCAGGAACATATCCCCACAATTTCATCAGCCGCCGCTGCCGGGATTATTTGTCATTACTAAAAATGTACGGCATAGTGCGGGATTATAGTTACGTTAGAGGAAACTCGTGGCTGAAGACTCACTGATAGAACGGATTAGTTATTGTTAACGAATGGATTTTGGTTGGAGGTTAGGGTCTATTCGGTCCCAACAAATGTTCATTCGTTAATAGTTAACGAATATATATTTGAGGAGTCTTGTTTGACTTGACTTTCGCCATTCAAGTGAACCATTCGTTAACTATTAACGAATATTCATTTGGTCATATTCAACTCTACCATTCGTTAATAGTTAACGAATTTCGTTTGGAATAAATGAATCATTCTATCAGTGCGGTAACGTTGAAGGAGATTAGAGTGCGTACGGCACAGGTCATCGTGTGAACTCCGCCAAGGCATATACTATAGATTCTATAGTAGAGTATAGGATTTTATCGGGACACAAGTATGCCAACTGCGTCGAACAAAAATGCGTGGTTGTCAAATCTCTCATGAAAATTTTTATTTGTTGAAAAAATTCGGATAAATAATATTTCGGGATAAAAATTATTTATAATTGACTAATCATGAATAATAAATGCAAAGAAATCCAAACAACGAAATTTCAATACGCCCGTGAACTGTTCGTCACTTCATTATTTTTTTTTTCAAAGGATGCAGCGGAGCGTCGGAACCTTTGATATTTCCCTCCACTCCATAGCCCCAATATTTAGTGCGGAAGTTCCCTAACAGGAGTATAAAATTCTCCATCTGGCTGATGAGGTCCCCTGGAGGTTGTGGCAAAGCAAGCGATATCTGTCAGCCCTAGCAACCTCAACAGAAAAAAAATCAGCAGAATTTCATCTCCCAATACATTTTTTTCTGTGAGACATTTTCTATGAAAATATCTATAAAAAAACACACACCCTGTTAAAAAATTTTCACTGAAATTTTCAGTAAGGGTCTTGAAAAATTCTAAGAAGTAACATGTCCACTGAAATTTCAAGGAATTTTGTCACTGAAAATTCATAATTTCATGGAAAAATCCGTGGGAACTAAATTTTACTTTAATTATTTCAGAAAAATGAATGAAAAATATGGATAATTCCGAAGAAACTCTCTTTAAATTCCAGATTCCTCTGAATTTTCAGGGAATTCCTTTAAAAGTTTCTGAAATTCCCAAAATTTTAAAGGAATTCCTTGAAACTTCAAGGTAATTGGTTAGTGAAAATTCATTTTCACTTGAAAATTCACATAAATTGTGGAATTTCCGCCGCATATTGGAACTTGGCTAGAATTTTCACAAAAACTTGAAATTCCTTTGACTTTTTCCCCTTAAACCGAACTCAAGGTCCTTTTCCAGAAATTTCAGTAAATTTTTTTCAACAGTGCAGATAGTTCTGGAGTTTTTCAGTAGAATCCACGAAAAACAAATGTTCAATAGAAATTCAATAGAATTTCATAGCCGATTTCTTCTGAGTTTCGACCAGCATCGAAACCCAAAAAAAATACTATCCATCTGGTACGAAACGAATGATAGAATAATGAAGCGCAAAAAATTGGTATATCGCTACGATCGGATGATAAAATCGTCACTACACTGTTCCTTTTTCTTAAAGATTTGTATGCTTCCGTTTACTCGTAAACGAAAAGTCTTTTCGTTTATACTTGTAAACGAAAAAGGCACAGTTCGGCCACTCGCTGAGCGTAACATCACTGTCAAAAAATATTGTTCGACACATGGGAGACGAGAATGCTTCAGCTCGTGCGATTGGCAACTTCACACTCGTGAATGGGGATGGGCGATGTTTGTCGATTAATGGAAAACATCGATTTTTCATGCCCAAATATCGATGTTGTTCATTCGACTCAATCAATTCCTCAATAATCGATGTTTTTTAAAACATCGTCCGTCCCTACTCGTGAAAATTCCGTCTCGCTCATATCCTAAAATACTTTTTTAGGCCGTGTGACGAACAACATATTTTGTCATAACGGCTGTAGGCAGTCATTCACGCTACGCGTCCGTGAAAAGAGATTCACCTGCGCGGTGCCGTGGACACGAGCGTCGAAGGGTTAAATGGACATTCCTTACGAAGACCTGGCCGGGTCCTTCCGACAAATTTTTCTTTTGAGATCGGTTGACTGCCCATGGAACAGAATCCACACGGAGACGCATCCGTATAACCAATTAGATCGCAAGATTTTCCCGCCAATTTTATTTGCTCGATTCTGATTGGTGGACGCAGATACGTCTCCGCGTGGATTCTGTTCCATGGGCGGTGGCCAATCCGCGATCGCAACGTAGATGTGGGAGCCACCAAGTGGTCTCTAAACGAACTACTCTTGGGCGGCAACCAATGAGATCCTTGGGTGGGAACCAATGATGGAGCTCAACCAATGAGATCACTGAATTCTCTTTGATCTGATTGGTTGCCGCCCAAGAGTAGTTCTTGGAGAGACCACTTGCTGGCTCTCGCATCTACGTGGCGTTCGCGAATAGTGTTTTGGATGCGAATATCATCGTCATATGCAATTATCCACTCCTTCACCTCTCTAAATTCTCAACAAACTACACGGCTCTTCTTACTATTACAGTGGGTCAGTGGAGCCGCGTATGCCGAACACCTAGCCACAATCTCGATGATAATGGTCCTAGGCTTCGTCGTCGAGGTGATAATGAAGAACATTGCATTCACACCACGCGGATACTGGCAGTCCCGCCGGAATCGTTACGATCTCCTCGTAACAATTGTCGGAGTGATCTGGATAATAATGCACTGCATGATGAAGAATGAATTATCCTACTCGATCGGTTACATGTCAGTCATCCTCCGGTTCTTCACGATAACCGGCAAACACACGACATTGAAGATGCTGATGCTGACGGTGGGAGTGTCCGTCTGCAAGAGCTTCTTCATCATCTTCGGAATGTTTCTCCTCGTATTCTTTTACGCTCTCGCTGGAACTATTATTTTCGGAACTGTCAAGTATGGCGAGGGAATCGGAAGGAGGGCGAATTTTGAGTCGCCGGTAACAGGCGTTGCGATGCTGTTCAGAATCGTTACCGGCGAGGATTGGAATAAAATCATGCACGACTGTATGATAGAGCCACCTTACTGCACCCCAGCTGCCAATTACTGGGAGACTGACTGTGGAAATTTTCACGCCTCGCTGTTCTACTTCTGCACTTTTTACGTTATTATTACGTATATTGTGCTGAATCTACTTGTGGGTGTGTATTTATATTCTTTACTAGAACGTATGTTTCATGTGTTGCTGATTAATGATATGTAATCATCTTAGCTCTCGTTGTAACCATATATCGAAATATTTGTGGTAGAGTTATCCACTGAAAAGTGGCGAAAAGTGTTCTTTCGTTTACTTGTAAACGAAAAACGCTTCGTTCGATTTCATTACCACCGAATACTTGAAATCCAAAATTGTCCCCGGAAACGAGAAACTTTTTTTCTCTGTGTAAAATGGTTTTCAATCCTTCACATGTCCCCGAAAACCAAAACTGTTTTTTTCTCTGGGAAATTAAAGATCTTAAGCTACTTTCGAGATGTCGTCATTTAGTTAATACTTAATTAACACATAATACATGTGTTAATACTTAATTAACTAAATGACGACATCTCTAGTTAATTAAGTATTAACTAAATGACGACATGTCGAAAGTAGTCGCAGACATGATAAAAAAAAATTTATTGGTGATTAAAACTTTTTCACGCTGGACGTCTCAATAATTTCTCAATGGTTATCGAGATATTCCAAACGAGATTCGTTAACTATTAATGAATGGTAGAGTTGAATATGACCAAATGAATATTCGCTAATAGTTAACGAATGGTTCACTTGAATGGCGAAAGTCAAGTCAAACAAGGCTTCTCAAATATACATTCGTTAACTATTAACGAATGAACATTTGGTGAGACCGAATAGACCCTAACCTCCAACCAAAATCCATTCGTTCACAATAACTAATCCGTTCTATCAGTGAACCAAGATGCATGATGTTTACACATGGAGAAACAGTTATCAGTAGCAAATTCTTTGCAATTCAAAAATAACGTGATAAGTCTACGGATTATCATTCTCCCATAGCTATTATCATGGAGAACTTTTCCCTCTTCTATTCCAACGAAGAGGACGCGCTACTATCTTACGCTGATATCAGAAACTTCCAGAACACGTGGAACGTCGTGGACATCCATCAACGCGGCGTGATCCCAGTCAGAAGGGTATTTATCAATGATTTTGATTCAATAAAACAAATCCTTCGATGACGCGTAATGATACCATAGTGCATTTCAGGTGAAATTTATACTGCGACTGCTGAAGGGTAGACTGGAAACAGATCCTCAGAGAGACCGGCTGTTATTCAAATACATGTGTTATGAACTCGAGAAGTTGCACAATGGGGAAGATGTCACGTTCCACGACGTCATCAAGTGAGTTTTGTTCATTTTCTGTTTCTCGCAAACAAACATGAGATATTTTCTCTTCCGTGAGAACTTTCAAATAATATCTTACACGCCTCCTACACGGTAAAGAGTTTGGTGTTGACGCTAATACCAAATCGGTGTAGTGTAGTAAATCTAGCATTTAATCCCCTTATCAATTCTCCCGTTGATGAAAATATACCAATAGATAGATAAAAATGTCCTGAATACCATATCAAAATGTTTAAACGTAATTTGAGGGGGAACATATTGAAAATAATTAAAAACGATTGGCTGTTCCGGGTGAACGCCAAAAATCTTGAAGGCTTCAATTGAACTCCACTGACTGTAAAGAAAAAAATACTGGTATGTAGAGGCGGAAATTCTCTGCAAAACGGAGTCAGTAAACAATATTCCAGGTGTCTTAGTTTTCTCGTAAAAAAATCTTCAAATTTTGTAAGAAGGAAATGGGCTCCAGAGCTGAAATTTTGAGAATATATTCTTTGAGTGATTACAAATATCCTCCCGAAGTCCCAAAACGCTGAACCACGTAGATTATTGAGAAAATATGAAAAATGTGTCATTAATACAGTCTTATGGCACCATTTTTACAAAAATCACAAAAAAATAATCGACAATGAAATAAAAATCCAAACGCTTCGCGAATAGAACTGTATATATTTCAGGAACATATCCCCACAATTTCATTAACCGTCACCACAGGGATTATTTGTAATTATTGAAAATGTATAGCATAGTTCGGGATTTTAGTTACTTTGACTAGTCCCTGTGACTAGTCACTATTAGTAAGAGAACCTTTTATACTTCCTTGCTAGGGCCGTCAAACACCCTATACCCAGCTATTACGGTTACGCTTACGGGGGATCCGCTCACTTCCGGAATAGTAGGATGTAGGGATTTTAAGGATGTAACTATGGGACACTCAATGTCTGGTAAAAGCTATAGGTTTATTCTTGGCTAAACTACGAACTAAATACAAGACACTGATTCGGTTGGGGGGTTCGGTATACGCGGTATTAAAAGTGGAGGAGCTGAGATGACCGTTCAGCTTCACTCCCGTACGTACTCTGACTCTTATGAGTCCCCAAAAGTTCCAAGACCCGAAATTACAGATCTAAGCAATCCCACGGTCCTGGTGCACTAATACAGTTTCATGTCATCACTGACACAAAACTAAAACAGTCAAACAGCTCTTCTTCTAAGAAGCTGGACTCAGGTGTCACCATGGGAATGCTGAGCTCTGCTCGTGAACGAAGAGACAAAAATCACATTTCTTTTCCCATCGTTTAGAATTATAAATTGAATGTGACGTATTATTCATAATACGTCATTGTTATTCACAAACAATCGACGTATTGATCACAATACGTCACACCTTTAAATCAGGAATACTGAATGTGTTGAATTAAAAGTGAGTTTCTTGGATCGTAACCGTCACAGGGGTTTTATAGACAACAAGTGTCGTTGAACCGCAGTTTGATGAGATTTGCTAATCACCTCAAACCACGAATGACTTCGACTTTGCTCCATTCAGAAGGAAAAACAAAAATTATCGAATTTCTGTCAGTGGTCCGTTTTGCCCTGCGGTCCGTCTTGCTCTAGCCTCCCCTAATTTTCAATGAATTTGTTGGCCCAAACAAGACTTATTTGAGAATTTGTTCGTTTTTTTCTCACCAATGTGGGGTGCAGTCGTGTGAAGGATAAGACGGCCGACAGTAACGCAGATCAAAAAGAATGGGGGGGNGGGGGGGGGGGGGAGACAATGAAGAGAAGAGTAAGAAAGGCATAAGTTATGCCGCATAACAGGCTGACAATTGCAGTAAATAATTATTTAGACTGGATGTGATAAAAATGTAAATCTAATAAAACTCGTCAGATTACAAATTTCGTGTACGCGATAAAAATATGAACGGTAAGAAGCTCGGTGTGAAAAGGTGAATGGAGGTGTGAGTAGTTCACAGGTCAAAGCCCGAATGTCCCGCTTGTCCCTCCATGTGTCGGTGGTCCGGCGGGCCCTTGTCTTAGGCCCCGAGTCACCAGGAGTCGTCAAGTACTCGTCAGTCTCCGTCAATCTCCGATATCTGTCCTCATCTTCGCTAATATGAATATATGAATGAAAAATAAGATTCATTAGCCCGGTATTAATCAAGTCCGTAATTTAAAGAGTCGTTCCTGTTTGGTTCGGCAAAACAATTTCCTCCGATGACAAGTGTCTCAGTTCTCCACGTCAGTCTATAGGACTTCCTATAGATCCGTGTCTACAAAAATTTTTAATACGCACAGTCTAGCAACTTCTCAGCCAAAACTCCATTAATTTCTCATTCGCATATTTATTCTTACTGTCAACAGGATTCTACGAATTGTGTGCATAGTAACGCGATCCATACATCCGGAGAAGACAAACGATACAGTTCCCTCCCAACTTAGTCGACACGGATAAATCCCAAGATGCAAATAAATCTCCTATGTTAAGGGGAAAGCCAAATTATATAACTAAAAGTTATCAAAGATGATCTATTAAAATTGGATCGAAATCGGTTGCCATCCTTTCAAGTAACAGTAACATGCTAGGGAATTTTCTGTATTCATGAAGCTAATTCTGTTATTAAATGGACTATTTAGCATTCTGTGACGATTTGTATGATTATCCATTCAACATGGCTTCATCAGAGGAATTATGAAGCTTGTTATAACCATTCGGGGGATAGTGCCTTTAAAGGAAAAATTGTAATGGAATTATAATTCGAAACATCCGTTTTAAGAAATTAAGTTCAGAAATAAAAGAGGGAAACTTTCAAAAATGCTATGGAATTCGGTATCCAATTACCTATTTAGAACTGTAGAGATTTTTCAAACTTTAAATACTGGGGCCGCATGATCATAACTCAGGACTGAGGTTGCTTTATTCGGAGAGTTACTTTAGCGTAAATATCCTCTCAGCAATTGATACATTGGCGACATTAATCCCGACGTAATCTAAACCAAATGACGAGCCTTTGAGTTCCCAGTAAGGAACTTATCCGACTGAGATAGAATAAATTTTTTTCAAATATCAAATTATTTGCATTTTATGACGACTTTTTAAATACAACAAGATCCTACGATAAACGGACAAATATGCGTTTCTTTTAAAAATATTTGGGAGTACTTTAATTAATTCTTTACCTTGATTAAGTATTCTTTCTATGCAACTCAATTGAAATCAGATGGAATCACTGAAACGTGAGAGGTCAAGAGTAAAGAATTTAACGACCTTTTGTTCGTGTTCATAAATAAAACTAGGGACTGGAAAACTGACGGAACTAATCGTCTTACTCACGTTTTCTCACGTGCAGACATTGTGTGCAGTAACAACGAAGCAGTCTACAACTGCACACGAAATTACAAAACTTCATTAAGGGGTCTCCGCAGTTGCGATGGGCGCGCGAGTGAGTGGAGTGTGAAATAGTCAAGTTAGTGAGGTTGGTTTCGAGAGAGACGGGACATCAAATATGGCGTATGTTGGATAATGACAGACATCGCCATAGTATTTTTATCATTAATTTATTGAACAAATCAACGATAAAACCCAATGGAACTTCGTGCCCATATTGTTTAGGGCTTAATATAGAACAATTTAGCTTCCTTTGCTGGCTAGCACATTGTCAACCGTGTGAGGGGTATGGGACAAAGTAGCGTCCATAAAGGTTGTGTATAAGGCGCAATTTGAATAATTAATTAAACACGAACGAAACCATAAAAGTAGTTAGAATTGCTTTTACAAATACCTTTTTAACATTTTTGATTACTATATGATATATTTAATTCGCAAGCACATTGTCATATTTTACCCAAAAGTACTGCGGAGACCCCTTAATCCGCCAGCACTCACGCTATATAACTTTCTCCTACAAAAATTTTTAGGATATAGGTAACACAGTTAGGAAATGGAGATTTTGGACTGTAACTTTTTGATTGCCTCCAGCAACTATCTCCCTTTCCTCTGGGGTCAATAAAAACCGTCTAGCATGTTTCAATATATTCTAAAAAAATATTTTTTCGAGGAGCGTCAGAGATTCTCTCACGGCGCGATTAAAGGTTCTTGGTGAAATGGCACGAGGACTGACTCGTTGAACATGAACGCAAGCAAATAATTAATCGCAGAATATTACCCAAAATAACTGTCCCTATCGGGAATTTAATTATGGTCAGATTGTCAAAAAAATATCGATACTGTGGAGAGATTTTTCACACCGAATTTCGATTTTTTTTAAATACCGGGGCCGAAGTATCACAACGCGAGACTGAAGTGCCTGGACGGTTCGCCCTGGGCCGTAGGCGACAGCCGAGAGCACTCAATCGACTGAGACGCATAATTATATCATTGGTCACCAAATTGTTTGCTTGATATCACATCTTTGGATTTACAACAAGAATCTACGATATACGAACCATTGTCCATTCTTTAAATTGTTACATAAGGATTGTTTAATGAGTCTCTATCTTATCTAAAAAAACTTACTATAACACTTTCAATTTCAAAAAATCGAATGCAGAAACAATTTGAGAACATCGTAGCCGTAATTTGAGAACATGCAGCCAGTGGACATGAAAGTGCGGCAAGATTTTATGCTACAAACTTGTGTTTTCGGGGTGAGGGATCCAATTTTTTTTGTATTTTTGCGATTCCAGTGGGCAATAATTTATTATAAACAATTTTATCTCAAGTTCTCACGAAAAATTGATTTTCCATGCACACGATGAGACATACCAAAAAATGTTCAAAATAAAAGTTGTTCGGCTTTCTCATATAAACAAAACTTTTTTTGGTTTATCAAAATCGACCCAGTGGTTCGCCCGCTAATTAGTGTTAAAAAATTCGAATTCCTCGCCCCCCGAAAACATAAGTTTCGACCAAAAAATCTTGCCGCACTTTCATGTCCACTGGACAGGGTACAGGGGGTATTGCGTATAGACTATTGATTTCATATGCAAACCTAATGGAACCAGTCATTCATCTTTTCATCAGTCCGTCGACGAGAGCACACCGATTGCTTATCGTAAGAAGTGCGCCATATTACTCATACCTTCCAGAGGAGGCAGCCAATATGTGTAGTGACTTCTCCGCATCGCGTTAGTCGTCGCTTGATGGTTATATTGGTCACAACCCAACTTTTCTCCTCCCAGCATTTGATTGTTTTTTCAAGTTGTGTAATTAATTTGTACACAATGTCAGTGGAAACATTCGAGATTATTTTAACCAGATCACCACCGACTTATAGTCCTGGTGACATTGTGACGGGAAAAGTGATTTTGGAATTGAATACGACGATCTTCTGTCGAGGTACGTATACAACTTAAATTTTTTACATTCCGGCAGTGTGGCTGGAATCAAAAAATAAGTTTCGTCACGCACTGTTAAAAAAAAATTGACATTCCATGCACACTCGTCTGGTAAATTTCAGGAGAGTGACATTTAATCCAATTTAGGGAGAAAAAAAAATGAAATTTCATATTTCCCTAAAAATTGAATAAATTCCAAATAAGACCAGAATTTCTCGACGTATTTGAATTTTCAATGAAAACATGAATATACAGGGCCAAATTAAACTGAATTTGCACTCAATTGAATATTGAAGGATATTTTCACCGCAATTTGACTGATTGATTTTTCCATGAAATTCTGAATTTTCAATTACAAAATTGCTAGAAATTTTTGTGGAATTAAAATGTAATAAATATTTCCAAAAAGTGGAAATATTTAACTTAAATTTTTTACATTCCGGCAGTGTGGCTGGTATCAAAAAGTAAGTTCACGCACTGTTAAAAAAAAATTGACATTCCATGCACACTCGTCTGGTAAATTTCAGGAGAGTGCTATTGAATCCAATTTAGGGAGACAAAAAAATAAAATTTCATATTTCCCTAAAAATTGAATAAATTCCAAATAAGACCAGAATTTCTCGACGTATTTGAATTTTCAATGAAAACATGAATATACAGGGCCAAATTAAGCTGAATTTGCACTCAATTGAATATTGAAGGATATTTTTACCGCAATTTGACTGATTGATATTCAGAACCATTCCATTCATTTTTGGTTCCATTGATATTTTGATTGTTTTTTCCATGAAGTTCTGAATTTTCAATTACAAAATTGCTGGAAATTTTTGTGGAATTAAAATGTAATAAATATTTCCAAAAAGTGTACCGGAAATTTTAGGCACCAATTTTTAACAGTGCATAGGGTAAACAGGTCAATTTCTGGACGATTTGAAGTTGCATTGAATATTCCATGAATAAAATAAAAATTCTGCCGACAACAAAAATTGTTATTTCCATCCGAAAACTTTTCTGACGAGTGTGAGGGTTGCAGGACGAGGCGAAGCCGAGGAATACAATCACACTCGTGAGAAAAGTTCTTTTCAGCCGAGTGATGAACATCATTTTTCGTCATTGCGGAATGACAAAAAATATATTCCTCGCCTTCGGCTCGGGCTGCAAACTCATATTCGCCAGAAAAGTTTTTTTCGGTCTAATGACGAAACATACTATTTCTTGACAATGTCCGTGAATGGCGTTTGACAGACAGTGTGATGAAATGACATTTTTATGTAGGAATACAGGTGACGTTGACAGGCACAGGTAGACTCCGCGGGTTGGAAGATAACTACCTGCATCCTAACGAAACAGCGAGACATGCGGATTCAGAGATATATGTTCAGAAGACAGTAAATGTAGGCGACAGCTCGGGTAAAGTAACATTAAAAAATCAGTAAAAATTCCGAAACTCTGATTCCTTGATAAAACTAACTCTGTTGAGATTTTTTCTCTACAAATTATTCAATATCGATGTTTATTCTTTTTTTCCTTTAAGAAAAAACTTAACAGAATCATTTGAATTTGAAAATAAACATCTATTGATTTTTTTAATACAATATTTTTATATTACTTTATAAATCACAGTGCACTGACCTGTTGGCTTCTCATTTTTAGAAGGGACGATTGAGAATTGGATTTTCGGTTATAAGTCGTTCCTCTTTAATTTCCTTTTACCGGAGAACATTCCAAGCAGTTTTAAACATATAAACGGAGAGATTTCATACAGCATTGAAGCAGTCATTGAAGGAGTATTTGGGCCGAAGTATACCAAGAAGATTGATTTGACCGTAGATAGTCCTTACGACTTGTCGACATATCCATCCGTGAGTGAGATAAATTAATTGAGCATTATCGTGGTGACGCCAGTTTTCGAATGGTTAAGGTGCACCAACACTAAGAGAAAAATCGACATAATATCACAAGAATCATTTCTTGAGTGAAAAACATCTCATACATATTTGATCAATTTATGAAAAGATGATGTCTTTTTTTCGAAATGAGATAATATTCCTTAAAAGACAAGAATAGTTTGATAGAAATAAAAAAATATATTGCTTCTCTTCGAACTTAAAACGATTGAGCGTACAGTAGAACTGAGGAGATTGTGCCCCTCACAGTTACCCCCACTTTAGTCAATCTCCACTCACATCCTTGTCTCCCACCTTTGAAAACTAAAGGCACAGTCTCCAGTCTAACCGTACACTGATAGAAATGGTGGAACGATTCAGTTGCACCAAACGAGGCTTCTTAACTGTTACCCGGATTCGTTAACTATTAACGAATCGTGGTAATAGTTAAAAAGTCTCGTTTAGTTCGACTAAACCGTTCTATCAGTGTGCGTGATGGTTATATTTTTTTAATATGTAGAGGTTTTCCTCAGCATAAACTGTCTACTATTCATTCAATATGAAATTCTCTGATTCATAATTCACTGAATCGAAGCTTTTAATATTTTGAGTCATTTTCTCATCTTCTGACACAAAAAAACCGATTTCATGTGGCAAGAAATTCTCACTTTATCATGAAATGTTTATGTTCAAGTCATGAACACTTCACCAAAATCTGAAATTGTCTGACACATTATCCGGAATTCTTATCCCAAGAAATTTATTCTCAAGAGATGAGATATTTGGCGCAAGAAATTATTTTTGTGATATTATGACGATATTTCTCTCAGTGCACCCATCAACAGCGGATTATCAATGTTGTATCCCGTCAAGTGTGAAATATTAACTTTTAGAAGTCCATTCGGATGTTTTTCCGCCAGAAAGACAGTTAATTTTTATTGAAAAACTTAGGAATTGGGTGAATATTTATAAAAATAAAACAGTGCTCCGAATGCAGATTTCGAATATCCAAAACCGAGGTAAATGTTAAGAAAGAGGGCCCCACCACCGATCTTTATGAAAACTTAACCATGTGATCGGGATGGTGTTATTAGCCACTTAGTAGCTCTTAATTTTGTCGGAAAAGTCTCAGTGGGGAAAAATCGCGGATAACTTACCTCACAGCTCTCTGCGTTACCGGGGCCCAACCAACGTGGAGGTGGCAGTGCTCCGGTCCCAAAACAACACATTTTGACATATATAAAGACAATCGGACAACACAGAGATGAATGATATATGGTTCTGAATAAGCAACCCCCTCCCCCGACCACCTAGACATGACCCGCTGCTACCCTTCTTGTAGCTATTTTTTAATTGAATAAATTAAATACACATACCTGGGGAACCGACTGTAATGGTTAGGTAGGTGGGGTGTTGCTCCGGCGAACATCCAAGCTAAGCAGCGTTGAGCTGGGTTAGTACTTGGATGGGTGATCGCTTAGGAACACCTCGCTCGCACAAAAACCACCGAATGACTGACCATTTAATTATCGCTATGTTTGTAGATGATGATAATGTTTTCGCTACCATTAGCTAATGAATATTGATATAAAAATTGAGGAAATTAATCGAAAGTAACTTTAATTTTCGAGGCCTTGCTGAGCTATGAATAAGCCTTGAATACTGGAATACTGGAGTACTGAGCCAGTATTCAACTGGAAGCCTGGACTAGGCCTGAATTGAGCCTCGCCAATGGCCCCTTTAATCATTTTCATTTGAAACCAAGCCTATCCCAGGCCTGAATAACTGAGCCTCGCCAACCCTGGGCTCATACAGGCTTGTTCTCATCGTCAACCNCGGATTCGTTAACTATTAACGAATCGTGGTAATAGTTAAAAAGTCTCGTTTAGTTCGACTAAACCNTATGAATAAGCCTTGAATACTGGAATACTGGAGTACTGAGCCAGTATTCAACTGGAAGCCTGGACTAGGCCTGAATTGAGCCTCGCCAATGGCCCCTTTAATCATTTTCATTTGAAACCAAGCCTATCCCAGGCCTGAATAACTGAGCCTCGCCAACCCTGGGCTCATACAGGCTTGTTCTCATCGTCAACCTATGTAATTCTTACCTGGGTGTATTCCCTTCAATGGCCAAATTCGTGTTTATAAACACGCCATAAGGTACGTGGTTATTTTTGGTGCCGAATGCCGCTGCCTTTCTCATTCCTTTGTTGCCACTATGACTAATGGTTTTTTCTGGTATTAATCCCCAACGAGGCATCTCTGACAGTCAAATTAATCCTTGAAATACTTAAAATTCCTTCATTTATCTATTAGAGGAGATGAATAAAATTCATGTGGGGCTGTCTTTCTTAACATTTACCCAAAATTGACTTCACACTGCCAGGGTGCGTTTAACGAGTTTCTGGAAACTTCGCGTAGAAGTCATATGGTGAGCCATCCAGGGTTGAATAGAATTCAAATTACCTTATATCTGGTAGAGATTCGTCATCGACGATATCCCCGAAATAATTATGTGATATATCATTCCACAGCGCCCAATTCATGATTTAATACATCAAGATTACAACTGCTGCTGCTTATTTCCCTGCATCGGGGGAGATTCTTTACAAGCGCATATACGCAGTCCAACAGATTCTTACGTCAGTGGCGAAACCATTTACGTTTTTGTTGATGTTAATTTCAGTTCAGCAACAGTAGAACTGTCTCAAGTGAAGTTATGGTTGGAACAGGTGAGTCGAAACAATCTAATTGGCAGCTGAATATGTTCAAGTGGAATGTTTGCAGCTCCGATTTATTTTCAGACACTGAAGTTCGATTATAATAACGGTAAACAGAAATTACTGCGCAAGATTATAGTCCCGACTCCCTGCAATGGTCCATTTCTTCCTCAAACAACGATTGAAGTGGGATTACAGGTGCCAATTTTACTTCACTCGGATTTTCCACATTGTCGATTTTTGAACGTAGACTATCGTCTGCATGTTGAACTGACTTTATCGGGATGGTATGTAATTTGCATATGATGAAATATCATAAATTAAGAAAAATTCAATAGAAAATCCCAAGACATTTCTATTCGGAAAGATCAACAAATTTTAATTTTTTCATTCAATAGTTTTTTTCATCGATATAATTTCTAATTATAATCGAACAAAAATGCAGTGGACGAACTCTGAACATTGATGCCACAATCTTTCTGTCGACTAAATCTTAACGATGGACGAGCAGGTTAAAAAATGCAGCCAATTTTATGAATTTTTTAAAGTATATTCTTCGATATATTCCGTAGCCCCATGCGGAGTTTCAGATTGCTACAGAGAATGGTTCAAATGAACTAAATTGTTTTAAAAAACATATTTTAACCCGTGTTCTTATAGCAAATGTAGAAAAATCCTCATCATGAACGTAAAAATGCAGCCAATATTGATTAATACCGTCGAGGATTAAAGTTCGTGAACAGCCTTAACTTGCATTCTATGTATTCTGTTTACGAACATTAATACTCGACTGTACACCTTCAACATTGATATTGACAAATACACCTTCTGCATGAAAAATTACATCGGTTCAGAACATTTTTTTAGATAAAATTAACCAGAAACCAGAAAAAAATCAGAAAATTTTTTCCATCGACATACGTTTATCCAAAAATTTCATCACCACGTCGGTATAATTTACTATTGACAAGCAAAATAATAGTGAATGAAGCCCAGGATCTCTCTGTGAAGTGAGGACTAATGAATGGTTCCCACATGAGTGACAGTATTGTGACAGTACTGTATGTGTTATCACTGTATTTGGCGTAATCTAAAACCGAAATCATTACAATGGTTTCTTTCAAGGGGATGCGTGTTAAAGAGCAAACATTTCATAAATTTTATTGTTTCGGAGAAATTTATTATTTCGGGGAAATTATCTTTGGATATCATAAATTCCACAACGTTCCTGAATTAAAAATAAAGATAAAGATAAATAATCTTCACAGTTATCGTGTTTACCCCCGTCTGATCGGCAAGCGCTACGTTGTCGCAACTCACAGCTGCGCGCGCAGAAATTCGGATTTTTAGTGGTTTTTTATTAATTTTGGTTAAAAAACTAATTCAACCGATGTTTTGTTATTTACAGAAGATGTATTCATCAATATGTCACACGTGGACGAAGTTTCGTGACATTGGCTGCATTTTTACATTCAGTCTATGCATTTTTCCACATTTCTCATAAGAACACGGGGTAAATTCCGTTTTCTTAGATAATTTATTCCATTCGAATCATTAAACTCAGCAATCTGAAGCTCCACACAGAGTATCGAAATATATCAAACAATGTACTTAAAAATTTCAAAAAATTGGCTGCATTTTTTAACTCGCTTAAATATCGTTAAGACAGTAATGTGTGTAGAAAAATAGGAATCTAATGTTTGGTGTCTATTGATTTTTTTTTTCATGTGCATTTACTCATGTCTTGAATAGGAATAATAAAGAATATTTATGTGAATTTGTCTCGTCATGGACTGAAGCAATCGGTGTATCGAGAGAGCATACGACATCAAGATTGGATCGAAATCGGTGCAAACCCGACGCTTGGATTAGTCAAAGCCATCAACCAGCTGAGCTTTTCCAAATGATGTGACATGCTAAGAAACTTGCCGTTCAACACCAGCTGTAGAAAAGATACAAAATAACCAAACGTTTTATGAAATGAAATATTCAACATTCCGTGATATTTTGTGAGGTTATCATTTTAGAGTGCTTATTTAACGAATAATTATTCTCAGTAAACCCGAATCGAGTTTGTACCATGGTTGAACAGCAGGTTGTTGGGATCATTATTGCTGTATTGTTGCCAGACCTATTTCGCCAAGTTATATTGAATTTTATTAAGGACGTTCAATTTTATACCATTCTATAGTATAATATATCATTTTTTAAAATATTTTGTAAGTGAAGGCCCTCGGGCAACGATCCGTTGCAAGCTTCTTGTGACAAGTTCCGTTAAAAATAAAAAAATAAAATATTTTATAACAAAATTATATCACGCTATTGTATATGATAGTTTTTTTAGATTACATACAAAAAAAACTTTATTTTAAGACTCATGATCTCAAATTAAGACTTTCGAAATTCTTAACGCAAAACGACTTTCAAGCTCCAAATTAAGGCTTTAGAAAATCTTACTTTAAAACATTTGAAATCTTAAAATAAGGTATTATTTTTTTGAATGTTGAACCCGAAAAATCGTACAATATTCCTATAATTGGGCTGTATGGAGATGTTGGGAAACTTGACTAATATTGCATCTGCGAATATATGCATCCTTTCCTAGTGGTTTAAAATCTTATAATCACCATTTTGCAAGGGTCTGATGAAGCTTGACCCTCTTCCATCAGTAGTGTTTCTACTATTCTGAGTAATGAAAATTGATTCTTCCAATCAAATTTTGTTAAAACAAACAAATCTCTGAAATTTTCACACAAGACCTTTTTATAAATTTTTGCCTCAACTAAATTTTATTGGCAGAAATAATTTTTTTCACACACCTACACGGAAAGTTCATACTTTGCTCCCTGATAAGCGGATGGAAAGTGCGTACTTTCCACTCGAGGGGAAAAGTCACTTTCACTCATCAGAAAGCAAAATATAAACTTCTTTGCAGGCGTGTTAAAAAATAGCATGTGCACCTCAGGCGGAGAAAACATGACTTTCCGCCCTTGGTACACAATATACTATTTCCTGGTTTTCGAATATTTTAGAGAAGAGGTCAAGAAATGTCTGTAAACGAACGGAAATTTTTTTTTTGCGCAAGTATAGCGTCGTAACTCGATTAATATTGCCTGTCTAGAAAAAATGAAGGAGTACTTTTTTTACTGCAAAAGTGTCATATATTTATCTAGGATTTTTACTTGCAAAAAAATGCAATTTACAATGAATTTGTTAATATAACTATTCGAACTCCTGGGGCCAAAATTATTCGTCCTGCCGCAAAAAATTGGAAATTTCGGATTTGGCAAATACAATGCTTCCATTCGGAAACAATGTACTATTATTTCTCCCAAATGTCCGTAATCCACGTTCCACAGATAATAAATGCGGAAATGAATATCAAATGCTAGATCCTGCCTAAGTGCCGATCAAATTGATAAAGAATGAAGAATGAGTCATCTCAAACCACATGTTAGCCAACCGAAATATACATGAATCACACTGTTCAAGAGAGATGATTGGATTTTATCTACATCCACGAAGACTTCGCGAAACTTTATGATGCTGTCTCAATTTCGATCGATCACACGAGTGAAGTTAGATCGTAATCAGATCAAATAAGTGTTTCACGATATGAACGTTCCATGTTAAAATTACGATTGGTACGCTTTCAGTGGGCTCGTTTGATCGATCGAATCCTGATCCAGGAATGGGGGAATATCATGTGTCATAAATAAATAACTTTTTCCTCGTTCGGAACAGCGAACATACGCAATATTCCCCACAAGATGTATGACACAATTCAATTGCGAGATAGTTTAATATGTAATAGAAGGAAAGAGTCAAGAAATCGACTCAGCGTTTTGCCTCTTCGAGTTGTTTAACTCTCCAGTAGTCGCGCTATGGCCTGAACGCCACCGTTTTTATTTTCACGATATCTCTAGAAATGTGATGAATTACAATCTGCCTATTTACAAGTTCCTCAAATGATATGTCCTGATGAGATTAAACAGGGCAGGGTTGCCCTGCACTGACAATTTTTTTGTCGAGCACGGTTAGCGAGAATGAGCGCAGCGCTCACCGCGCGACTACTCTCATAGTGGAAATTTGACGAGCGGTGTTGCCGACCCTCGTGGTAGTCCCAAGCAGCGTGCGCGGAGTGGGGGGTCGCTGGCCGGCGATATGTCTATAGCATCGTATGACTCTGGCAACGCTGCGCTCGAGAATGTGCGGACGGCGCAGTGCTTACCACTAGAGATGCAAATGCGTCACATGACCCGTCATATGACGGTAATGTGACCGTCATTGACGGTCACATGACGAAGCGTTCATGACGGCTGTCACAATTCCCCCTCCCCCTTCTGTGACCGTCACAACTTGTCAAAAAAAAATGACAGTCATTTTTCATTTATATAGATGAAACTTTATTTTTTTCTCCGTCAATTTTCAGTTGAATTCCTTTTGTATTGGCCTAATCCGCATTTTGAAATGGAAATCACGATTTTTTTCCATCCATATAGATGAAACTATTTTGTTTTATTCATGACCGTCACAAATTGGAAATTAGTTATGACCGTCATTATGCAACTATATAGATGGTTTGATAACAATTTGGTTACAAATGATTTGTGACAATCATTTGTAGTTGGAAAATTTGTGCGTCACATGAGCGTCACAAAACCATCATTTTTTGGTCATATGACGCGATCTAAAAAAATGATGGCCATTTTGCATGTCTACTTACCACGCGACCAACGTTAACAGAGGGTGGAGATTTTGTACGCCTAGTCGCTCCATTCTTGAGTTGTATGGGTGAAGTCAGGGCGTTACGTACGCCCAGCAGCCTTACTCTAGAATGCCTCCTTAACCTTAAGTACGGATAAATCCTTTGTCAGGGGCTATTCTGAATGTTTGATTAACAAAAACCTTAATTAATTGAAATAAATCATGTCTCCTGGGGTGTTGAACGAATGTTTTTGATTGCAGTATGCTATCATACCGCACAGTAGACGTTCGAAAAGCATTACAACTCGAAGAGATGTTGGCCCGAGAGGAGTTCGAGTACCTCATCGAGGAGGAGGTGGCAAAGCAGACGATTCGAACGTGGTTAGAGGGATGTCTGAAGAAAATCCGAGCCACAGGGGTAAATACGACTCCTATATTCTTCACTCATTTATAGATTTGAAGGACTGTTTCACGCCAAATTAAATTTACTTTACCACAGAAACAACAGAATAGTCTCATTGTGGGTCTCAGAGCAACAAACGACCTGGCAGTGACTCCTCAGGATCATCCGGAGGAGAAGAGCCAAGAGAGTAGTGTAGACCGCGAGGAAGAACCAGAAGCTAAGGAGACTGATGGCTTGAGGAATCGAGGAGGAAAGAAGCCCGTTGTATTACCTAGGTCAGATAGCATTGGTAGCAGTTCAGGGAGAAAGTATCTAGCACCAACATTATCAGATCCTGCCTCCGTCCGCAGTGAGAAGGAGAAACTCGCTGCCCCTAAAAAACGTAGTAGCCGGCCAGCACGTATGTATTTTATAACGTTTTCAGAATATTTAAAAAAAATTGCGGGTAAAGATACAGCCGTAATTGTATGTGGATACGTCTGTGGTCTTCACTTTCCTTCACTGAACATCATAATTTTTTATTGTATACTTTTATATAGGTTATTAGACGAATTCAGGATTTCGCACCGTCTCGTCATGATAAGACGTTTTTTATAATCGCGATACGATTGAATTGTTATGTACAACCAAAATCCCTAAACAAATGTTCAACATGTTTCATTTTCAACGAAGTTATCACATACAAACACCTTTGGAAATTTTAACGCGGATCCACAAATTTTATCTATTTCGTGCAATAATAACCAACTGTCCAGATGTTGCCGACCAGCGCTAAGGATTCCTTAAAATTGTAATTTATTTTTGAAAAAAAACTAGAGCATTTTTTAGAAAATCGAGAATTATCTAAAGAATTGTAGAATGTTCTAAAATTCCGATGGATGGCGTCACCATCGATAAGGAACCATAAGGACTTTTTCCCTAAATCCCCTCCCCCCATAATGAAAACAAACGTATCCACATCAACATTTAGATGATGGTATTCAAGTGTTACAATAGTATATTTCAGCACGTGTGGGGCAATTTCGTCTTTAACGTGTGTGGGGTTTACAGCATGAGCCGAAGGCGAGTGATGTAACCACACACGTTAAGGACGAAATTTCCCCATAAGTAATGAACAAAATTTTATGTCACGAAGCCTGAAACCGGCTGGATTACACACTCGACGCTTCGCGTCTCGTGTCTAATTCAGCCGGTTTCAGGCATGAGTGGCATAAAAGCATTTTTTTATGTCCTCCCCCCCCCCTGTAGTGATTATGGCGGTTGGGAGAAACTTCAATCATTAACATAGATGAAGTATATAAACTCCAGAAGATATTGTTTATAATGTTTATTATAAACGCATCAAGTGTGCGAATATTTACAAGAACGTTACGATGCGAAGTATATACACAGTGAATATAATATCTACAGTGTATCAACCAGTGCCTCGGCAGTACACAATAGACTGATCGTGATATTCGGGATTACGAATACCGCACAAAAGGGAACAGAAGAATACCTTATTTCAATGTATTTAGAAGGAATTAAAATGTATCGAAATAAGATGACGCGTGACGTATGCCGGGCGAGGCCGAGATGTATCGAAATTCCATATGAAAATCCCATTTTGGAACACCCCGAAAAAGCTGTTTATTATTATTATCTATCAAAGAAAAGAAAATTAATTGATTTTAGACTGACCGCTACATAACAGTGGAATTTAAAGAATAAGAAACTTGGAAAATGGACTTTTACTTGTCCTCGCGGTTCAGCCGTGTTTTCGATTAAAAATTACATCAAAACATGAAAAAAATCCCTATTTAATTATAAAAATCCGTCAATTTGTTCGCAAGATATGATTTTTCAAATATTTCAGCTTTTGTTATGTCACAGATAAACAATTGATGTTAGATGAGCGAAGATTTGGAGAAAGCATGTACTTATGTAGTACTTGACTGTGAATATGCCAATTCAGGATTCTCAAAACCAAAAAAATTCAGGGTTGCTGAGTTGACGTGGAATGTCCCATAATAGTATACTTCGTTACGAGTGCGGAAAAGTGTTTTTGGCTCGTGGGAGGTTTATAGCACGAGCCGAAGGCGAGTGATATAATCCCACGAGCTAAAAACGCTTTTCCCACGAGTATCGAACGATATTTTTCATCACAATCTGTGGAAAAGGGATGTTTTAGGCACGCGAAGCGTGCCTAAAAAGTTACTTTTTCGCACAGCGCGATGAAAATAATTTTTTTATATCAAATTGCCTTTTAAACTCAGCGAAGTCGTTTATTCGTTATCAACATCACCCAAATTTTCACGTGTCATATCTCGATGACTACTGAATTATGGAGATATTCCAACTGAAAGCGGCACATCTGTTTGGACACAGAATGCATGATATTTACACATAGCCCAAAATTCTCTTCCTCTCATTCTCATCTAAAAATCTTGAAACCATTTTTTTCAGCTCTGGTCAAAAATAATTTGCCTTATTTAACGGAAGGAGCAGAGCAAAGCCGTCAGCCGCGCGAGTCATCGAACATAAAAGCAGCAGCTCCAAAAGTATCAAGTATTACCCTAGAGGTACGCGAATGGTGGCGCGAGCAATTGGCGTACAGCAGTGAATCAAGCGAAGATGAGTTCTGAAAAATCTCGATGATGTTCTGCGTGAGTTTAAAAAAGTCATAAAATTCCACTAATAGTCGTTCCTCGCAATGGGACAACTAATTACGAGAGGAAATAATGAATTCAAGGCCCAGTCCGCTGTGAAAGGCGGACCCTCTGACGGCCGTGATAACGATAAAGTCAGTGATTCGACTCGGCTCTTCTTATCTACTACTCTATCGACGCTGTAGATACGCCCTCCTCGATTAAGGGGGGGTCACACCACTTTTTTCAAGTACCAGAAGTATTTGATGAGAAATTTTGGTTATTTAAAAATACATCCTTCCGTCTATTCTTTTTTTACATAAAAAAAAATTTGAAAAAAAAATTCCAACATTTTTTATTATTATATCATATTTGTGGTACTTGAAAATAGCGGTGTGACCCCCCCTTAACATCCACGACTAAGAACACACAAAACTACTGAAAAGCAGAGAAAATAACGCACACGAGAAATTTTTTTATTTCTAGGAAAAAACAAAGTATTTTATCATCGAAATGTTTTTTCGTGTTTCTGGGTGCCTAATCACGTGAATCGAAACATAATTCCTTATCACTAATTTTATTTCGTTTTTACGAGTGATAAATTGGAGATTTTAGGGGCGAAGAGGTGAAACTTTTTCGTTGATTATTTAATCATTTCGGTTATGAATTGCAATGCGAAAAATTTTGAAAAAGCTTTTTTGAAGAGGTGATATTTCTCTGCAAAAAAAACAAAAAAAAAATTTGAAAAAGCTTTTTTGAAGAGGTGAAACTTCTCTACAAAAAAGATCTCTGGATGTCAGATCAGAATGAATGGATTCATAGCTTTAGTAAATTAGAAAATGTGACGAAATGGACATCCAGATTTTTCAAATGATTTTCCAAGAATTGTTAATGTGTTTGAAGTGTCAGTAGATCTAAAATAGTAGTTTAGGTCTGTTTCATTGACGCGGGCCGTAAAGAATGAACTGATAGAACGATTAATTTGTTATGAACGAGGTTTGCTAACTATTCACAAATGATAGTTAATTATTAATGATGAACCGGTGAGGAAAAACAATGCATCCAAATTTATGAAATTTTCTAAAATACATTCTTCCATATATTCCGAAGCCCTGTGCGAAGTTTCAGATTGCTGAAGAGAATGGTTCACATGAAATAAATCATTTAAAAAAACGCAATTTAACCCGTGTTCTTATGGGAAATATAGAAAAATTCACATTATGAACGTAAAAATGTAGCCAATGTCCCGAAATTTCGTTCACGTGTGACATAGTAATAAATACACCTCCTGCAAGAAAAATTACATCGCTTCAGAAAATTTTTCAGTGCAAATTTACAAAAAAAAAACACTAAAAATCAGAATTTTTGCGCGCGCAGCTGTGAACTGCGGCAACGTAGCACCTGCCGATCGGGTGGAAATAACCGTGCCAAATTCAAACGTCTATAAAAGATAATTGCGCATCTAAAGTGAGGCCCTGGGATTCATTTATTATTTTTCTCATCGATAGGAAATTAGAACGACGTAGGTGATGAAGTTTTAGATAAACGAGTTGCGATGAAAAAATTTGCACGTGTTTATGCGCGTGACTATGTTCACTGAGAACCCTCAGTAAGGCGTGACAGGCTCACCAACTCTGAGAAAAAAAGTATTATGGCCGACGTTGCCATTTCTTTTTCCCAAATGAATCATTTTGGATTTATTATTAAAACTGAATATAAAAATGTTTTGATACATGCAAGATGTAGGAAAAAAAATTGAACAGTCATAAAAAAAATTGTTTAACCATAGAAGACTTCAAATATGATCTAAATATTTAATTGAAGGGGACAGAATTTGTTGTTCAGAAATTGGTGTTCTGCAGGATTACTTTCATCGCCGATTCATCATTAACGCCAATTATTAATAAATACACATTTGAGTAGAACAAATCAACAAGCCTTCCACAACATCCACTTCTCGATAATAAATAAACTCGTCTATCAGTGTATTTGACGAAGAAAACCCCAACTATATTCAGCTCAAAGAATTATCTTCCAACTGTCGTCACCAAAATAATTAAAAATGAAAAACATATTCACTTGAATAATATTTCAAAAATATCAAGACGTCCGTTGCCCTGATAATTGAAACATCTCATAAATGACTCATTTCACCTCTTCGCCCCTCATCTCAAACTTTTAAATAAAAAAAATAATCAGGATGGATTCGTTGAAATAAAAAAATGAATGAACATCGCCTGATTGTAGAGACTGCTCGATAAACAAATAACTAAAAAAATTAAATAACTCAAATTGATGTTGAAAAGTAATCTAGAATTTGTACGTAGAGACGATTAGATTTTTTACGAGTGGTCTGCCACAGCCACACCCCCTCCCCCTCCCTCCCGCGTCCTGGCACAAGTGATAGCTCTTACGTTTGTATTGAAATCGTCGGAGTTCGCTGTTGAGAGGAAGAAAAACCAAAATGTTTAAAAAAAAACGTTTAAAAACTAAAAAAAAATATATAAGGGCAACTGTTAGTACAATGAGCGCAGGATACGATTCGACGAAGTCATTTTAGCGATGGGAAACGATCCGGCTCCTCTTATTGAATAATTAAGCGTTTAAAAAAAAAATGAAAGGAAAAATGAGAAAGATTTAAGTTAAGTCAATTAGACGTTATACTGCATGTTACAGACTGAGTGATGTTAGATTTTTTACGATATTTAATGATGAAGAAAATAATGCCTAACAACACAAAAGGAAAACCACACTGGGTCTAAATAGTTTATTATTCCCCTGATTTTTTCTATCCGATTGTGAAAATATTCAACAGACGAAAATCAAATTATACAGAGGATATACTTTTCTTCGTGTTGGGCAGAAAAAAAAATTATCATTACCATTGAGAATATTCTGTGATAAATTGATAATTAAAAGGAGATTAATTGAACAGAATTGCAAGGTTTCTTTTAATTATGTTCACAAAGCTTTCTGAATTTATCAAAAGGATTTAGAGAGAAAAAATATCAAGACACTTTTTCCGCGAAAATAACAAAATGTCTTTCAACATGTTTTTTCTTTAAGCACCGATTGGATTCAGGTATTCGCAACAAAATTTGCATTCGATTCTTCAATCCATCTCCTGTTACTCATCACTTCATTACAGAATTGAATATTTGTATTTGCGGATTACGAGGCGTTATTATTGTTGAACGATTGCGTATCGTGATTGTTTTCGAACGTAGTAGATTACCAAAAACGTTATTTATTTTGATATTGATAATAAATTCAGTAGTTCGAGTGGTGAAATGTAACAAAATTGGCTTTTCATATTTTGTTAAATATCAAATTATCTCGATACTTCTACATGAGGAGAAAAGTTATCAATATCCATTCAGTAAAAATAAATATTCCGTAGAATTCGGGCGCAACGAGTGAGGTATCTTATTTCAAACCGCTGATCCCCATTTTTCTCTTCTCTATAAGCATCGGTGGGGAGGGTATAGAATTCTCAGAATTCCATTGTTCTACTGTCCCTAAGGTATCTTATATAAAGCCAAGGCTTATATAAGATACCATCTTGACTGTACCCTCACGTTCAGAAAATTTGCCGGAGCCAGCGGAGAAAAATTCACTATTCCCCTTACACTGTTTTCTCCGACATAGGCTGACTTGACTTGACTTCTATTGGCAAATTACAAAACGGGCCACTTATGAGTTTTAAGTGAAAAGCTTTACGATTTTCACCTACAATTGAGATGACTAAAGCCAATTTATTTCACGAGTGATCATAGAAATATCAACTGGCAATAGAAAATTGAATAATTTTATTAAATTCTCAACTGAACTTCCATTGAGTGAAGAAGTCGTCTTTGGTAAAATGTAACGAACACACTTTCATTGATTTTGTCACTAGCTTTCCGATTCTCAAATCGATCGTCCAAGCAATTAGATGATCATCTGTTTCCTCTTCACCGAATTTCGTCGTCAATTTTACGAAACTGTTGTTTTTTTAAAGAAAATTGGAAGAATCTCACTGTAGGATTACGATAGGCTGAATTATTGCAACCAGGCGCACTGCCAAATTCATTATTTTTTGTTACTCTGATGTCGAACCCCATTTTTTAATTGATTTTTGAATAGTATTCCCTCTGCTCTTAGGATGCCTTTATAACTGTGTTGATATGCACAGACAATATAAATCACGAGAAATTTAATAATAACCGGCAACAAACAACTCTTTTGTATACATAAACCCGTTCAGTGACTCCAAATTACCTGTTCGTACTAGTACGCGCTACGGCCGGTACAGCCCGTCATTCAGTGCTAGAGTTCCCAATTGAAATTTTCTCTTGAAACCACTCGGTTGATATATATAACAAACAACAAAAATAAAAAAATTACTTGTTATTGTTCACCACTTAGCCACTGAATTCGTAACGAATATGATGACGTGTTCCACCAAAAAAAACATCAAAGTATTTCATTAATTAATGAACCTAGAACTATTGATGAAAACATCAAGAGGAAGCCTCAAGAATTTTCTTTGAGTTTCGCTGGGTGAAACTTGTATATTTTTTATGAGGCCAATTGGCAGATGTATTCGCAGATATATTACGTTGTAGATTAACGGATACTCGAAGTGTTATTATTTAATGTAGTGTAAAGGACAATAGAGTATACGTGGATTTATGAATGCGTAAATGAACATAATTCTTAAGAAAAAATAAATAAAAATACGAGATAAAGATCAAGGGGAGTGAAAATTGTATCGACAGCCTAAAGATTATAAACAATTGATTCGAGAATTATGAGAGATGATTGCCAAGGATGTATACACTGTCGCAGTATGAGTTGATTTTATATAAATATTTACATGGAAAACAAAATTAAAAATGTGACATTAGACGACGTAAGCCATTATAACGTTTTACGTTGACGTGATAAATGTTGAATAATTGTTGCCTAGTTTATGTGCCAATGTGTTGTAATATATAGAGCTAATAAATGTTACTAGATAAAGTAATGAAACCCAGTCTTTTATTGAAAAAAATATTTTCTGCCTTGTAAATAATTTCAGTGGTTAATAGGGAAGAGTACATTATGAGTACATTATGAGTTTCTGTTTTTTGTTGTCAAATTTGGTATTTTTCAATATGAACAATGGAAATACAATTTTTCCAAAGGAAAAATAAATTCTACTATGACTGTAGTCAAACTAAAACTTTCCCCTCATGCACTTAGTTGCAGATTACGGTCTGTGGCTCCCATTGTCAATTTGTCTCAAAGAGAAAAGAAATTTGAGTCCAACGATTCGATTTGGACGAGTCAGGTTTTATCCTGAAACCTGAACAAATGCCTTGGAAATGAAAAAATAGGGGAATCCCACTCGGCCGTTCTCAATCTATTGCTGATTGAAAACGACCCTTTAACCATCGAGTAGAAATTGAGTAGAGTGGGGGTAATTCTGAGGGGCACAATCTCCTCAGTTCTAATATACCCCGCTCTCCCTTAGTGGAATGAAAAAAAAAAAACATTTACACATTTTCTGTAGAAAATTATGGTAATTAGAGTATATAACTACTCCAAAGAATTTTTCGAGGAAATTGAATTATTTTGCCATTTAGCTACAAAAGAAATTTAAATCAACAAGAAAATTGAGTCGGACTCAATTAGGTAAAAAAAAAGCTCAACGGCCTTGCGCAGTGGGTAAGGTCGTGGCCTCACGTGCGCAAGGTTCAGAGTTAAAATCAAGGTCGTGTAGAATCGTGAGATCTAACCAGTTTAAGGTCTTGATCCTCATCGCAATAGACTCAACCGAGTCGAAGCAATGTAAAATAACATTTTAAAAAACTTGAAGGGGCGACTGAGTCAAATTATGATCTTTGTGGGGTTCATACTGGATAACGCTAAGGGCTGGTGAAGCCTGATAATTTAAGAATAAGTGCTTCACTACACATTGAATTTATATGAACACCTCATAATTACAATTTTTCTAAATTGCTTTTAGAAGGAACAGCGTAGAATGGGAGGTCCCGTCCATCTACAATTCATTTATAGCAACCAGTTTCCGACACAATATACCTCGAAATACTTCAAGATCAGGATACGAACTATAATATTTACCTATCAGTATTCCTGAAGAATTGGAATTGCTATGTTATCTAATTAACAAAAGGATGTTTCCTGACATTTTTGCAGTAGTAGTCTTAATCAGTCTAACATAAATAGCCGAATACATTAAATGTGAAAAGGGACAAATACAAAACCCCACCCAATTCGCCTTGAAACACATTTATTAAATCCAATCAAAAAAAAAGTAGAAAAAGAATTAATGATTACAAATACATAATTAACTAGAGAAAAACATGGCAAAAATTACAAAAAAAACTTAAATCAGGAAAACTTGATCATCCGCCAGCATGATCTGATTGGCATCAGTCATCTTGTGAATGGCAGCCTTGACCTCTCCACTTGAGAACTCAGGGCTGTGTTCCTTATTCAAAAACTCCTTGACCTTCTCCACAGGGAGTGACTGTGCCCGTTGCTGCTGGAACAATTTATGCAAGGAAGTCCTGAAGAGCTTAAACCTGTCATCAGCAATGGTCTCAGATCCCCCCTCAGTGTCCATGGACTCTTGGAGCTGACTGGCAGTCTCCTCAGCAATTGTTTGCGACCTAGTGACCTTCCTGACAGCCTCATCCACGTGAGAATCATCATCCTCACTGTCGTACTCGTAAGGATCCTCCCCAGCGGAGACACTCCCCCTCCTCGATCTCTTCTTCTTCCTGGCTTCACCCTGAGTCTCGTCTCCAGAGCTCGCCTCGCTCTCCATCCTCCTCCTCTTGTTCTTCTTCTCCTTCTCGAGAACCTTCTTGAACAACGCAAACTGTATCAGCTCAATAGCGAAGTTTGCGTCATCAACGGTGACTGTTTTTGATAATCTTGCCTTAGCGTGAGCTGTGGACAAACGAATGAGGGTCTCCAGGGTTCTAGCTGTCACCGGTTGAGTCCTCGCTCCATCTGCCTGTACAGTCTCCTCAGACCTGTGTGAAACAAATTGTAAAATCTTTTTCAAAGAAATATTAAATAAGGAAACTAGGCTATCCTGGGAATGCGTCAAAATTTTCCAACAATCCATCATCCTTTCTAAAAAAAAAAAAGCATGGGTGTTTGAAATCCTGTTCGATTTCGGGAAGAATTCCGGACCTTTCCGACTTGTAGCCTGGGGTATTCGGAAATCCTCGCCGAGTACCGATTTCACCCGAGAGGTGTCGATTCGCCTCCCGAATTTTCAGTTAGTTATTCGTCACCAGCCGAACGCATCAGTGCGAGAAAATTATCTTTGAACAGTTATCGTACGTAAAATCATCGTGAATAATTTTCTGAAAAGTGATGAATTTCTGAAAATTTCGATGAAATATTATCATCAATATTTCATTTATATATAATGATGCTTCAGCATTCGTAACATCACGTTTAATGGAACCAGCAGAAACCTAACTTTCAGGGGAATTCATGAAAAATTCGAAATTTCCAAAAATTATCCTAAAAATCAAATTAACCGAGACAGTTATTGTAGCCATCTTTTAACTTCGTCATCGCTGCATTGAAACAAACATATTGAGCTATGATTAAATTAATTTAAAGTGCAATATCCAGAGATATCTGCGGAATTCTGATTTTCAAAAAATACGAAATTTTGAAAAATTTCACAGAAATCAAAATAACGATTATTGCTATCGCTTTCATCTTCGAACTCGGTCAAAAGGACATCCCAACGAATTTTTCAAGCCGTCATTTAATGAATTTGAAACATTTTTTTTACTTATCGTGTTACAACGGAATTTTGAAAAAATTAGAAAATTTAAAAACGAATCAATAAATTAAATTTTAACTAATGGCGATGGATAGGGCTTAGCAATACCTTTATTTAAGAAAAAAAAGTGATTCAATTCAATTCCATCGATTGATTATCGAAACAAATGCATTTTCGGACTTTTTGGATCATAATGAGTCGATATAACACAAAAAATTCAAATCTTAAATTTGAACGATTACAATATTTCCATTCGGAAGCAACAACTAATTGAAAAAAAGGAATATCAAGCCTGCCCGGCAAAAGGGCATCACCAAGGGTGGCGGTAGTAAAAATCAAACAAAAAAAAAAACAATCACAAACCTGAGCCTGGAGTACTCATCAGCAATCGTCCTCCCAGCCTCCTCCGTCAATTTCGGCTTCATGCACCTGGCAATATGAATGTACTTCCTCATGAATTTCACACTGAGTATCTGATCCGTCTTAGCCCTGGAGTTGCCATGCAGCAGTGAATCGTACTTCTCATAAACCGGATTATCCTCCTTGTCAGTCTCCTCAGCATCCACGTCCCTGGTGCTCAGCATGTCCGCCTTGCTGTTGAGAGGAAGAGCCTCACCATCCTGTTCCGTAGGTTTCCTGTACCTGTGCATCCTGACCACGTGCTCGCTGATCACATTATCTAGATCAGCGTCCACGAGGTCCAACATCACGAAGAGCAAATCGAAACGAGAGAGGAGTGAGTCCTGAAGCCCGATGTTCTCCATCGGTGTCTTGTACTGGTCGTAACGTCCGTAGACTGGATTGGCAGCTGCCAACACCGAACACCTGGCATTGAGGCTTGCGTGAATTCCAGCCTTGGCGATTGTCACCCTCCCCTGCTCCATCACCTCGTGAATGGCTGTTCGATCGATGTCCGACATTTTGTCGAACTCGTCGATGCAGATGACCCCTCGGTCCGCCAGGACCATGGCACCAGCCTCCAGACGACGCTCCCCAGTTTCTTGGTCGACTGTGACAGCTGCTGTCAGACCGACCCCTGACGAGCCTCGACCTGTCGTGGGGATGGCACGAGGCGCTGTGCACAGGACGTAACGGAGGAGCTGGGATTTGGCGACTGAGGGGTCACCTATCAGCAGAATGTTTATGTCTCCTCTGAGGCGGGTGCCGTTCGGCAGGACCTTCTCTACTCCTCCCAAGAGGAGGCAGAGGATCGCTTTCTTTATGTACTCGTGACCGTGTATTGAGGGCGCGAGGGACTGCCCCAGGAGCTCGAATATGTTCTTTCGGGGATTGGTCTTTGCGAGCTTCTTGCACATCGCTACGTCCTCGTGGGAGATCGAGAGGGTCGCCTCTTTTGAGAGCTGCGTGATGCTGTTGGCGATGAGGACGGTGCGGAAGGTACCGTTTGTATAGCCGTTTTGCTTGCCTGAGGCGAAATCGTGGGGCATGAGATTATGTTTGTGTTTTTTGAGATTGGAAAGGGAGATTGAAGATTATTTACAGGTGGAAATGGTTTAGTCGTGCTTAGGAATGGGTTTTCTTACCGTTCAAGATTGGCTTGTGGGTTGTTGTGGGTACGAAAAAGTTCTTTTGATATCTCACCGTAGTTGCAAAAATATTTGCAAAATAATATGCATCGTTTTTGATCGATTTCAAATTTCGATAGATGTTATTCGGTGAGTAAGCATGACATTGTTAAATATTTTATGCGGGTTATGCGAGTGATTTCAAAATAGTTCAAATTTCTCCAATAAATGAATAAGTGAAGAATTTCAGTTTTTTTAGATATCGCTGGAGGATTCGAATGCGAAACAGTTCTCTTAGAAATTTTGTCTAGTTGCAGAAATATTTCCAAAATATTCTGCATGTGAATTTTTTATCCCCTTTTTTCAATCGAGTCTACGCTTTGAGAGATGTAAGTACAAACTGTAGATAACCACGAGATAGCTGACTGTTATTTATGGATTTATGAGAGTAATTCCAAAATCGCTTTAATCTTTAATTTCCTCAAGAAATTAAATGGTGCCAGGCGGAGCGAAATGTCAAGACTTTGATCATGTACTGTGGCATTGTCCGAATCACGATCAACAGAGAATAAAATTGTTATACAACTTAAAAAATTCAACATGTACTGCTCCCCATACTACAAAAAAATTCGCAGATGCAACTGACCATAAATACATAGACATCATTTGTAAATACCTTCAAGAATGTGAATTAAAAATCTAAAATGAAAAAAGAATACCAACTGTAATAAGTGTAACAAATTGAGAAAAGTAAAATAGCAAACATAGTGTGAATAATCTATAATTAGGATTCCAGCATTTTAAATTTAAAAAAATTAAATGATAATGCTTATTTGCAGTAAAAAATAGCAATGAACCCGCATAGTTTTTTTTTATTGTTCGAGATAATTGTTCACGTTGTTTTCCTGATATTTTTGGAGGTATAGAAGTTTACAGGTTTATAAATTTTTAGCAAACCATTTGGATACGAAAGAGTTCCGTAAAAATTATTGTCCCCTTGCAGAAATATTTGAAAACCAATCTGCATGAGAATTCTGCATTGATCTTAGTTGATATGTACATTTTAAATTCACATTCAATTTTTTGTATGTTCCTGATAATATTGAAAATTAATAATTTTAGCTTGTTGGAATGTTAGTAATTTTATCTGGTTGTAAATGATCTATTTGAAGAATTGAATCCTATTTTGACGAAAAGGTGGCTGTAAATTATTCACGATGTTCAGAAATTGTGGACTTCAGTAGAAAAAAATGGATATTACATTAAATAAAGATGAAGTGATGATCTGTTCGACATGCGTCTGATTTCATATTTTCCAGGGAAATTGTACATGTTTTTTTTTTCCTAGCGACATAGCAACTTTTCTGGGGAACATTTTTTCAGAGAAAAAATTTTCCGGAGATTTTTCTCCAGGGTATTTTTCACGGGAAAAAAAATCCGGGGACCAAATTTTCCCATTCACAGGCAGAGTTTCTGCTTTGAACTAAGGACTGGAATTTAACCCTGATTTTTAAAAAATTATTTGGGACTCATCTGGGGGGTGAATGTATCAAAATTAGTCGAGGATGTGGTCAAGTCGCACCTAAGTCTATATTAGATTTTCTTACCTGGGAGACAACGGAAATTTCCAACCACCTGCACTCGATCTCCAGGCTTGCAAAGATCAACTAAATCGTTATCACAAATGATGTCGACACTGCGAGGTAGTTGACCTGCTGGTGCCTTCTCCGGCATCTCTTGGATTGATAATGTCTGGTGATCTTTGAATGTCGAGAGACCGAATTCGGTCTCCAGGGGATTTCCGTCAACGTCTTGTGTTGGGTAGACTGCGGAGCCGGGGAAGGCCTCGAGGGAGGTGAGATCTGTGTACGCCCGCTCCATCACGGTTTTTGTGGTTGGACAGTAGTGAACACTGCGGACAATCTTTGGACGCACGAGGGAACCTGATGTCAGAGAAGGGGAATTTACATTGGGATTAGGATCCAATTATATTTATGTTGAAATTTTTCTCTTCGTCAAAGATTGATTTTCTGAATGGAGAAAGGAGAATATAAAATCATCATCAAATTGACGAATATTTTTTTTGTTCATTCATTCTAATTTCTTCAATTGATGATTCATCAAAGATTGATTTTCTGAATGGAGAAAGGGGAATATAAAATCATCGAATTGATGAGTATTTTCTCTGTTCATTCTAATTTTTTCAATTGATAATCGAATTAGTTAATCCTAAAGACTTTTGATTAAAATTAAATAATGGAAATTTTGAGATTTTTTCCATTGAAATGCATTATAAATTGGTTGAAAATTCAATGAGAGTTCGGTCTTTAAATGAAATAAAAAGTAGGACGAATAAATGTAGAAAAAAGATGAAAATTGACAGAGAATGTAAGATCGAAGTAGAACTGAGAAATAATTCCTCAATTTATTCATGTTTTGTTTCAATATAAATTTGAAATTTTCTCAAAGGATACTTACACTTGGTAACAATTCCCTCCACACAAACTAGGTTCCCCAGATACCTCGAGGTGAGAGTTCTGGGTGTGACATGACGATTACCAAAGCTCCCCTCGAACCCAATGAAAAAATCGGGATTCCCTTTGCTGTAGTCGGTGTCAACAGTCGATACAAATTGCTTCAGAGCATTTTGAAAGGCCATGGACTCCTCGAAGGAATTTGTGAGGAGACTGCAACCAATAATACATGCCCATTAGCATCATCATTATTATCACTCGTGTGAGGCTATATATTTTTGCATAATATTCCCATTATGATTTAATAAACAAATCACACATTTTATAATTTTGAAAAAATTAACAAGGTAAAAGAATATGAAATTGAGATAATTCTTTTATAAAAATAGGAAAAAATAATAATAATGCATTCACAACTTTGAATTATTATAGAAAGGAAATAAGTCCATATAATCGCACACGAGAAAATTGTATAGAAAAGCTCCATTGAAATTCTATCGAAAATTCAACTAATCTTTCGTCGATTCTATTGAAAAAATTTTCAACAGAATATAGTTCATAGAAAAAATCAGTATAATTTGATTTTTCTATGCAACTTTGTCTTATTGAAATCTTTTCTATAAAGATACCTCGACGTAACTTTCTCAATTTTTTTTTCTTCGATTCTTAGAGCGACAGGAAAAAAATGGAAAGAAAAAAATTGGAGATTTATGTCAAGAAATTTCTATAGAAAATGCAATCACACATGAGAAATTTGTATAGAAGAACTCAATTGAACTTCTACCGAAAATTCTATTAATTTTTTGTTGATCCTGTTGAAAAAACGTTCAACAGAAGATATTGTTATGAATGTCTATTATCTCATTTAGAATGCATTCCATTTTATATGTTTCTGTTCCATTTGAACATCTCTTCTGAAGTTTATGTTTCTTTTGTTTTTATCATTCTTCCTCTTCTCTCGATTTATTGTATTGGCACATTTAATTTTCTATCTTCCCATTTTATTTTAATGAGTGCTTTTTTCTTAATACCTACGCGATTAAATATTTATGGGGAAAATCAATTTAATTCGATTCTTAGAACGAGGAAGAAAATGGAAGGAAAAAAAATTGGAAATTTATGTCAAGGAATTCCGACAGCAAATGTAATGCCACACGAGAAAATGGTATAGAAAGAATCTATTGAACTTCTATCAAAACTTCCATTAATCGTTCGCCATAAAAAATCTAAAAATATAATTGTATAGAAAAATATAATTGAATTTTGCTATAGAACTTGGATTAATTGAGGTATTTTCTTGCCTCAGTTCAAATTTATCATTTTTTTATTCGATTCTTAGAATAAGAAGGAAAAAAATCAACTGCAACAGCTGAAAATTTTCCTTGAAAAACAATGAAAATGTTTTTTTTTTGAATTTCAACTCAACGTCAAACTAATGTCAACATCTTTAAACCTCGATTAAATGGTTCCCGGATTGTTTTCCCCCAAAAAAAATTCCCCGGAAAAAAATTCCCCCCGAAATAAATATCCCCGTAATCATTTCCCCTTATCACTGAACATGAAGATTACACATGCACGTATTACCAATATCAATTCAATTTATTACGTCTCTCAATCTTTAAAACCCATATCAGAATTCAACATTTTCAAAACAATTTTTTTCCAAATTTCAAAACAAACTCTCATGCCTACATAATCAGTACAATACGATAAACATTCACAATCCATCATAAATCACTTAATTACTATCATTTACCAATCAACATTATCAAAATAAATCCCCAAAAAGATTTGAATCAATCTCTTGTCCCCATAAACAATCAATTATCATAATAAATTATTTTTGTCTTCCAGAGTCAAAGTTCCCTAATACACTTAATGCTAATCAATCTCGTACCCCCAAAATTAAATCAATCATCAATGAATCATCAAATTACGCATTTAAAGTAGAATAAGATTAATTTCCAACGATGAAATAAATTCATTCATTCATTTTTCATGTCCAGAAAATCAAAATTCAGGGGAAATTATCAGGGGAAAAAAATCCGGGGAAATTTTTTCCACCGGAAAAATTTTCCGGGGAAATTTTGACGGGGAAATAATTTCCGGGAAATTTTTTCCGGGGAAAAACAATCCGGTCACTCGATTGAATTATTCAAGTTTACTTATGATTTTTCGAAGTGTCCATTTTACCCCATGTGTCCACTTCCCCCATGTCCATGCACCCCAACAATCGCACCTGTTGCTCCCCAACCCAACCCCTTAATAATAAAAACCACTCACTTGATAGCTCTCGTCGGATTTTTCCTCCTCAGATCATTGATATTGACGTACAGTCTGTATTTGTTCTCCTCGATCATATTCTTGACGAGATTCAGGTAAATCCCTTGGTCCTCCTGGAAAAACAAACCCCCAGGAATTAAGGTTATAGAATGAAAATTTCCCAAAAACGGCCAAAACCTCAAGATAATTACCCCATCATCAAGAAAATCCAAGTACTCCCGCTCCATATCCTTGATCCTCTGGTCGATATCCATTTTTGCAGTTTAATCCTCACTTTCTCTTCACAAAAACAATATCTCAACAATTTTATCCTCGCGAAATATTCTCAAAGCGTTCCGGCACAACAATTCGCGCGGGAACTCGCGCAGTCGCCACTGCTGCCACCACTCAAGCCCCAAAACTCCAATTCCGCCATTTTTTCTCTCACGTTTGCGCACATGTTCAGCGAATAACTTCGCACTTCACGACTGAAGTGGTACATATCTATATCAAAACCCCATCGTTTGTGTATTTTCCATGAATTATGGACGATAAAGAAAGATAATATAAGAATTGACTAACATCTCTATCGACTAATGAATTGAAATTCATTTTCTAATTCTTATGCATCGTTCCAAGAGTCTCGTTGAGGGAGCTAACCATCAGATGACGTAAATACTCGACGAGAGGAGCATATTTTTCTCCAAAAAATACCGGGTAAGTCAATTTTTTTTCCAATACAATAAGTGAAAACTCATGATTTATCAGTTCATTGTTTTTCCATCGATTTTGTTGAGATGTCGATGAAAATTAAATGAAGGAAGAGAATTTTTGGAGTAGATTCGAGGTTGTTTTGTGAATGCCTTGGGAACGCGAGGGGTTAGGAGAATTACTAATGTATCATTTCCTTATAGAATTTTATTTTATGCAAAAAAGAGATTTTGACATTTTCTGTAAGCCCAAGGGTTTCGGAGATATTCATGAAATAATGCAAACAGTTTTTTTGGTCAATAAGTTGAGGTAATGAGCCCTCTTCACTCTTCAAAATTTTCTGACGTAACGAGGCGATTTGGATTAATCGAGTCTCACTTTGAAGACTAGAAGAATGTCATGAGAATAAAAAAAGAATTGAGGAATTTCACTCTACTGATCCCGAATTATTAATGATTGAAAACATCCAAAATGTCAAGAATTGGAAATTCTTAAAATAGGTTGAAAGTTTATTTCGTGAATTTCTCGGGGATGAGGAGGGTTGGAACAATTACTAACACATAATTTTTATACCGAATTTTATATTCTACAAAAAAGATCTTTTGATATTTTTCTGTAAGCCCAAGGGTTTCGGAGATATTCATGAAATAATGCAAACAGTTTTTTTGGTCAATAAGTTGAGGTAATGAGCCCTCTTCACTCTTCAAAATTTTCTGACGTAAAGAGGCGATTTGGATTAATCGAGTCTCACTTTGAAGACTGGAAGAATGTCATGAGAATAAAAAAAGAATTGAGGAATTTCACTCCACTGATCCCGAATTATTAATAATTGAAAACATCCAAAATGTCAAGAATTGGAAATTCTTAAAATAGGTTGGAAGTTTATTTCGTGAATTTCTCGGGGATGAGGAGGGTTGGAACAATTACTAACACATAATTTTTATACCGAATTTTATATTCTACAAAAAAGATCTTTTGATATTTTTCTGTAAGCCCAAGGGTTTCGGAGATATTCATGAAATAATGCAAACAGTTTTTTTGGTCAATAAGTTGAGGTAATGAGCCCTCTTCACTCTTCAAAATTTTCTGACGTAAAGAGGCGATTTGAATTAATCGAGTCTCACTTTGAAGACTGGAAGAATGTCATGAGAATAAAAAAAGAATTGAGGAATTTCACTCTACTGATCCCGAGTTATTGATGATTGAAAAAAATCCAAAATGTCATAAAAATTGGAAATTCTTAAAATAGGTTGGAAGTTTATTTCGTGAATTTCGCGGCGATGAGGGGGGTTGGAACAATTACTAACACTTCATTTTTATACAGAATTTTATTATATATATAAGTTGTAATTAGTTGAAGGGGCTTTTATTTAATGATACAAAAGAGTTTCTTCATTTTTGCTTGGGAATGGAAGCATTGAAATCGTTATATATTTAGATTTTCTAATTTTGATTAGAAATAATGTGGAATGGTCTGAAACGTAAAAATACGAAGTTTAACCGCCTTGTGTGTATGTGATAGTATCCACCTGGTGGTCAACTTTTAGAAAATTGAAGAATTAGAGGACTAAAATAATTCCAAAAAAGTGAAATTTCGTCAGATTATAGGTATTAATGACAACTAACTTTGTGCTAAATTTCAGCCCAATCGATTCAGCCGTTTTTGAGAAATCGCCATTTGTTTCTAAATGGTTTTTCGCAAATACCTCAAAAACTACTCAACCGATTTCAACATTTCTTTTTTCAAAATATTCATCTTGATGTCTTCTATCTCAATCATTCAAAATATGCATGTCCGTTCATATAAAGTTTCAGAGATATTTCTATTTTTTGTTTTTTTGCTCAAAATCCTTGTTAACACTCTCATTTTTGCAAAAATCAACATATTAACTTGAAATTTGGCAAGAAGTTTCCTCTTTGCACCAGAATGTTTCGTATTGAAAATGGGCTAAATCGGATGGTTAGTTTAGGAAATATTCAAGTTTGTATCTAAATCTATTTTCTTGAATACCTCAAAAACTACTCGAGCGATTGCAATTTTTTTTCCAAAATATTCGTCTTGAAATCTTCTATCTCACTCAATCAAAATATGCATACCCGTTCACATAAACTTTCCGAGAACTATACATTTTCTGGTTTTTCTCTCAAAATCCTCGTTAGCACTCTCATTTCTTCAAACATCAACATATTAATTTGAAATTTAGTACGAAGTTTCCCCTTTGCACCAGAATGTTTCGTATTGAAAATGGGGTAAATCGGATGGTTAGTTTAGGAGATATTCAAATTTGTTTCTAAATCGTTTTCGCAAATATCCCAAAAACTACTCGACCGATTTCAATTGTTTTTTTCAAAATATTTATTATATTTTGTTGTTTCCAAATCGTTTTTCGCAAATATCTCAAAAACTACTCAACCGATTTCAATTTTTTTTTCAAAATATTCGTCTTGAAATCTTCTATCTCAGTCAATCAAAATATGCATACCCATTCACACAAACTTTCCGAAATATTTACATTTTCTGGTTTTTCTCTCAAAATCCTCGTTAGCACTCTCATTTTTGCAAACATCGACATATCAACTTGAAATTCAGTAACGAAGCGGTAAACTGGGTTAAGTCGATTTTGACTATTGGCCAGTTTTTGACGAATATCTGGGAATCTAAAAGAGATAGAAAAATTTTTGTCATGACCCTATTTGTAGAGCCAGCTGAGGGTTATAAAAAAGGTCTTGAGCTAAATTTTGCTATCTCTCTTAGATTCCGAGATATTCCTCAAAAAATGGCCAAAAGTCAAAATCGACTTAACCCGGTTTACCGCTTCGCTACTGAATTTGGCACGAAGTTTCCTTTTGACATCAGAATGCATTAGAAAATCTGCATTACGAAGAAAGACATAAACTGCAAAAATGGGAGACATAAACTGCAAAAATGGAAAAAATATCCGAGAGTGAAAAAAATTTACAATGCTGAAACCATTCGGAAGCAAACCATCAATTCACTAGCGAAGTGGTAAAACGGTTTAAGTTGACATACCTCCCAGTTGAGTTTGAGAGGAATACTTCCGAATCTAAGGGAGAAAGGGAATTTTTCGTAATTACATTTGTTGTAGCTCTCAATCGGCTCTACAAAAAAGGTTATAACAAAAATTTTGCTGTCTCCCTTAAATTCCAAGATATTCATTAAAAATTGGTCAACAGTCGAAATTGACTTGTACCGTTTTACCACTTCGCTACTGAATATATTGATGGCGAAGAAAGCCCTTCAAAACATCACTCAGTGACATGCTCACCATCATATGCTCGCTACCCCTGCTTGTTTCTCAGTGTCTGCACATCTCTGACCTCCCAATTCCCCTCAACTTCCTTCCACATTTCCCCACGAATTGTCTCTCTCTTCCAGCTACCCCCACCGCCCCCATGGAGTCCCGAGCAGTGAAAGACGCTCCCCCCCTGGAGGACGCGCCGTCAGACACGTCCACCCCGCAACGACCGCTGCTAAACGACAGATCTGAGACCCCAGACAGCAACCGCGCGGACTCAGTCTCCTCCAGCCCCAAGATCTCCAAGCCAGTCCTGGGTAAGGCCCAAGCGAAGAAGCGTCTGATGGCCTTCGCCAAGTTCAACGCCTCGGTTAAGCAAGCCCTCGAGAAATCCAAAGAGAAACTCCAGCAAAACCCCCCCAAAGACGCCGATCAAAAGCCGAAACCAGAGCCCCCGAAGCCCCCAGGGAACCCCGAGAACCCCCTGGACCCCCCGCCAGACTCCGAGGACGACCAGAAGTCCCAGGCCTCCACCAAGAAATCCAAGAAACTTTCCGAGAAGAAGCTCCCAGCGATCGAGGAAATAATCCAAGAGGAGGCTCGCCGAAAGCAGATGATAGCTGGTGAAGTTGTCGAAAAACCCCCGACCCAGGAAAAAGCCCCTCCCAAACCCCAACCGGACCCCAGAGGGCGCGACTCCAGCCGAAGATCGCGGGAGGGTCGTTCCAGGAACTGGGAGGACTCCAGACGATTTCCTCGCTCAAGCGACAGGAAATCCCCCCACAGAAGCTCCTTCGGCTCCTCAGACACTTCCAGAAGACGAAGAACCCCCGAGAGGGACCGAGGGCGGAGCCGACGGGACCGAAGACGAAGTGTCTCTCAAGAAGACCAGAATCCCAAGGGCAAGGACCCAGAGAAGGACCCCGAACCCTCGGACGCCAGAGTCGACCGTAGAAGCAGAAGCAGGAGGTCCAGGAACCGCAGCAGGAGTTACTCGGAGACCGAGAACAACTGGAGAGCCTTCAAGTCCCAGGGCCACGTCGTCAGGGGTAAAATCCCCCACAGCGACCCTCCCAACGCCCCAGGAGTTGACTTGAGGTCGAAAAACCCCCAAGAGTTCAAGAGCCATTTTGATCAGATGCTGATGGTGAGTGACGTCAGGTCTCCCAGGGCCTCAGTCCTGGTCAATGGGATCGACGATGGGCTGAGGGAGTACCCCCCAGAGTCCATCAGGATCACCAGGAGGGTCAAGGGAATGGTGTACTCGGAGAACCCCAACGTCTCCTTGTACTTGAGCAAGAGGAGACTGGCGCAGGTGCTGCCTCCTGAGAGGTGCAGGATCATGAGGGAGATCAGTGATGCTGACTTCAAGGACTTGGAGACCTACGAGGCAGCGGCCACGAGAAACTGGTACAAGAGGATTGATTCTCATGGGAGGCTGGAGATTGTCAGGAGGTCCAGTTTGAGGGATCCTCCTGGGGAGGTCCCTCCGAAGTCCAAGTGGGAGGTGGAGGAGGATTCTAAACATCAAGAGGATCGTACTGAGGAGGATGTCGAGAAAACCCCTGAAAAAGGGACAGTGGAGGGGATGACAACCCCTGAGGAGCAGAAAATTGAGGAAGCTAGAGAGGATGGGGAGATTGAGGAGGGAGAGGTGACCAGTGGGCTCGCCTCTGAGTACGAGGAGTTCATGAAGATGGTGAGCACCGAGCCTGAAGGCTCTCCGAAGGACTCTTCGTCATCTCCAGAGGTGAAATCCCCGAGAGAGACTGCGAAAGTTGTCGAAGTCAAGGCTAAAAAATTAACAGAAACTGAAGAGGAAGCTCCTCGTGAAGATCCTGGAGAGGGAAAAATAGTTTCTCCGAAGGAGGAGGCCCCGAAGGTCGCAGAGAAGGTGATAGTGGAGGAGGAAAAATCTGCGGAGTCTGAGGAGCCCCCGAAGTCGAAAGATTCCAAGGCCCTGATGAAGAAAACACCCACCAAGAAGCCCACGAAGAGGAAGAAACCGACGTCGACAGAGACGAGTGACTCCTCGAGTTCGGACTCTGAATACGAGAGACGAAAACGAAAGCGAAGGAGACGGAAGAAGAAGAAGAGATCGAGGGACTCCAGCACTTCCAGCAGCAGCAGCAGTGACGACTCGAGCAGTGAGGACGTTCCCAGAAGACGAAGGAAGACCTCGAAGAAACGAAGGAAACAGAAAAAGCTGAAACTACGAAGGAAGAAATCCAGGAGGGACTCTTCGGATTCAGACTCCAGCAGTTCTCCAGAGAGATCCCGCAGGCGAAAGAGGAAGAAGAAAGTGATCTCCAAGCACTCGAAGACGTCCAAACAAGAGCGATCTAGGACCTCAGAGAAGCGAAAGCTCCAGAAGATAAAGAAAGAAATCGAGGAGGAAGACATTCCCCTGGAGAAAGATCCCATTCCAACTCCAGCTGACGTTCTTGACGAGAAAGACCCTCTGAAGATCGAACAAATCGTCATAAAAATCGAGAAAAACATCACTCCTAGTGCCTCCGAGCAGGAGGAGGGAGAGATCATGGAGACAATAGAAGAGAATCCCCCGGAATCTCCAGAATTCCAACTGGAGAAAGAGAAAATTCCAGAGGAGTTGACAGACCAAGAGAAAATCGCTTCAATCCCAATTCCTGAGGAAGTCCACCCCCCGGAGGTCTTGAAACCCGAGGAAATCCCTCTGCCAGCGACTCCAGAGGTCTGCAAGGACATTCCCCTTCCCCCGAAGGAGAACCCCGATGAGGAACTCCTGGAGAAGAAGAAGAAAATTGAGCTGGAGCTCCAGAAGACCCGAAAACTCAAGAGCTCCCAGAAAAAACGAAGCGGCTCTGTGAGTAGTACCTCGTCCTCCAGCAGCTCCAGCAGTTACTCCTCGTCCTCCAGCAGTTCCAGGGATTCTGGAAGAGATAAAAAAAAGAAGGACCACAGGAAGAGGTCGCAGGGGCCGACGAAATCCTCGGGGACGATCAAGAAGCCCAGGAAATGCCTCACAGAATTCGATTTTGATTTTCCTTCGTTGACGCAGCTGGAGAAGACGAGAACGTTGATTGATGACTGGGAGGTGGACTCCATGGAGGATGTGGAGGATCTCCCGAAGGACAAGTCCAAGAAACTGAAGAAGATCGAGAAGGAAGTGAGGTACGACCAGAGAACCGACACTTACATTGCTGTTGACAAAGAACTGGTGAAGGAGAACAAGAAGAAACAGACTGGGAGGGTTTGCTTGAGGATCTGGGAGGACGAAGAAGAGGAAGGGGAGCGAGAGGCTTTGCTGATGAAAACTGATCCTGCTAAAGCGACAGAAGCTGCGGCTCCAGTTGAAGACCCGAAAACGAAGGATGAAGCAGAACCTGAGGAACGAGTTGAAGATCCTGGAGATAACAAGGTTGAGGAGCGGCTGGAGAAGTCTGAGGAACCTCCTGCCCCTGAGGAGAAGCCTCCGGAGGTCAGGAGGCCTCGATGGGAGAAGAAGTCCTCAGATTTATCAACGGATCCACCCACACCTGAGGGCCCCCTGGTCCCGGTGAACTGGGAGGAAGAGGAGGAGTGGACGAGCTCACTGAAACCGCTTGATGTCAAGCCAGTGCCTCCAGCTTCCCCTGAGAAACCAAAACCAGAAGCTGAGGAATCTAAAACTGAGGAGAAACCTGAAGACGATGTCGGGGAAAATGCTGAGGCTGAGAAGGTGGATCTGTACAGCCCGAGTTCCCCAGCTGATTCCCATAAATCGGAGGCTGGGGGAGGTACTTCGGAGTCTAGTGAATCCACTTCGGAGGATCCATCATCAGAATCCTCGTCGGAATCACTGGAGTCGTGTAAAGTTGAGGCAGCAAAAGTCGAAGGGCCTCAGGCTGAAGAGGCTAAATCGTCGACTCCTCCTCTAGTGCCTCCACCAAAAGATGATGATTTCCTCCTGGAGAAATGCACGGAGGGCCCCAAGGATCCTCTCCACCAGCTGAAACTAGACATGTTTTCAAAATTACGTGAACAGGAACTCGAGAAAATTGAGAATAAAGAGGAGGAACGGGACGTCACCCCCAAGAAGTCCCCTAAACCTCCAACAGAGACTGCACCGAAGGCACCAGCTGAGCCCTCACCGAAGTCAAAAGAAGTTTTTAAGAATACGTTTGTAGAGATCACCCCTCAGACCTCTAAGTCCCCAGAGCGTCGGAAGATCTCACCTAGGGATTCAGAGAAATCGAAAGCCAGGATCTCGGAGGAGAGGACCAGCAACTCCAGCTATAGGAGCAGTCGAAGTTCTGCGAAAGAGCCGGAGAAGCCGAAAATTGAGGAGAGGAGGAGGGATCGGTCACCCTCTCCTAGGAGGAGATCCCCGGGGGAGAGGAAGTACAGGAGGTCGCCTTCCTGGAGGAAGAGGCACAGCAGGAGTAGGTCCAGAAGCTGGTCCAGGAGCAGGAGTAGAAGTCCTGATAGGAGGGATCGACAGAAGAGGTAATAAAAATATGAGGTTTCCCTCTTGGAAATTGACGTCGATTTTTTCTACGATTGGGCGGCTAGAAAAACTATGTCTCAATTTTTTTCAAATTTTTTCCACAGCCCATTTTGGAGATATGATTTTTTCTTTGCTTTATCGTTTTTTTTTCAATAACTCGGATTCTATTCAGCCGAGTTTTATTTATGACGCGTCAAAATTTTCCATTTTCTACCATCTATGAGACGATTTTGGGTAATTTTTTTTTCAATACCTAAGTGCACATAATACCGAATTTATCAAATTAAAAATTTTGAAAATTTGAATTTTTTAAATTATGTTGCCTTTGATTTTTCTGATCGTTTTTTCAGTAACTCTTATAATCAAAACAAGTATTTTGAGCCGTCACACAAGTTGGGTTTCGTTCTGGATCTATTTTATTTTTAATTTTTTCCTCTCAAAATTCCACGAATTTGGTCAAAACACCCCAAAACGACTTCGATTATATATCGAAAAATATGTAACATGTGAGTATACATTCAAATTCACTCAAACAGTCTGTAATCAAAGTCAATCAACGCCATTTTGGGGTGTTTTGAGCGAATTCGTGGAATTTTGAGAAGAAAAAATTGAAAATAAAATAGATCTAGGACGAAACCCAACGTGTAGGGCGCCTTAAAATACTTTTTTTATTACGATAGTTACTGAAAAAAAGACGACAAAAATAAAACGTGACATAATTTTGAAAATTCGGTATTATAAGCACCTAGGGATTAAAAAAAAATTACTCAACATATTCTTATAAACGGTAGATCCTATCCTATCGTCAAAAGGAGAAAGGAAATCGATCTCGAAATATCTCGAAAATCTCGAATACGTGAGGAGATAAGAAGGCGCGTGCATAGCACGCGCGGCCGGTCGCGTAATCAAAACTTTTAACGCGTCATAAAGCCAAATCGGATGAATAGAACTGGAGTTATTGTAAGAAGAATGAAAAAAAATGATATCTCCGAAAAAGTGTTGTCCAAAAAAATGTAAAAAAAAATTGAGAGATAGTTTTTCCAGCCCCCCAATCGCAGAAAAATCTAGATCACTTTCATGCTCATTTGACATGGAGCACCTCATATTGATAGAATAGATACAATTTAATTATTCATCATTTATTCGTGATTTATTCATTGCCTAAGATCCAAAGGATCCTGTGAAAATTCGTGACTTGTACATAAATTCAACAAATTTATTAAAAATTGAAATATGAAATAAAACCAAAATAGAAGTTAATATCAGTATAAACATTTTGATTGAATATGTGTTCAGTTGACTGACTAATATAATTGATAATTAATTTAGAAGTGCTAAATAACATAATCTTATGGGACTCAGACAAACGAATAAAAATTCAATGTCGAGTATGAAAATTATTGGCAATTAAACGAGACACTATTGTTATAGAATCAGGAAAAGTATTGAATGAATGAATGTCTTATACTCATCAAAGTTAGAATTCATATAAGAAATCATGAATGATGATTTTTTTTCCATTGGAAATCCATTTTTGATCCTTAATAACATATAAAATCATTAACAAAATACAGTATTCAGTCACTAACGATAAACGATCGACTTTTCCAATCAACTCACCCCATCCCCTAATTAATTCTAATTACACATTCAATTCATTTCCCACATAATTCAGACTCTCTATTTATCACAGGTTTAGACATCCTGGAGAGGGACGAGAGAGATACAGCCCAGGGCGTTCCAGGGGGAGAGAGAGAAGGGACTGGAGTCTGGAGAAGTCTTTGGATAAGGGTTATGATCCTCTGGAGATCTTCAGGGGTAGCAAGAGGTTCGAACCGCGGAGGGTGGAGGTGCCCAGGGAGGGGAGTGACTCCCAGGATCTTTACGATGTCCGACGTCTGCTGGAGCTGCCTTTCGACGACAGGGGTTTCTCGAGGGAGAGGAGTCTCGACAGGGACATGATGGAACCGATCATCCCTCCCCTGTGTCCTGACTTGGAGCTCAAGTGCAGGTACAGGAGAGAGAGGGAGTGGGATCGAAGGGAGGGCGAGAGGATGAGGAGGAGGTCCCCAGAGAGGAGAAGGGAGAGGAGGAGATCTCCCAGGAGGGACAGAGACAGGGAGAGGGTGAGGGAAAGGGAGAGAGAGAGGGAGAGGTTTTTGTCCAGGTCGAGGTCGAGATCGTGGTCGAGGAGTCCTGCGAGGAGTCGAGAGAGGTCGAACAGCAGGAGCAGAGAGAGGTCCAGGGAGAGATCAAGGAGGCAGAGTCTGGAGAGGGTGCAGAGTCTGGAGAGAGTGCAGAGTGTGGAGAGAGTGCACAGTTTGGAAAGAGTGCAGAGTCTGGAGAGAGGTCAGAGCAGGAGGAAGTCGAGGTCCAGGTCGCTTTCTCCCAGGAGACGGAGACAGGAGAGGTTCAGGAGGAGCCCGAGTGGGGACAGGGGGAGGAAGATTGAGACTATCATGCATCCTTCTGGGATGAATTCTCCGGCTCCTGAGGATAGTGGGGCGATGATCAATGAGGGCACGCAGGGGGCTTCGAGCTTCAGGTACTCGTCCATAATTTTTTACGATTGTTTTCTTAGTCACGAACATTCACGTGTAGAGATGCAAAATGACCGTCATTTTTTAGATCGCGTCATATGACCAAAAAATGACGGTCTTGTGACGCACAAATTTTTCAACTACAAATGATTGTCACAAATCATTTGTAACCAAATTGTTGTCAAACTATCTATATAGTTACATAATGACGGTCATAACTAATTTACAATTTGTGACGGTTATGAATAAAACAAAATAGTTTCATCTATATGGATGGAAAAAAAACGTGATTTCCATTTCAAAATGCGGATTAGGCCAATACAAAAGGAATTCAACTGAAAATTGACCGAGAAAAAAATAAAGTTTCATCTATATAGATGAAAAATGACTGTCATTTTTTCTTGACAAGTTGTGACGGTCACAGAAGGGGGAGGGGGAATTGTGACAGCCCTCATGAACGCCTCGTCATGTGACGCATTTGCATCTCTATTCACGTGCTTCAGTTATTGAATTTTTCAATGACATGTTGGAAAATTGTTGTTCTTTAATGTGTTTACTAATGAAATTTTCTGATTACGATTTTAATTTCTTCTTTTCCATGATTAATGGTTACTGGTGGGGTTCAGGAGATGTACAAATTTGTTATGGTTTAGGAACAATTATTTTTCATTGGGAAGTAGCGTTCGCTCCCAAAATTGCGTGATGCAGAAATGTTCACTCATGGTTCAAAATGAAGGATCAAATGAGACTCAAATGAAAACTCCCACTGTTGAATATTCAAATGGGGTCGAGCGAAAATATCAAGCTGTTTGAAGTCTGATCTTGATTTTTTTATTTTCAACCGTTAGGAAACAAAAAATTAGTAATGATTTTCATTTTTTTCTATTTCAACGTATACCTTTCGGTTTCTACGGTTTCTCATTCCTTTATTCCGTTTTTGCCGCATTTCTTTCCAGTTTTTAACCAGTAATAATTTCGAAAGTTTACTCCTCGAAAAATATTAATGAATCGAAAATTAGTTTTTATTGAAAATGAAATACTCTTTTTTTTTAATAATTAATCAACAGTAATGTTCCGTTAAAAAAATCATTAGTTCTAATGTGTCATCATCTACACATTTTTCACCCTAAAAATCGATTCCATGTTTAAAAAAATTAAGTTTTCGAAATTTTAAACAATTAAATTCTTTATTCATAAACAAAAAATTTTGACAAAAAACATTCTGGACAAAATATAATTGAATGACGCTGAACATCCATGATTTTTTTCGAATTTTTCTCACGCAATTTAAGTGACAAATTTGATGATTGAAAATGACATTGACTGGCATTGAGGGCGAAAAAATTGTAAATCCTCCAACTCATCCCTGACACACATAACAGTAGTTTTATCATTTCAGAAAAAACAGTTTTTCAGAAAAACGCGATTCGTCAGGGACGACTTGGAAGCTCCATAATTCTTTTACAGTGATTTTCGCTCAAGTGCAAAATATTTTCATGCTTCAATAATTTGTGACGGAATTTTCGAGAATTCCGCCACCTGTACACAACTTAGTCGTAGAATTAAGTAAATCGTAAGAGTGAGTAGGTAAGTGTGAATTTATTTTGATCTTTTCGGAGAGAGAGTCGCGATTCCTTTAACCCCAAAGTTAACACCCCTACCGAAGGGCAATGCAACACCCCCTTTTAGCTCCAGCTCGTAGAAATCGGTCTCCAAGAACATCAGGAAGGGCCTCTACGGTTTATATTTTAAGTTTTGAGGTTCACGTGGGTTAGTGCCGTCACAAATTTTTGTTATCTTCCATTGACAACGAAAAAAAATAGAATCAAAGAACAACAAAAATCTCGTGTTATTTAACCGGAAAACTTTCCGCTCATTTAGGCACCCCTTCTAATCAAGATAAAGCATTAAATTAGTGCTTAAATTTTTTATTTATTTTCTTAAAATCGTGGTAGGGGGTGCATCAATTAATATCTGAGTCAGGATGTCCTCACGGACGTCCATCCTTAAACCAGGCGCGAAACGGTAAACCGGTTCAAGTCGACTTAGCTCTTCGCTGAGTTTTTTCGAGAAATATCTCAGAATCTAAGAGAAATAGCGAAATTAGCATAATAACCTTTTTTGTAGCTCTCAATTTCCTCTACAGAAAAGGTCACTACAAAAAATTTGCTATCTCCCTTAGATTCCGAGATATTCATTAAAAACTGACCAATAGTCTGAATCGACTTAAACCACCACCAGAAATTCCAGAGGTCCTGAGATCACTCACAAGAAAAAACCTCAAAAATATCACAAAATTTTTTAAAAAATACAAAATGCAGATCTGAAACGAGTCCAACATAGAAATTAATCATAAAGTATATACAATTACAAGTTGAATCCTGTACTTTATTGTAATAGCAAGCTGTAATTACTCTCTCTCTTCTTGTTGATGGCTGAATGAGCCCGAACATAGGGTTCAAAAGCTTTAATAAAAAAAAATCGACTTAAACCGGTTTATCCCTTCGCTCCTGAAAGTCCTACATTCTTTTGATATATCTATAAAACTGATCAAATAAAGCCATTCCCAAAAATCCCCTTCATCCTATTAATTTCCTAATCCGAGAAATATTGAATGTATGCAACGTCCTGGTGTCTCTCCTTCAGGTATCAGCCAGAGCCTCCCGAGGACTTCACTTACTACCCGAGCAACAACCTGACGTACCCCCCACGCGTGGAGGACTCGTCAGGCTCTCCAAAACGCCTCTCCCTGGACGACCGCCTGGAGCTTGAGCTCGGAATAAAAAAATCCCAAGAAGGCCCACCCTATTCCCCCAGTTACCCCCACATGCTGCCAGCATCATCGATCCCACTGCCTCCATCCCCAGCCCCAGGGCCCAGTTTCCACCGTCCCCCTACAGTCCTGCAAGTAGGCAACGTCCTCCAGGTGGTCCCCAGGGACTACCAGCCCGCTGGAGTCCCCCCAGTCCCCTGTCCAGACATTCCGCCATCCCCAGTGCCACCAGCAGCCAACGGCAACCGAGTCCTAAGGGTTGGAAACGTCCTCCAAGTCGTGCCAACCACAAACCTGGACTGGAGTGCGACTGGAGCCCCCCTCGTCAGCCTGGACAGACCCCCTCCAGCATTCCCACCCCCTCCAGTCCCCAGTGTCCCCTCGTCCCCTCGCCCTGTCCCCGTCCCCGTTCCCCAGGTGTCCACTCCAGCAGTTCTACCCAAATTACCGCCACCTAAATCCCCACCAGTGCCTCAGCCCGTCTATAATTACGAGGCAATTCTGGAGGCTAGGAAGAAGGAGAAAGAGGAGAGACGAAGGTTGAGGGAGGAGAAGAGGAGTGAAAAAGAGAACCGGAGGATCATCAGGATGAGGAAGAGGGCTGAGAAGGTTCTGGACAGAGTTGCTCGAGCCAACGAGACTGCTGAAGAGGCGCCTGAGACTCCAGAGGATCCAAACAAATTGGTTGACGATGAGGAGGAGGAAAATGCTGCTGGAACTCCTGGAGAGGGGTCTGGAGATGTCAAGGAGTTCGGGGGGGATTTCGATGAGGACGAGGAGGTGGACCTCGAGGGTGACGTCGATGAGGATGATGAAGAGGAGGACGAGGTGGAGGAGAGTGAGGAAGAGCAGGAGGACGAAGACAACAGGGTGATACCTGGGCTAGGGGATCTGAAAGAATGCGAAGGGAGGGTTGATGTTGAAGGGTCTGGAGGTGTTCTGCCAGCACCGAAGAAGGGGATTCTGGTGCCTCCAGGGCTGTGGGCGAATAGACTGCTCAATGGAGATGCTGAGGAGAGGATCGACGCACCTGAGGGGTCGAACGAAGGTGAGAAAGAGGCTGGGGTTGAGGAGTTGGGGGATGAGGAAGGCAGGGAGGAGAGGGAAAAGAGGATGAGGACGAAGAGGGCGAGGGCTAGGAGGAAGGCTGTGCAATTTGCCGATGGGGTGAAACCTGGGGAGGGGACCAGCCCCAGTGGCGGTGAGGGGGACATGCCCTCCCCTCCGCCACCTGTTTCGTCTTCGATTCATGATCCTGTGAGGGAGATGGTGAAGAAGAGGATGAGGAAGAGGGAGAGGAAGAAACCGAAGAGGGTGAAGGTGGTGAAGACTAAAAAGAAGGTGAAGGTGAGAGTTTTCATGATTTTGTCGCGTCTTTCTGGTGGTGGACTAGGAATGCTTCTGAGGAGGGGTTTTGCGTCAGTGAAATATCATTTTTGATGATTTTGCTTCTCCATAAGTTTCCTATTTTTTGTGTTAAGGTAACTAAATATGGTCTAAAATATCCGAATATGCGATTTTTAGATGGTGTCTGTGTGTGTTTTCTCTGGATTTTCTTATCAGGGATCAATTGATTTATGAATTTTTTCATAAATATGGACTTTAATGAGCCCTATTCATTGACACTAATTAAAATTTAATTTTTTATACAGACTCGAAAAAATTTATATTTTTCCAAAAATCGCTTTTACAAATCACTCAAAATTAAGGGATCAATAAGGGATCAATCGAATTTCATGAATTTTCTCGTGAATATAGACGTTGATAAGTGCTATTAATTGACACTAATTAAAATTTAATTTTTCATACAGATGCGAAAAAATGGAAATTTTTTCAAAAATCGATTTTTCAACCATCACTCAAAAAATTGTCGTCAAAATAGAATTAGTCATGGCTCAAAAAATGGATAACAATACCCTCTTGACTCTATCAGACTATAATGCTGGTCGCACAATTTGTTGTTGAATTACAGCACATTGTTGATGTGATTTAAAAGAGAAAATTGTTTTTTTCGTGATTACTGAAAGAATCATCATTAATAGCAATTAAATCACTTCTTAATGAAGTTGAAATGGTGAGAACAGCATCATTACTTAGCAAGCTAGACAATACCGTCTTGAGGTTTTTATATCAAAATTTTTATCTCTATTTAACTCAAGTCCCAGTCTACTATATTGAATACTTATTCATATTGATTCATGGTTCGACTAACTTCTGACAGAATCTGGGTTCAACTCTGGCTAAATTCTGGATAAACCCTGACTAAATCCCGACTATACACTCACTAAACCCTGATTGAACCTTGATTAAACCCGAACTGAAAACGACTGGAGTCCTGAGAGGGTCTGAATGTAGAATAATTTAACCGAACGAAATAATACGCAACATTTTGATGACATTTCAATGGATGGTAGGACTATGACACGAAAAAATGGGAGAGAATAGTGAAATAACAATTTCAAAAAAGAGAACCCGTTCAGAAGCAACAATTACTACACCCATTTACAGAGAAAATGCCATTATCCACTGTTCCATTTCAGGTGAAGATAATCAAGCTGAAGAAACCGAGGATAACACCCTTGACAGCCCTGATGTTGGACGAATCAGACGAAATGGATGATCGATCCCCACCTCCACCACCCCCAGGCTCACCACCTCCCCCTCATCTATGGCCAAGCTACCTAGCTGCTTACAGTGCAACCTTGAAGGCAGTGGAGACCGTTGTGTCGCCTCCCAGTGCACCTCAAACAGCACCACCTCCCACTCCACTTCCACTCCTTGTGCCACCCCCTCCGTTGAATTACACTATTCAACCCCTCAACAAGGCTTGAGTTGAGGTTTCTGGAAGACTAACATCCACTTTGGATGGTTGAGGGTGGGAAACTGTATATAGAGTATTTTATTTCATCTGTTCTTTTCTGTATATCATAATATGACTACATCCTGTCTATCACTTGTCTATTTTTTTGTATGAGAGAGATAATGTCTATTGATGAAACATATTGTGAACTCGTTATGTTGAAGGATTATGAACATTTCAGTAAAATATATGACTTGACAAATTTTGCAATGATCATTCTTTATTATTTTTTATTCATATTTTCTTTCCTACTACCATTACGGTTTTATAGGCTCCCCATTCGTCTGCCTTGCCTCTCCCACTTCCCGCTTCTGATTATATTCGGACCTCTTTCTCGAGATTACTAAGATCCGATCAATCAGCCCCTCATGTATAGATATTCCGAATTTTTATTTTTTTCCTCATTGAAGTAGTTTTGAAGAAAATTGCGAGCTAATAAAAAACATTTGCTAGTTAGTACTTTTTTAAAAATAAATTTTTGGAAAATCACCTCTGAAAAAAAAAGGCGTTATCCCGTCTATTTCATTATTTCCAAAAAATTTTATCACCAATCGATAGCAAATTGTTTGAAGATTTTTGCGAGTTAAGAAAAAATCGTCAATGCAATCCTATTATTGTGTAAATTAACAATTCCAATTTCAACTGAAAACCAGAGTTGATGACCAGAGTTTGTAACAGAGATGTCAGACAAGATATGGATGTTTTTTTGGGCTCAAATGAAAGAGCGGGTCGAGAAATGGCGTGCTAGGACCTCTAAAGATGGTTTTGAACCAGGGGAGACTCCTAGACCCCAATGTTCTATACATACTCCTAGACCCCATTGTCCTCCTAGACAATGATGTCACAACTCTGCTGTTCAATTGAAAACAGACATCATCTTTAGAGACATTTGTCATGTTTGGAGGCTCTGGCACGTCATTTCTCGACCCGCTCTTTCATTTGCGCCCAAAAAAACATTCATATCTTGTCTGACATCTTTGCTACAAACTCGGGTCTTCAACTCGGGCTTTCAATTGAAGGCCCGAGTTTGTAGCAAAGATGTCAGATAAGATCTGAATGTTTTTTTGGGCTCAATTGAATTGAAGAAGGAACTATCGGAATTCTAGAAGATTCTAGACATTTCGAGGTAAGTAGAGAAGTTTCTTTGAAATTTCGAGAGAATTCAAGGAGTTTCCAGAAAATCCGAGGGAATTCAAGGAGTTTCTAGAAAATTCGAGAGAATTCAAGGAGTTTCCAGAAAATTCGAGGGAAAGCAAGGAGTTTCTAGGAAGTTCCAGAAAGAAGGAAAGACCACGGACGTATCCACGTACAATTACATCTGTATCAGAGATACACCCCCTGCACTTTTTTCCATTAATTTTAACCTGATGAGTGTAAGAAATTGATCCATCAAATTCTTCTTTCAATTTTGACGTGGCTACGTCTATGGTTTCAATATAGGGGGTAATTTTGGGAAACGGTCCTTATGTACAGCGCCATCTATCCGAATTCTAGAAAATTCTAGACATTGCGAGGTAAGTAGAGAAATTTAGAAAAAATTCAAGGAGTTTCTACATATTTCCAGGAAATTCTGAAAGTTCCTAGAAAATTCGAGAGAATTCAGGGAGTTTCTAGAAAATTCGAGAGAATTCAAGGAGTTTCCAGAAAATTCGAGGGAAAGCAAGGGGTTTCTATAGGAAGTTCGAGGAAGAAGGAAAGACCACGGACGTATCCACGTACAATTACAGCTGTATCTAAGATACAGTCGCCTGAATTTTTTTCAGTAAAAATTTTCTGGTTATTCGTATTGAGAATAATTCCGGTTCCCCTCCTACCTCATCCAAATCCCATCCAATCATTTCCTATATCGTCACAAAGATGTGGAATTCTATATAAATTCCCTTCTTTAATGTGGGAGGATTTCTCTAGGGAGGAAAGTTGCTTCCTCGGGCGGGAACTACTCACTTTCCTACACGGAGAGAAATTTTTGATAAAAATTATCCTACCGTTCTGTAAAAGTATATCATGAGTCATCGTTTCCTTATTTCCATCCCGAAATTTAGTAAAAATTAATGTGATGATCAAATTTTATTCTACGTTAGAGAAATCTTATCCTGATAAAAATAAAAATTACCGTGCCCGTAGAGTAGAAATTAATGTACCGGTAGGGTACAATTTGCTAACCATTCTAGAATTTTCGTTGTCATCTACATAAAAATTGCTGGACTGAAATGGTAAAATTTATTATCCGTCAGAGGATAAAATTTCTCTAACGTAGAATAAAATTTGATAATCGTATATTAATTTCTACTAAATTTCGGGCTGATGAGGAAACGATGACTCATGATACACTTTTATAGAATGGCCGGGTAATTTTTATCAAAAACTTCTCTCCGCGTGTACCGCTCATCAGAGAGTAAAGTACGAACTTTCCGCGCAGGTGTGTGAAAAAATTATTTAAATGACGGCCATCAGTGAAAATCAATAGCATTCGCTGCCTCATTCCATTATCGAAATTACTCGCTGCATCTCCACACCATTCCTGTTGATGAATTCAGGTCATATATCGACTCAGTTTTATTCATTGGGACATTATCCAAGTTAGTGGATCGTTCACGTTCATCTGCGTTCATACAATCCCAACAATGTTCTCGAAGAAGAGTCTGATCATCTTCAAATTCATACACATCGTTTCATTCCTAGTGGGCTTGGCCCCCTACAGCATCAAGATTTTGCCTCGATCCTCTAAACAATCCGGATTTAACTTCAGAATCACATACTCTGGACTGGGATGTGCTTACAATATTTTATTGATATTCATATTCACTGGAGTAACTCTCATTATCACACCATATTTGATAGAATGGCAGCATTTTGACCGCTCAGTGTTTATGATGATTGTAGTCGCAGTTACCACACTCGGGAATATATTTTCAACAATAGTCATTTTTTATTACACTCTTCATCAACAACAGAGTGTTGCTATTGGAAGTCAACTCAGTGAATTTGATGAAAAATTTAGGAGTAAATTCTGCAATCTGCTTAAGAATGGCAGCACAAATCGACTTGCAAATGTCGAATCTTGGCTAACAATTTTCTTATATTTATTTTTATGGTGTGGAGTTATTACTACCTCCATAGGCATTCAGCAATCACCACCGAGTATTGCAAGTTTCTTCTGTGCTTTGATTCTGACTTCGGTTCTTATGCAATACAGTTCCGTTATTGACAATTTAAGAAGAAGATTCAAGAATCTGAATGAGGTTCTTCAGACAGTTTTTAAATGTCCAATTCCGAGTCTCGAGGGTGTCCTTTTGGTCGGGAATGTCTCAAACAATCGTTTGGTTCATAATAATTTCACAACATTTAAACAAACGCGGAATAAGTTGTACAAAATCTCTTGTCTCATCGCCGAATTTTATTCATTTCCAATTTTATTGACAGTATTTTACAGTTTTTGTAGTATTATTACTACTTGTTACTATTTTCTCATGACCATTGCGCAAGTAGAGAGATTTACACTGGACACTCTGACTCTCAATACTATATTCTGGTTTTTTCTGTGTACATATCCTACTGTTGCGTTGAGTAGAAGTGTGAGAATATTCAATAAGGAGGTATTCATGAATTCATAATTTATTCTATTACGTTTTCCATCGGAATTTGATGAAATGTGAAATTGTCGTAGATGCATAAAACAGCAGATGTTATTTACGATGTCATGGAAATGTACGCGCCCAACGGAGAAATAGAGTATCAGGTATTGAAACCTGGTGACGAATCATTACTACAATTCAATGATCTCGTAATTTTATGTTTTACAGTTGACCAATTTCGCAGTTGAACAAATACACAAGAGAGTCGAATTCACAGCGTGCGGAATCTTCTCTTTGGATTGTACACTTCTGCATTCGGTGAGAAATACTTTTAATAACAATCAAATAATTCGTATCGCGTGATATTATCGATTAATTTATCCTTTCTTGACAGATGTTTGGAGCCTTTGTGACGTACTTACTGATTATGTTGCAGTTTAAACCAAAAGAGGTTATGCAAAATTAGAATTTCAACATTGAAATAAAATTTCAATATCTTCCGACAACGCATTTTCTCATTTCATAATGAAAACTCCATATGAAGTGTCATAGATCGATAATTCATTCCATTATAGAGTAATCGCGATAAAAATTCATGAGAACATCAACATAATCGCTCATCAGTTTCATTTCTCGCAGATTTGTAATTGAATTGGAAAGCTATATACAATTTTCGCGGCACTGCATCCAACCCTATGCGTGCGACTGTGGATTCTATGGGTGCGTTTCACAATCGAGGTAGTAGCAGTAACAGTACTGCAACCCTATCCAATTTTGCTTGCCTGCAGCTAGAGATGCAAATGCGTCACATGACCCGTCATATGACGGTCATGTGACCGCCCTTGACGGTCACATGACTAGGCGTTCATGACGGCTGTCACAATTCCCTCTCCCCCTTCTGTGACCGTCACAACTTGTCAAGAAATAATGACAGTCATTTTTCATCTATATAGATGAAACTTTATTTTTTTCTCGGTCAATTTTCAGTTGAATTCCTTTTGTATTGGCCTAATCCGCATTTTGAAATGGAAATCACGTTTTTTTTTCATCCATATAGGTGTAACTATTTTGTTTTATTCATGATCGTCACAAATTGGAAATTAGTTTGACCGTCATTATGCAACTATATAGATGGTTTGACAACAATTTGGTTACAAATGATTTGTGACAATCCTTTGGAATTGGAAAATTTGTGCGTTACATGACCATTTTTTGGTCATATGACGCTATCTAAAAAATGACGGTCATTTTGCATCTCTAACTACAGCACGATAGTTGATTCCGAAACGCCCGCTACAGGTCTTCAAGTATAGATTTTTCCTTCCGTGGGAACCCCCTCTCTACGTGATTTTCTAAACAGATTTGAATACCTAAACTTATAATTCCTATCCGATAACTTTTCTTTCTTTCTTTGTCTTCTTTGTTTGGATTTAACGTCACATCAACAGCTACGTTATTAATGACCTAACCTACTCTAAAAATCTCGTAAATTTCGACCAATTAGAGCTATGCTTACCGATCGGTAATGCAGGTATTCTGTATGCATCTTTGTTTCGTTGAAATTTCAGATTTTTAGAGCACCTTAAATTTCCACCAATCAAAGCCATGCTTCCCGATCGGTAATACAGATATTCTGGATGCGTAGCTCTGGGGAGCAATTTTGCTCGTTTTAGGTCGACATAAAATCATAAATTTCAACCAATCCTAGTTGAGTATTCCGATTCCAGGGCTGTCATCCTATTTACTAAAGATGATCGAAACGTGAAGTTGTTTTATATCGAAATATCTCGAAACTGCCTGACCGCTAATCCTTAATTCTGATTGGTCAATACGTAACACGAAATTATTCACAAAAAAAAACATGCGGCATTTTCAAAGGCTTCAGTGACATAATTTCAAATTCTTCAGTGGTATTTTTTTTTTCACGTCATATATATATATATATATATATATAATATATATATTTCACATGTATATATATTATCGGTGAAATTAATAAATTCTGTCCTTTTATGGAGACCGATTATTTAAAAAAATTGAAGATAATTAATTGAAAATGAAAAATTCTTTATAGATTCTTTTACTCTACTTCGCTATTCACTTCAGTCCTTAGTCGAATTCTCTTTGATAAATTATCAATATTTATAAGGTATTCATGAGAAAATGAAATTCAATGAATTCCATTTCTTCATTTCAACAAATGAATGGATAAGCGCGCAAGAGCGCGCGCATAGATCTTGTTGGTTTAAATTTACAATTTTATGTTGACATAAAACGAGCAAAATCGTGCCCCTGATTCGTTGAAATTTAAGTTTTTTAGGGCACCCTAAACGCGCAGAATTCCGGCCCAACACTCCCCATTGAAAATTCGACTCTCAAAGCTATTCTATCTTTTGCTGATAAAGTAGTTGCCTACGAATGAGGTAGTCCGCTTCTCTCTCTATCCAATATACCCATGCTGCCATCTCACAGTGCCAGAAGCTGTGGCAGAATCTACGAAAGATCTCCACCTGCTTCCACCTCTCACTTATCTCATTCTCAGACGAAAACTTCGAGTAATCAAAGCCACATGGTGACGATGACGATTGTACAACAAAGCTTCAACTGCGCACATTTTCTGTAACGGTTACCATAGGGATCTGTGACGATAATAACAGACGTTTGATATCAATTCTCCAATTCGATAGGAACACTGATAAAGTTTCATCACGAGTGCGCAAATGACAACGAAAGCGATTGGGTGAACAACTAAGTTCGAACAATCAGAGAAAGAGAGAGAGAGAGAGCGAGAGAACTCGTGAGAGGGGGTTGGATTAACTCGATAAATCCACAGACAACGGGGATTCCCAAAAGGTTCCCACAAAGGTTCACTTGTCCTTACGATAAAATTAACAGGGTAGCGAGAATGACGAGAGATATGGACCCCGACCTGATACACCAGAATTTTTTATCACGACAATCGAGATTTTCCGAGTTGAAAGAACATTTCATTGATATTTCGGGTCCACATGTCACGGGAGAAGTTCTGGAAAGTTTGAAAGAGTATTATTCCGGAATAATACAGTCGAAACGGGATAAAGATCGTGTGAAAAACATCGCAGGACTGCTGAGGATCTTGGAGAGGAGGGACGTTCTGAGATACGATTCAATAGAGCCATTGAAAGAAATTGCTAAAGAGTGCATTAGAGATAGAATTTTGATTGAAACGTTGACTTGTTATGACGCAGAAATCAAGACTGAACTACCGCTGCCAGCGATCAATCATTACAAGTACAGTGGTGAGTATTTTGAGAGTACAAGTGTCACTGAATATTTATTAAATAAAAGGGATAATGGTGATGGACTTGTTGATCATGACATTACCGATCCTCGAGTCGAAGAGACACAGGCGTATGAGACGACTGAAGAACAATTGTTGTCTGCACAAACGAGTGTCAATAAGAACAGACTCTCTGGATCAAAATGCTTTCGTCATCCACATCATACACATCATTTTTTATGCATCAAGAGTAGTCGGTGGAGGGAAAAATTCTCCCTCATTGTTATATTCTCGGTGTTGGTGGTCTTTTTGACGATTATTGCTACGATTTATATGCATTTCATTAATTGTCGATCATCAGCAGTTGAGGGATCCAGCCAGAGTTCCTCTCGAAGTCAGACACATGCTGTGAATTTCTATCCTAATCAGACGTCGTTGCCTGTCGTTCCTTATGCTACCCCGTCTGCACCAACTTCTAGTGGGCCTGTTTCAGATGTTCAAGAGAGAGGTATGATATTATTTTTAAAATCATATTTTGCTTTCGAATGGAAACTTTGTAATCGTGATTTTTTTTATTTCTTAATTTTGGGTGGAAATGCCTAGAAGTGTCATGAAACGTGAAGAAATGATCCTATTTACTAAAGATGAAAGAAAGGTGAAGTTGTTTTATATTGAAATAACTCGAAACTGCCTGACTGCTAGTCCTTAATTCTGATTGGTCAATATGTGACACGAAGTTATTCACAAAAAAAACACGCGGCATTTTCAAATTCTTCAGTGGTAAATTTTTTTTCTCACGTCATATATATATATTTCACATGTATATATACCATCGGTGAAATTAATGAATTCTGTCCTTTTATGGAGATCGATTATATTAAAAAATTGTAGATAATTAATTGAAAATGAAAAATTCTTTATATATTCTTTTACTCTACTTGGCTATTCACTTCAATCATTAGTCGAATTCTCTTTGATTCATTATCAATATTTATAAGGTATTCATGAGAAAATGAAATTCAATGAATTCCATTTCTTCATTTCAACAAATGAATAGATGAGAGCGCGCGCATAGATCTTGTTTTAAAAAAATGTCTGTATGTATGCAGGTATGTGTGTGCACATGTGTTCGTAGATCCAACAAAATATGGGTACCATCCCATTTAAATTTTTCGAGATATCGTCATTTTTGTATTTGTTTTGGTCGGAATTCACTTTTGCGCACTACGACATTCGTAAAAGTCAGGGAATCCTTTTGAAACTTTGGTTTCTAGTTAGGGTTGTTAAGAAATATTCCTACATCAAATTTTAGGTCGATATATTTGATAGTTCTTGAGATGGAACAATTCACCCAAAATTCTTGAGAAAAAATAAGTCAACAAAATGATTTTTCCAACCGCCAGTATAGTTATAAACATTCCTCCTACTCCAGGCCATTTTGCGGTTCTCAGCGATTTTACTCTCCAATTAAATTGAAATACAAATCTTCAGTACGTGCCAACGTTTCGAGCGTTATATCCACTCCTCATCAGGGCAATTTATTCATATTTATCTACAAAAAAATTTACAAAAAATTCTTATTACCATCCTCTTATAGAATGGTAATAGGAATCCTCATATTCCTATTACCATTCCTATTACCATATAGAAATAGGAAATAGGAATTTTTTGTAAATTTTTTTGTAGATGAATATGAATAAATTGCTCTGGTACCCGCCTCAAAAGTGCACTTTTGAGGCGGGTACCACAAAAAATAGGATGTGTTGCACGTGCGAGTGGAAAAGTGGAACTTTACTCACTAGTAACACAATATACTACAACGCTTGCTACTGGATTGAATTCTACTAAATTGTGATGTACATCTCATTGACACACTGAGCAATCGAAATTTCACATTGTACCATTCAAACTTGTAAATGCTTAATTTAGTGTAGGTAACTCGACATGTATAACTCAAGAATGGGGAATTCAAGAAACACTAAATCCATGAAACTCGGGCCAGGATAAGTGGATTTTATTCTTCTTCAATGCCACATGTTCGAATTACCCACAAAAAATTGAACATTTACAAATTCGAATTATACAAGGTAGAATTTATTAATAATTTGAAATTATTTATATTTTATTTATAATTCAGTAGCGAAGTGGTAAAGCGATTTAAGTCAACTTATCTCCCCGTTGAGTTTTTGAGGAATATTTTGGAATCTAAGGGAGATACCGAAATTTTCATAATTACATTTGTTGTAGCTCTCAGTCGGCTCTGCAAGAAAGGTTACAACAAAAATTTTGCTATCTCCCTCAGATTCCGAGATATTCATTGAAAACTGGTCAATAGTCAAAATTGACTTATACCGTTTTACCACTTCGCTACTGAATTGGATTGGTGTATTTCAATTTAGTCTAATTCAACATGTACATCGTATGATTAGAATGTGCAAGTTATAATTTCTGTGAGGAAGGTTTTAATCCGAAACATCAAATGTCTCTAAAAAAAGGAGGGACTCAAATGTATGCTCTACCTAGATACCACCTGTTACCTAGTATTCTGAAATAACTGATTCAAATTTTTCATTTCAGTTTTTCAGAGACTCAGCGAGAACCTGGGAAAATACTGGAGAGACTTGGCCAGATTTTTGAATGTTAAAGAATGTGAAATTGATGCAATCAACGAAAAGACGTATTTAGGAACAAAGGAAAAAGCCTATGAGGTGAAAAATCTTGTTTTTTTTTTGTTTCAATACATGTGAGAGCAGACGGGGAGAGGGTTAAATGAGCCTTTTTCAATCAGCAATTGCCCCGAGATTGGCAGAATGAAATTGAAGAATTTTTTTTGTCAAACTTACGAATGAAAATGGTTTTACCGCACTTTCCTCTTATAATAAAACAGAGCAGAATCACGCTAAATCAAGAGGCCAAAAAATTCGATGCTGGATATTTTCGTGACAATTTCTTTCTGAAAAAATGGCGATTTGACAAAAATTTTCAATAAAAAAAAAAGAAAAATATTGATAATTGAGCTATGATTTTTTGAAAATTGCTTTTGCCCAATTTTGTTTTCCAATTTCTATCAAATCGTCCTTCGGCGCACTCAAAGAACATGAAAACCCCTTCGAAAAGAAAACGTTTTTTTTTCAATCTTTAATTATTGAAAAACATAATTTTTTCATCTGAAATTTTTACCAAAAATTATCAATAAAATATCAAGAATTTTGGCGCCAATTAGAGTTTGTCTTTCGCCATAGTTCGGCGGTTATTAATTGTTGACATATTGGAGTCAATTTGGAAACAAAATTTTTTTAGATAAAAACCGGTAATTTTCAAAAATCATAACCCCTTCAATTATCAATATTTTTCAATTTTTGACTAATTGCCATCTTTTCAAAAAAAAAATTGATATAAAAATCCCCAGTATCGACTTTTTTGGCCTGCTGATTTGGCGTGGATCTGCTCAATAGCAATTGAATAATCTCATTAATGTATACTTTTAGGCTCTTTTGATATTCAAATCCAGATGTGATTCCTGCAATTGGAAGATTAAAATGCAACAAGCACTGGAGAAAGCACGGCGGAAGGACTTGGCTGAGATGATCAACGAAATTATGTTGTCCGATAATCTGTTTTGATATTCTTTTTCATCAAATAAAGATTATGAATTTTCATATAAATCATGTATTATTATTAAATTGAAAAATACAAGAAATATTCTAGCGATATATTGAATACGTGTATTTTTTAATGAAAATTTGAGTAAACGTACATATAATCGTAGGATTAACTATTGTTGGGCTTTACATTTTCTAAGGCTTAGAAACAACCTCTGCAACACAGAAATACAGCAACCCGCACGTATTTCACGTAAACCTAATAAATCTAAGTATGATACAATGTTTTCCCTCTCAGTTATTTTTTCTTCTAGTTTGTAATCAGTTAATTCTTCCTTTAAATAAATGTACGGTCACTCGTCTGAGCTAAAGATCAGTGAATCATAAAGAAAGAGAAATAGGGTGAACATTTCGCTCAAAAGGCTTTCTTTGAAAATTACTTTGTAGTCTTAACACATTTCCATTCCACGGTAAACGCCTCGATATTTCTCACATCATTTATTTTTAATTTTTTTTCGATGCGTAATTTGTTGTTAACGAATTAGCTCCAATGAAGTCAGGGAAGGATTCCATCTAAACTTGATACGTATTTTTGGTGATACTGCCTGCCTTGACCATGGTGTCTTTGTGTACTTGATATCCTATCGTCTGTCTTTGCTGGATTCCCAATCGCTCTTTTAATTTTCTCCTGGAAATGAAAAAAAATTAATTATTGACAAACAGCCGAGTAATTTCTATTTTTTTTCTTCATGACTCCCGAATGTAATCGGAATACTTTTCTTGACAAAATGACCTATTGCACACAATGGAGTTACTTCAACTTTTGACACATTTTTTCAATCATTCAACCATTTTCAAACATCAAGTGTGTCAATTAAATTGCGCGAGACAACTTTGAAAAAAAAACATGAATATTGTGCGTCATTCAAACTACATTTTCCACCGAATGATTATTATTTTAAACATTCGTTGTTTATAAATAAATAATTGAAATTGTTTAAATTTTGGGAAATCTTATTTATTTTATTTATTTTTAGGCATGAAATCGATTTTTGGTAAAATTCTGGATGTGAATAAATTTGTTACGATTCTGAACAAATGATTTTTACGATAGAACATTGATTGTTAATAAATTATTTATAGAATTATAGAAAATGGTCGTAATTTTCAAAAATAGCACATCTTCAATTATTTCATCAATTTTCTTTAAAAACTTTCTAATTTTTTCAGATTTATAAAATATTTTCTAATGGTTCGAGATCGAAATTCAAATTCAAACCTGCAAAGTTTTAATAATAAAATCATTTTAAAATCTCCAGAATCTTAGGGTCAAATGGGACTTAATGAAAGCTCTGAAGTTCGACTACAAAAGTAGAAAAGCATTTCACTGGGGAAAAAATAGCCAAAGTACTTGGATGTTAACGATATTCAAGTATCTTTTACAGACCACTATAAATTCAACAATTTTCAAACGTCAAATTTGTCAATTAAATAGCATGAGAAGAATTTGAAAAAAATCATGAATATTCAGCGTCATTAAAATTATATTCTGCACCGACTCACTATTCTATTGAACCGTCGTTGTTTATTAAATATATAAATAATTAAAATTGTTTAAACTTTCGGAAACCTTATTTTTTCAGACATGAAATTGATTTCTGGTAAATATATGAATATGAATAAATTTCTTACGATTCCGAAGTAATTTTTATGGTAGAAAATTGTTTATAAATTATTTATAGCAAATGCTCGTAATTTTCAAAAATTTGAATTTTTAAATCAGTTCAGTAATCTTCCCTCAGAAGTGAATTATCTATTTTTTTATTCAAATTTTGTAAATGTTTTCTAACGTTTCAATATGGAGATTCAAATTCACAACTGCAAACTTTAAATAATAAAATCATAGTAAAATATCCGGAAACTTTGGGTCAAATGGGACTGAAATGAAAGCTCTGATGTTCAACTACAAAATTAGACAGGCATTTTCCTAGAGAAAGAATAGTCAAAGTACTTGGATATCCTTGAGACCTTATCCACAGAAATTGCAGTCCTCGCAACGCGTCAATCCAAAACGAGATTGAAAAAAATGTTGAATTGCTGCAATGAAAATCCTTCAACTCACCCAATCTCCAAGACACTCTCTGATTTAGTAGCATCAGCCGTCCAAGCAGCCAATTTATCTCCCTTGGTTCTGATATTGACAACAGCCCCACAAACGTCATCCGAGTAGTCATCAAAAGCCTCACCAATCATGCAAAGCAGTATCTCGAGCCAGAGACGATCAAGATCACAGCTCCTCTGCTTCTTATCCAGCTGCATGAGCCATCTTCCGCCCTGTTTATTAGCATCATCCTCCCACATTGGTCGAATTCCCTTTTTAAACATACTGTAATCGCAGCCCTGTTTCAGCTCAGAAGCCAAGATGATGTGATTATATAACCTGAAATGGTAAACATTCTTTATACGGATCTTGACTCGTGGAATGAAAAAAAAAACGATGAATCAAATCCCTTACACAAAACTTCCATTCGGAAGCAAAATTTGCTCAATACTTCGAATGCAACAATGCGAATGTAAAAAGCACTCAAAAATAAATCAAAGTTCACCGACCGAGTGGTATCCGAGTGGATACCACACGATCAATCTCGAGTAATCAATTATTAATTAATTCAGTAGCGAAGTGGTAAAACGGTACAAGTCAATTTGGACTATTGACCAGTTTTTAAGGGTGCCAAGTGAATTTCAAAAAAGATTTTTAAAAATGTTTTCTTTCCCTCCATCATTGGAGAAATATGTATTCATCCATCCGACGAAATTTCAAACCCGCAACCGGAACTAGACATCGAGAAAATAAATGCGGAAAATCCTCTATTTCGCGTGACGAACCTCGAGAAAGCATGGGATCAAATGGGTACGGCGGGTTGAAATATCTCTCTTATTCACCCCGGTACCCCATTGTTTTTTGTCGCCATCACATTGAACACATCATTCCCCATATCTTCAAATTTTTTCAAATTTTTCTTGAGTTCCTAGGGGGTTGAAACGTTCAATTTAATCAAAACTCCATAAGAGGCCGTGTATAAGACTGATTTTGTTTATTTAATTTCTCGATATCCATAAGTTCTAAAATTTTAAAATTGTCACCGATGTTCACCATCTGTCTAATACTATTAATTAAAAAAATTATAACTTTGTTGGTGAAGGTCAATTTTCAAGGTCATCGCCAAATTCACTTGGCACCCTTAAGGATGTTCTACACCCTTTCTGCCAAAATTCACGTTTTTTAAATTTTTCTGGCAAACTTATGATGGAATTGACGTGAAAAAATATAACGTTTTTGCGTTTTGTCATTATTTAATGACTGACGAAATTTTAAGGTGGTGCGAACATTTTCCTGCGTTTTCTCTAAACTTTTAAAGTCATTAAAGCTATTAAAGAATGACAAACCACAAAATCGTTATATTTTTTCACGTCACTCCCATCGATAATTTGCCAGAAAAATGAAAACAACNTAAATGCGGAAAATCCTTTACTTCGCGTGACGAACCTCGAGAAAGCCTGGGATCAAATGGGTACGGCGGGTTGAAATATCTCTCTTATTCACCCCGGTACCCCATTGTTTTCTGTCGTCATCACATTGAACACATCATTCCCCATATCTTCAAATTTTTTCAAATTTTTCTTGAGTTCCTAGGGGCTTGAAACGTTCAATTTAATCAAAACTCCATAAGAGGCCCTGCATAAGACTGATTTTGTTTATTTAATTTCTCGATATCCNGAATATTTCGGAATCTAACGGACACAGCAAATTTTTTAATATAACCTTTTTTGTAGACCCGTTCGAGCCTTAAACCGTTTTACCACTTTGCTACTGAATTCTAGTGTGTAATAGCAACTCTTACGCCCAGAAATCCTCAACAGTATCGAAGCTAGAGATCTCTCTTTGACTTTCTTCCCACGTTTTTTGCCTGTCGGGTGCATAATACCAGAATGTCCACGTATTTTGGAGTGGGTGCTTGATGAGAAGTTCAGGTGGATATTCCTCAAGATTAGCTACCTCCTGATCCTTCTTCTCGACCTCCTGAAAAAGAAAAATTTAAATTATCAGAACATATTCCAAAGTCGTTTTCACAATTTACTCGTCAAGTGGTGAAACAATCAACTGTCAATAAGTATTGTGTATCAACAATAATAATAAATTGAATATTGAATTATCTCAGTAATAAGTGCTTTGCAGAGAAAGCGTCACAAAAATTTATTGAAAATTTATTCAACTACCAAACGGCTGTCGCACATTTTATCCTACAACAACTTTGTTATGTCCGGAGAGGTCGGCGTTGGAGGACTTTTCAAGTTATTAATCTAAAGTATTCCCCAGACAATTGTTAGAATTATCAATAAAAGAGTAATCTGAAGGCTTATTTTTATCTCTTTTTGTTTTATTATTAGGACGACTAGTCCTTTTCCTCTCGGTACGAGGAGCGATAAACGAATGCTTTGTGGCATTCACATCAATTTTCTAGCCACGATTAAATCCCTCTCAATAATGCTTAAATCCGAAGAATGCTCTCATGTGGGGCAAAAATATATTAATGTCACAGTTGACACAGAATTCAAACACAATTGTCTCTTCAGCACAGATGTTTCAATACCGTTTCGCCTCCCATTCCCTTACGAAAAATAAATATTTCTTCTGAATTTCACCTTCAAAAATCCCTTAAATCCAAGAATTAAGAATTGTGAATGTTTGAAGCATAAGCACGTTTCAAACTAATTTTATATGTATAATTTCATTGATTTCTCTGATGATTTTTCAGTAATTATTAAAAAAATACTTTTAAAAAAATCTCACAAATAATATGCTGTAACTGAATAGCAAATAGTGCAGTTCTTATGATATTCTGATGGAATCAAGAGGTCATTCATATCAATTTTTTAGCCGCGATTAAATTCCTCTCAATAATAAAATCGATTTTTCGAAGATCAATATTTTCCTGATTCTATAATAAATTTGATTTTAAGTTGTGTCAATGCATAGAATTCATAAAATCCCATATTCAGAACAAAATGTAGGAAATTCGATAGCTTCTTAGAGGGAAATTCCCTCAAAAACAAACACCCATACAAGACACGATATAAAAAACATATTTAAAGTTTAGACTATAATCGGCTGGCCCAGACCAAAAAATTGGGAATTTAAATTGGAAAAATGCTCCCATGTGGGGCAAAAATATATAAATGTCACAGTTGACACAGAATTCAAACGCAATTTCCTCAACACAGATGTTTCACTACCGTTTCGCCTCCCATTCCCTCACGAAAAATAGATGTTTCTCCAAAATTTTTCCTCCAAAAATCCCATAAATCCAAAGATTAAGAATTGTAAATGATTGGAGCATAAATATGTTTGAAACTAATTTTATAGATATAATTTCATTGATTTCACTAATGATTTTTCAGTAATCATTAAAAAATACTTTTCAAAAAATCTCACAAACAATATGCTGTAACTGAATAGCAAATAGTGCAGTTCTCATGATATTCTGATGGAATCAAGAGGTCATTCATATCAATTTTTTAGCCACGATTTAATTCCTCTCAATAATAAAATCGATTTTTCGAAGATCAATATTTTCCTGATTCTATAATAAATTTGATTTTAAGTTGTGTCAATGCATAGAATTCATAAAATCCCATATTCAGAACAAAATGTAGGAAATTCGATAGCTTCTTAGAGGGAAATTCCCTCAAAAACAAACACCCATACAAGACACGATATAAAAAACACATATTTAAAGTTTAGACTATAATCGGCTGGCCCAGACCAAAAAATTGGGAATTTAAATTGGAAAAATGCTCCCATGTGGGGCAAAAATATATAATGTCACAGTTGACACAGAATTCAAACGCAATTTCCTCAACACAGATGTTTCACTACCGTTTCGCCTCCCATTCCCTCACGAAAAATAGATGTTTCTCCAAAATTTTTCCTCCAAAAATCCCATAAATCCAAAGATTAAGAATTGTAAATGATTGGAGCATAAGTATGTTTGAAACTAATTTTATAGATATAATTTCATTAATTTCACTAATGATTTTTCAGTAATCATTAAAAAATACTTTTTAAAAAATCTCACAAACAATATGCTGTAACTGAATAGCAAATGGTGCAGTTCTCATGATATTCTGATGGAATCAAGAGGTCATTCATATCAATTTTTTAGCCACGATTTAATTCCTCTCAATAATAAAATCGATTTTTCGAAGATCAATATTTTCCTGATTCTATAATAAATTTGATTTTAAGTGTGGCAATGCATAAAATTCATAAAATCCCACATTCAGAACAAAATGTAGGAAATCCGATAGCTTCTTAGAGGGAAATTCCCTCAAAAACAAAAACCCATACAAGACCACACACACACACATACCCTTACAAACATGCAGACACGATATAAAAATCACATATTTAAAGTTTAGACTATAATCGGCTGGCCCAGACCAAAAAATTGGGAATTTAAATTGGAAAAATGCTCCCATGTGGGGCAAAAATATATAAATGTCACAGTTGACACAGAATTCAAACGCAATTTCCTCAACACAGATGTTTCAATACCGTTTCGCCTCCCATTCCCTCGCGAAAAATAGATGTTTCTCCAAAATTTCTCCTCCAAAAACCCCGTAAATCCAAGACTTAAGAAATGTGAATCATCGGAGCATAAGTAGGGTTATGGCTATTTGTAGAATAGACAGATATGGATTGAATGTGTGTGTTAAGAACGGGAACAGACGGAGTGTACCGACCGGAATGACCATGCTGACACCCCAACACCCACTATTTTCATCACAAATTATGTAAATTCATCATCGAACCGATGCACCAAGATTATTCACGAATACTAACGATCAGTTTTTCATTATTTTCTAACATCATACCTCAATTTCTTCAGTATTATTAGTAGCCATGTCACACAGTGATATACGCTAATACACGCACAAGGAAAAGACCCCTCAACTCAAATTGGTGAAAACCTTGGAGACATCTGCAGGAGAAATTTCGATTGGACCCCACGCCTTTGAATTTACCGTTGAATAATTTTCTTTCTTGTTTTCTATCTAATATCCATTCGTAGAATGTACGCAGAAAATCTTCGAAGGAATAGACAATTTATGAATATTAAATGTTAAAAATGAAGAGGGATTGGTGCTAATGGGTGAGTGCAGAACAACTTTCACTCATTTATTCAGTACTCTGGAATATCCTGTTCAGTAATATTTCCAACCCAATTCACGGAAATAAATGAGAGATGAGAAAGAGAAGTAAAATTGTGAAATGGATTCAGTTTTTATGAATCTATTGCAATATTTTCATTTGGGTTTTGTCAATTTTTAATTTAGACTCAAATGCAATATTTGAGTGGGGCCTTAAGGGAGCGCTTTGATCACTCGAAACGTGCAATTTAATATTTTGTGAATTTTTTTGAAATTTAGTCTCTTCTCCATATCGAAAATAAACAAAAGAAAAATAGTCGACGCAGTAATCCTCTATATAGGGGAGGTTGGGGTAAAACGGACACTTTTCACTTTTTCTAAAATGTTAATGAGGGGTTGAAATGTTGATAAAATTCAATAATTTTTTTTTCAGTGCAAAGAAAAATTCTTTCCCTTTGTGACGAGCCTAAACTAAGCTCAATTCATCAATTTGTTTCTGAGTTATGAATAATTTTAAAAAAGTCTAGTGTCCGTTTTACCCCACCCTCCCCTATATTATAAATGTTGTTCTACTATAAATTTTTATTATAATAATAATTAGTAAAGATAATGTAGGGGAGGGAGGTTGGGGTAAAACGGACACTTTTCACTTTTTCTAAAATGTTAATGAGGGGTTGAAATGTTCATAAAATTCAATAATTTTTCTTTCAGTGCAAAGAAAAATTCTTTCCCTTTGTGACGAGCCTAAACTAAGCTCAATTCATCAATTTGTTTCTGAGTTATGAATAATTTTAAAAAAGTCTAGTGTCCGTTTTACCCCACCCTCCCCTATATTATAAATGTTGTTCTACTATAAATTTTTATTATAATAATAATTAGTAAAGATAATGTAGGGGAGGGAGGTTGGGGTAAAACGGACACTTTTGATTTTTTTTTAAATGTTAATGAAGGGTTGAAATGTTGATGAAATTTAATTTTTTTTTTTCAATACAAAGAACAGTTCTTTCTCTTTGTGACGACCCTAAACTGAGCTCAATTGATGAATTTGTTTCTGAGTTATGAACGATTTAAAAAAAGTCTAAAGTGTCCATTTTACCCCACCCTCTTCTATTTGTCAGTCTTCGAAATCAAGAAAACGCATTCTATTTATTTTGCCGCCCTCCCCCGCAAGTAATTTCAGGGATTAAATCAATTATAATAAGTTGATGAGAGTAATACATATTATTGTCATTCAAGTGATTTCTGTTTCCCTTTTTAAAGTGGTCTGAATAAACTCCAGTTGAGTCGTTGAGGGTAACGAGGAAAAATATATTCAAAAAACCAAAAAAATAATTATACATCATTGATCATTTTTTCCATCAATTTTTACCTGATGAGTGTAAGAAATTGATCCATCAAATTCTTTCTTCAATTTTGACGTGGATACGTCTATGGTTTCAATATGGGGCATGGAATACCTCATATGAGGTATTCCATGCCAAATGAGTCAACGGCTAACCCTCACCCTCTTGAAAATTGATGGCGTTTTTTTCTACGATTAGGGGGCTTGAAAAACTATCTCTCAAATTTTTTAAGATTTTTTTGACAGCCCAGTTCGGAAATATGATTTTTTTCAAATTGTTCCGTTTTTTTACAATAACTCGAGTTCTACTCGTCCAATTTCAATTTATTAGGGGGCGAAATTTTCCATTTTTCACCAGCTATAAAAATGTTGTTTAAAAATTTTTTTCCAATCTTTAGATGCTTGAAATATCGAATTTTCGAAAAAAAAAAATTGTAAAACTTGAATTTTGCCAATTACGTCACGGTCGATTATTTTAATTTTTTTTTTCAGTAATTCTTATAATGAAAACGAAAATTTTGAGCCGTCATACATGTTGGGTTCCATCCAGGTACTATTTTTTTTTTAAAATTTTAATTTTTTTTTTTAAATTGCGAAAATTTGGTGAAACACCTTAAAACGACTTTAATTATATATCGAAAAAATATGTAATATGTAAGTATATATTTAAATTTACTTTATACTGTTTGTGATCAAAGGCAACCAATGACATTTTGGGGTATTTTGACCGAATTCGCGGAATTTTGAGAATAAAAAATTGAAAATAAAATAGATCTAAGACGAAACCCAACATGTATGACGGCTCAAAATTTTTGTTTTGATTATAGGAATTACTGAAAAAAAATTAAAATAATCAACCGTGACGTAATTAGTCAAATTCAAGTTTTTCAACTTTTTTTTCGACAATTCGTTATTTCAAGCATCTAAAGATTGGAAAAAATTTGGACAAAAAGCATTCTTATAGGTGGTGAAAAATGGACAATTTTGATCCCTAATAAATAAAAATCGAACGAATAGAACTCAAGTTATTGTAAAAAAAACGAACAATTTGAAAAAAAAAATCTCCGAACTGGGCTGTCAAAAAACTCTTTAAAAATTTGAGAGATAGTTTTTCAGTTTATACTTTGATAGTTTTTCATTTGTCAGCGGTTGACTCATTTGGCGTGGAATACCTCATATACATGTGTTGACAAAAATTTGCTTGCAAATAATTTATGACCATCATTTGTAGTTGGAAAATTTATGCGTCACATGACTGTCATTTTTTCTCTTCTTTTTCTTCCTTACTGGCTAGGCTTCCAAAATAGGAGTATGTGCCATGACCGTCATTTTTTCGGCATATGACGCGATCTCGTCGCCACCGCTGCAGCTGCAACTAGAGATGCAAATGCGTCACATGACCCGTCATATGACGGTCATGTGACCGTCAATGACGGTCACATGACGGTTGTCACAATTCCCCCTCGCCCTTCGTGACCGTCACAACTTGTCAAGAAAAAATGACAGTCATTTTTCATCTATATAGATGAAACTTTATTTTTTTTCTCCGTCAATTTTCAGTTGAATTCCTTTTGTATTGGCCTAATCCGCATTTTGAAATGGAAATCACGTTTTTTTCCCATCCATATCGATGAAACTATTTTGTTTCATTCATGACCGTCACAAATTGGAAATTCGTCACGACCGTCATTATGCAACTATATAGATGGTTTGACAACAATTTGGTTACAAATGGTTTGGGACAATCATTTGTAGTTGGAAAATTTGTGCGTCACATGACCGTCACAAGACCGTAATTTTTTGGTCATATGACGCGATCTAAGAAATGACGGTCATTTTGCATCTCTAGCTGCAACAAGCGGAAAATGAAAATCCACCCTTACCCAAACGAAGCCACGAGACTAGGAGTTGGCACGCCTCACCTGTTTGGCATCTAATCCAGTCGATGAGTAGTAATTGATGCGCTTCGACTGCAGCATAATATTGTAAGAAAACTAGAAAATCGAACCAATAACAGCTGCGAATAAAAATTGAATTTGAAGAGGCTGTAATAAGTACGAGGGTGTCAACGTTATGAATCGTTTGGTAAGTTGTTTATCGAAATTTAATCTATTATTGTCGAATGCATGTGAGTGCATTTTATAAACATTATTGTAGGTTAGGGATAGATAGAGTAGACGCTACAGTCAATTCATGGGAATTGTGATCATTCCATGCATTCCCGGAGATTTAAAAACGTGTTGAGGGGTAACCGAATGCCGCTAATTTTTAATTTTCTGAACAAATTTCGCGTCCGAAGTTATGAATGTTTTTACTAATCGGAGCACATTAATCTCCAGGAAATAACTGCAAATACGAATGGCTTTCATTGGATTCTCCACACCATAATTAACTGAATAGGGTGACCAGGCCAATTGCTGGACGGTTAAAGGAAATTCGACTTTCGTGGTAGGATCTAAAATAAAAGAATCACCTAAACGGGGATATGATGTCTTCCGTACCTTCAAAAATGTTTTAATTAGAAAAAAAATGTTTAAAGTGAAAATAACAAAACAAAGAATAATTCAATTGAGGAATAGTTGAATGTAGCCGAAACCCCCAATTTCTGGACGACGGTCATATTTTTTTTATTTATTAAATGTTGACCAATAGAACAAAATAATTGATCACATGATTATACGCAAGTGACATTATGGAGAGGTGAAATAATTAATACTGTTACGTGTCCCCCTTCGAATTATAATTCAATTGTCCATCATCTTGAAGATGACACGGAACCCCCTTGACAACGACTGTCTTTTGGAATAACTTGGATTGATTAATTCTCTTTGGAGATGTCTTCGACGACTCATCTTCTGTACCTAACTAATTAATAAACCGCCCCAACCATTTGAATATTGTGTCGTTTCCCTTCTTCACCGGTTACAACAATACAATTTTCATTTTATTTGTGGAATATTCAATGCAAGTTGAAATCGTCCAGAAACCAACCCCCGTCCAGAAATTGACCTGTTTCCCTATACAATTGATTTTCAGATAAACGAAGATAATAGCGGAATAAAAATGGCATACAGCGAGTCAGAGCCACAGACAGCCTCATACGGATATGAAACTGCATATCCAACATACACAAATGCATCTAGTGGGCAAACAGTGACGCAGCCACTGCCCGGACAGCCGCCATTGCCACCGATGCCACCACCAGGAGCACTACCACCCATGCCAATGTTTTCCGCAATGCCCCAAGTCCCCCAGCTCCAGACGTGGGGGCATGCAGCCCCCTGGCAGTGGATAACACCACAGGCCGCCGCTCCAATACCACCGCAGCCCGCTCGAGACATAAATAATGCGTTGAAATCATCTCGAGGAAATTACGTGCGCAGGGACAGGTTCAATCACAACAGGAACAATGTCTATGCGCAGAGAGGCTCCTTCAATAGGAATGAGAGGCGAAGGTTCAAGCATCAACAGCAACCTGGACAGTTCGATCCTACGACAGCGACTTATTGGCAAGGCATCGACTGGCAGAGGGCGAATTTTGCTACGGCACAGGGGGATGGGCTCATTAATCATATGAATGCCCAAATGCAAATGAAGAGTGCGGCTGCTGCTGGCAGCGCCGATAAATCGGATACTGGTGACCAAGAAGTGAAGATAGTATCGGTGAGTTGTTTACACGCACGAAAAAAAAATTTATTGATTATTTTTGGTAATCGGATCTGGCCTTCCCTGGGCCAATCAGAGTTCAGTATTCAATAATATGAAGTACCCCTTTACACAATGTTTTGGAGATAAATTGAAAAAGGGAATTGCTATGGATCCATTCGGAAGCTTACTACCAATGGAATTGGTAGAAATAAAAAATTAAATTACAAATAACACATGAAGTAAGTCAAATGCCTTCTGCAATATAGGAGCGGTCACCTGCTTGTTTTGTTTTAATTAATGAAATCAACAGAAAGAGTTATAACATTTGAGCCTTGGAATTTCCATAGAAAATATTTCAATAGAATAAGTCGTATAGAAGAACCCACACCTATTAATTTTTCCTCTAGGAATATTTACCATTGAACATTTCCATCGAGAAGAACTCGCAGGTAAACTGCGGAATGAAAGATATCCAAATGATAAGAATAAACAGCTCATAGAGGTTAACCTACTCATTTCTAATGAACTTTTTTTTCTCAGGAAGTACCTGTTAAAAAAACGAAGCAACGGAAGCCGATGTCCCAAAGTTATCCGATAAGAAACTGGAATTTAGAGGATGCAAAAAGTGCATTAAAAGTAGAAAATGAATATAACCGAACCGTTCGAGCTCAAAGTCTAATAATAAAATTCCCCGATCCTGATCTCAACAAAGATATCGTGAGAGAGTTCCACTCAGGCATCCAAAACATCCACTTCCAGAGTCCCAGTGGGCCACGATATTGTTTCATTCAGATGGCTGAAAATGTAGATATAGACAAGGCCATCGAGGAGTTGGAGAAGATACCATTTGGCGTTGGGCATTTGAAGGTCGAGAGAAAATCCCTGAGGGATGAAGATTATCCACAACCAGAGGAAATCGATCCCTACACACTTTACGTGGGAAATCTGCCGGAATCAGTGAATGTCAATGAGGTGAAAAATAAATTTCCTACAGCAACGAGAGTTGATGTGGGATATGCCCAGAAAATGAGGAATACTCGTTACGCATTTATTCGATATGCGAACGTCGAAGACTCGATAGCAGCTTACAAACAGGCGCACGACCTCATGTGGGATACCAGGAGCATTATTGTGAGATTCAGGCGGCAACGGGGCAACACTTGTTTACCCGGAGAAACTAAAAATAACCCGAAAAAAGTCAAGGATGAAGTGGAAGAGGGTGGAGTTAAGAAGGAGGGGGCCTCGTGTAATGGCACTGAGAGTAAGACGAGGGGTGATGCGAGCACGAGGGATAAGAGCTCGATACAAAGGGATAAAACATCGGTTGCGCCTGCTGCTGTAATACAGCAGAATCAACCATGGGTAATTCTTTCATTTTCCATGGCTTTTTGGAATTTTTATGCTAAATGGCTATTTTTAAGCATTTTATCAAATGTGTCAAAAAATGAACAGACTCCATTAGGTGCAATACTTCATCCTAAGAAAATGCTTTGTTGATGTTAAAGAATGTAAATAAGGGAAAAATTGCACGTATCTTCATTTATTCCCTCTCGAGCTATTAAATTCTTATTTTTTTTCATAAATTTACATATTATTTCGATTTTAGACATCAAAATCGCCACCACAGGCCTCCGAGGCTGCCGAGCCTCCACCGACTAAAGATTCTACTCCCCACCCTGAAGAAGAAATTGGAATATTAACGGCGATAAAAGAAGAGCCTCAAGATTACGACGAACTGGACATGTCGTATATTCCCATGGGGGATGACGATTCTGACGATGAAAACGACGAGCCCGACGAGATCAATTATACCAATGATGAGATGGACGAGAACGATAATGAACCGGATGTCAACGACGATTCCGATAATTTAACTGATTTTGGAATGAAAGATAAGCAGGACGATGATACGAATTCTGATGCTCCTGATGTAAGTTTTTCCAATGCAATATGATGAATCAAATTCGATATTTTGTTAATCCTGTTGTCAAGATCATTTACCCATCAATTTTATTTTTCAGCATTTGGATCACATGTTCAGTGCCATCACAGATACAGCTGGAGACATTGAGCTCTAATTACCTTCTGTATACGACAAATATGAAGTGACTCAACAATGCAGAAATGCTGGACTTCCAACATTGAAACGAATGAGATTGTAAATATTAAAAATTTGTAAAATGCTTCTTCTGCGTGACAGCCAAATAATTAATTTCCGTCTGTCTCGTTATTATTAACCACTCGTACAGTGATACTTCCTGGGCATTAACTTATAAATTTCTGGTATTGACCAAATGGAAATTCCAACCGCCCATTGGAGAACGCGTGATACGTGTAATTTTAATGATTGTAAATTAAAACATGATTTTTTCTAACGGCATTGGCTATTTACTAATCCTTACTAATTCTTACTTTTATTCATTTTGTTTCATTTTGTTTTTTCTGGTGATGAACAAAAATTAGGTTTAATGGGTCAGGTAAATGCACCTATGCTCATCCCTTTATATTTTAATAGTCATTTTAATACGACTGGAGCTATTATTTTAGTTAATAAGGAAAGTTATATACACCAATGAACAGTGATTTAATGAAGAATAAAAGAGGAAAATCCCATTCACATAATTGATGCTACGACAGAGTGACTTCTTAAGGATAATCGGGCGAGGAGGAAATGTAGGAGGTGAAGCGGAGGGGTTTCTATTTTCCTGCAGAAAACCAATCGCTGAACAAAAAAAATTTTTCCCATTCGGATTGAAAATTCAGGCAATATTAGGGAGTATCTCCGGTTAAAAATTATTTTTGGAGCTAATCAAATTTATTTGTATCTGTTCCACGCATTGAATGGTTTTCAGATTGTTTTTTTTTAATAAATGAAAAAATATTAATCCATGCGAAAAAGTGGCAACATCGTCGGTAGTTTTTTTTTTCACCAGGAGCTGGTACCACTGGCTCGAGGGTGCTCCAATCACAACGCTTCATGCTCTCTCTCAAGAGACGTTTAAATTGACCGCGCTACCCCCACCCGATCGGTACTTGGGACGTTGCTGCTAGAGATGCAAAATGACCGTCATTTTTTAGATCGCGTCATATGACCAAAAAATGACGGTCATGTGACGCACAAATTTTCCAACTACAAATGATTGTCACAAATCATTTGTAACCAAATTGTCGTCAAACCATCTATATAGTTGCGTAATGACGGTCATAACTAATTTCCAATTTGTGACGGTCATGAATAAAACAAAATAGTTTCATCTATATGGGTGGAAAAAAATCGTGATTTCCATTTTAAAATGCGGATTAGGTCAATACAAAAGGAATTCAACTGAAAATTGACCGAGAAAAAAATAAAGTTTCATCTATGTAGATGAAAAATGACTGTCATTTTTTCTTGACAAGTTGAGACGGTCACAGAAGGGAGAGGGGGAATGTGACAGCCGTCATGAACGCCTCGTCATGTGACGGTCAATGACGGTCACATGACCGTCATATGACGGGTCATGTGACGCATTTGCATCTCTAGCTGCTGCTCGTTTGGGCTGCGTGCGCAAAAATGTCATTCTTCAGTACTTTTTTCGCTATTATTAATAAACAATGCCCCCAGGCGACAATCGTTTTCACTCAAAAAATCATTGATCACATGTTCTAAATGTGTCTAAAGTTTCATGACTTTGGCTGCATTTTTTCCTTGGGTTTTGCAGTTTTTTTTGTGATTTCCATAAGATCACGGGTTAAATGACGACTTTTTCAAAAATTCATAATAAATTAACCACGCTCCCCAGCAGTCTGAAACTTTGCAAATACCTTTTCCATCATTTAAAAAATACGTAAAAAAAAAAAGAAAAAAATGGCTGATTTTTTCTAACCCTCCGGGCTCGCCCGATTATCCTTAACGACTTCGCTACTGTTTTGATCTCCCCAGAGAATTGAATCCTGCCGCGCGGAAGTGGCATCCGCCATACTCGAAGATGCGCGCGCACCGATGTCTCACGAAAAGCGCGGGAGACAGAGAGTCAGCCGCACGAGGGGGAAAGAGTGCGAAATATCCCGGAGGCCTTTGTCCATGTCCACTTTTGTTGCGTCGTCTACCGGTTGTCCCTCGCACACGAGATTCCCACGAAATTCCGTTTATTCTTTCACCGATAAACAATAATAATTGAAACCAGTCAAAATGTTCGAGGCACGTTTGATACAGAGTGCAATCCTGAAGAAGGTTTTGGATGCAGTTAAGGATCTCCTGACTGAGGCTACCTTTGAATGCTCTGATTCGGGGATTACGGTGCAAGCTATGGACAACGCTCACGTATCCCTCGTATCCTTGAGCCTCAGAAGCGATGGATTCGATAAATACAGATGCGATCGGAATCTATCAATGGGCATGGCTATTGCAACGTAAGAATATTTTCTTTCATTTTTCATTTTCATTCCCTTCTCAATAGGTTATGTTCCCTTCTGGTGATAATGCATTCAAGTGCAGGGGCTAAATGGACATACGCCCTTTTATGAAATGCTGATAATTTACTGAATTGTTGTTAAAATAGGACAATTTTCTCCATGAAATGTTCAATTTTTACCCTTCTGATGAGCCGGGACTAAACTTAATTAATTTTTTTTTTTAATTTAGCTTGTGAATATTGAAAAAAATTTAGTGTTTATTTTGCCCTCCTCCCCCCCTATCGAATTAATGAACATGTGAGTTTTAATTTAAAATTGTTATTACAATGGGACAATTTTCTCCGTGAACTGTTTAATTAGTTTCCTTCTGTGACGAGACTAGAGTCAAATTAAATAACAATTTTTTTAATTTAGCTTGTGAAGAGTCGAAAAACATCAAGTGCTCATTTTACTCGATCCTCCCTGACTAATGAATGAAGATTTGAGTTTTCAGTCAATTGTTATTAAACGGGATAATTTCCCTCATCAAATGTCCAATTTTTTCCCCTCTGTAATGAGCCTGGACTGAACTTAATTAACGATTTCTAAAATTGACTTATGAAAATTGAAAAACATCAAGTAATCATTTTGTCCCACGTTCCCTCACTAATTGATGAACATATGATTTTTCATTCAATTGTTATTAAAATAGGACAATTTTTCCCGTGAAATTTTCAATTTTTTTCTTCTGTGACAAGACTAGACTCAAATTAATTAATAATTTTTTTAATTTAGTTTATGAAGAATGAAAAAAAATGAAGTGGTCAATTCCCCCCCCCCTTCCATTGTCACTAATCAATAAATATACGATTTTTCATTCAATTATTATTGAAATGCAATAATTTTCCCCATAAAATGTTGAATTTTTTCCTTCTGTAACGAGCCTAGTCTGAACTTAATTAATGATTTTCTTTACATTCAACTTATGAACATTGAAAAAAGTCAGGCATCCGTTTGACCCCACATTAATTAATGAAGATGTTTTTTTTTTTCATTTTCAGCATGTCTAAAATCTTGAAATGTGCTGGGTCTGAAGACACCGTGACCCTGAGGGCTGCGGATAATCCTGACACTATATCATTTATTTTTGAATCATCGAACAAAGAAAAACTGGCTGACTACGAGATGAAACTCATTAACATGGACCAAGAGCATCTGGGAATACCGGTGATTATTAATTTAAAAACACAATAGAAATAATTAAGGATATCCAAGTATCTTTTGCAGTTTAGTAGACCACACTATGAATTCAATCATTTTCAACATCAAATTTGTCAACTTATTGTGCCTGAGAAAAAATTGGAAAAAATCATGAATATTCAGCGTCATTCAAATTACATTTTGCATTGAATTATTTTTTTAATCATTCGTTCTTTATAGATAAATAATTGAAATTGTATAAACTTTCAGAAAGCTTTTTTTTAGGCATGAAATCGATTTCTGGTAGAATTCTGAAAATGAATAAATTTGTTACGATTCCGATTGATTGTTTCTAAATTATTTATAGACAATGTTTTTAATTTTCAAAAATCGCAATTTTTTAATTATTTCATCCATTTTCCGGCAACAGCAAATGTTTTAATTTTTTTCAGATTTTTACAATGTTTTCTAACCATTCAATATCGAGATTGAAATTCAAGCCCGTAAAATTTTTTTTTTAACAATAAAATTGCTGTTAAATGCTCAGAAACTTAAGAAATCGGGCTCAAATGAAAGCTCTGATGTTCGACTACAAAAGTAGAAAAGCATTTCAGTGGAAAAAAAATAGCCAAAGTATCTTTTACAGTTTTATGTAGACAAAACAATAGATTCAGTCATTTTCAATCATCAAATTTGTCAATTGAATTGCGTGAGAAAAGTATGAAGATTGAGCGCTATTAAAATTAAATTTTCAATAGAATTATCTTTTTTTTAAACATTCGTTGTCTATAAATTATTTATTTATTCATTACTTATTCACCTGTTTCCGAGGTACGACCTTATAACAGCGATATAGTACAATAAAATATGCTCATATACAAAATTTTGAAAAGAGCGATCTTTCCAAAAAAATTAGTAATAAATCAATGACAAAAAGAATGTCACAAGGAGGCATTATATATAGATAAAACTTGTAATTTTCAAAAATTACAATTTTTCAATTATTCCATCAAACTTCCACCAAAAGTAAATTTTTAAATTTATAAAATATTTTCTAACGATTCAATATCGAGATTCAAATTCAGACCTGCGAAGTTTAAATAATAAAATTATTGTAAAATGTTCAAAAACTTAGGGTCAAATTTGGCTCAAATGAAAGCACTGATTTTCGACTGCAAAAGTAGAAAGCAAAGAAAGAAAAAACGTTACTGTTACTGTTTTTCTTTTCTCTGCAAAGAAAGTAAAATAAATCCTCAGGCCACAGCAACACAAAATCGAATTTTTGTTCTTTCTCAATAGGAAACATTTTACTCGTGCGTCGTGAAAATGCCATCCCAGGAGTTTGCCAGAATTATTCGCGACCTCTCCCAATTCGGTGAGAATATCACGATTGCGTGCACCAAGGAGGGAATAAAATTCACAGCCATTGGAGACTCTGGATCAGGTAAAGAATAATTGATTGACTCACCTCTAGTGTAAGAATTCTCGATGTCAGCATTTTTACGTGACTTTCTTCGACGACAATCTCACTGTGACTGAGGTACTTCGGGTTATAAAATCGCCGGAGACAAAGGACAGGAGACCTTCGCTGTCGTCTTGTGTTTGTTTTCGTCGGGATGGGACGGAAAAAAAACAAAACAGTGGGGATTCGGTTGCTACGGATGGGTATTAACGTGGAAATATTTTCGAACGTGAGGGTTTGGATTCTAAATATTCATCGAATGGTCATTATGAAGGGAATTTTCAATAAATAGTACTAATTTCCACGTAATGATTTCAAGGGCATAGAGATTTTTTTTTATAAAAACCAATCAGACAGTCCAGGGCCTCCAATTTTTGAGTTACGAATGATTTTTTTTTTCAAAATTTTCGGAAAAAAATGTGGAATAAGAATTACGAGCTAGTTTTTTTTTAATTCACTTCTTCCACGGCTAAATTTGCTTTTTTTGTATTTTTTTACACAAGTAGTGAATTTTTTTTTTATGGAAAAAAACGAAATCAGCTGTGTAGGAGTCGGATTCCGAAAAAACTGGCTCGTAATTGTTGTTCCACACATTTTTCCAAAAATTTTGAAAAAAAAAATCTTTTGTAGCTCAAAAATTGGAGGTCCTGGACTGTTTTTAGCATTTTAAGCGTTTTCGGGCGAACGAACAATAAAACAAATTTTTTTTTGCACTAGTTACTCGTTTTCAGATCTATAATCGATCTTCAACGTATGAGAAATCTCACTCCAATAACCGGCGACTTTTAAAACTCACAGTAGTCTCCCCTTAAAGGGAATGATAAACTAGATTAGAAGTTTGCTCCATTTCAAAAAAATATTGCTAATTCATCAGCAGCAATAGCGATGCTCAGATATAAACAATGCCCTCATCCCCTCCTTTCTCTTGTTTCCAGCCAATGTCAAACTTGCACAAACAGCAGATGCAGAAAAAGAGGAGGAAGCTGTGATAATCGAGATGCAAGAGTCCGTGAAGCTCTCATTCTCCTGTCGTTACTTGAATTGCTTCGTGAAGGCAACTCCCCTCTGCGCCCAAGTCCAGCTGTCCATATCCAACGACGTGCCCCTCGTCTGCGAGTACAAAATCGGCGAAATTGGTCAAATCAGATACTACCTGGCGCCCAAGATCGACGATGAGGACGACAATGCATAAACCCCATCACATTTACCAATAGGTTCGAATGTCTCTCACTTCCAGAAGCCAATTCAGTCTTGAAGAGAACAGATTTTTTCATTCCCAGTGAAAGATCGTTGTAAAAAAAATGTGTGCCTCAACTTTGGTTAAATATTCAACTATTATGCAGGTATTTTTGATACAATTGTAATATGCAAACGAGTATTTTTCCAATATAATATATTATTCAAATTTTACATTTAAAAGTTAAGTTTGGCTCGTCACAGTGCTAGCGCAACGTAAATTGACACTACAAGTTGTTTTTGTAGTTGGGCAACACGTTTCAAGATTTATAGAAAAAGAATTCCATACCGATGTCAAGATTTATTCATCTCATCACTAGTAAAAATTCTCACTCTTCTCTCAACTGTGACTCTATTTCTTTTCATAGAATCGTATTGTTAAATTTCCATTTTTTACTTTTTTTCAAATACATAATAACGTAATACAATTTTTGAGGAAAATTCATTTGAAATAATTGTCAAGTACATTGTTTCTTTTATCGATCCTCCATGGAAACTATCCTACTCACAATTTCAAGATATCCACTCTGAAATTTGTCCCAAACCCTCAATCCTATTTTATACTATGTATAGGCTACTTTAATATAAAAATACATAATTAACTTACGAACTGGGGGAAATAAGTTTGGGCCATTCTATGGATTGAATAGCCTCGGAGTACTTTATAGTTATGATCAGAATCTTACGTCTAATTTTCTTCGATTAATCTCTACTTTTAATTTTTTATTTCTCAATGGATAGTATGGTTTAAAGTTAGGGGAGGAAAAAATACTGAACCATATATTACATTTTGCAGTACTCGCAATAAACGCCCTTACAACATCACTTGAGTCATTCGTCATTTCTCTCTCTCTCTCTCTCTCTCTGTTTTGTATCATTACCTCACTTACACTTTTATGCATACACTCTCGAGGTACTTGTTCTATCCAGACTAATTATGGATTAATTAAATCTTTGGTAAATTGAATAAGTACGTTTTTAAGAAGATTTGATGTAGTAATTGAACATATGTTTTCCACATTTTTTTACATGACAAAAATGAAAAGTCAAAGCTTCTCCTTTAGTTTGGCAATCACGATCAGCCTCTTTGGTGTGGAAAATTCGAGATTTAGTAATTTTTTTATCCATGTAACCAGAATTAATGAGAGACTACAACTGAATAGGCATAAGAGACTAAGAGATTCGATGAATGAAAAATATAACTAGGGGTGAGAGTGGGACAAAATGAAACAGTTGGAAAACGTTTGTTTGACGCAATTCAATCGCAATTGATAAATAAAACAAAATTTTTGTTTATCAACTTTTTATTATTATTGGGAGTACTGATGAGAATAATTTTCCACTCAGTAGAATGGAAAATTATTGAGAAGTTTTGACGGGAGAAGATTCTGTCAATGGATTAATTGAAAAGAAAATGAAACAGCAAAATCCAAAGTCCAGAGGAGGGCCCAGGGGACGAGCCAGAGGGGGAAAAAGAAAAATGTGATGCTGAATTTCAATCGAATGAAAAAAGAAAAGGGTAATCGCCCTAATCTAATCAATTGAATTATAGATAAAATATTCCGTATTACTTGAAAAGAGAACTGTAGATAAAATTAGTGGAAATTATTAATATTGTTGTCTCGATATAAGAAATATATGAAAAATCTTCGGGAGTTTCGAATGAGGAGAGAACATAGACTCAGCGATGACGAGGTCTTAGTTTGACTGCTGGAGAGTCAGGGGACAAGCTGACTAGTGGACGTTGAGATCGAGATCTAACAGGGGACTGGGATTCATCTGTGAAGGTAGTCGCTACGCTATATAGGGATTTCGAATATCAGTGATTTTTTTGCACCACGTGTTCTTTTCTACCGAATAGAAAATTATTATTCTCATCGGTACTCCCAATAATAAAAACAGTTGGTAAACAAATGTTGACAACGATTTTTTTTTGTTTGAATTACGTCTGATAGTCATTTTTTTCGGCTGCTTCATTTTGCCCCACTTTCCCCTATTAATTTAGTAATGAATTTAGTTTAGGGATGAAATATTTAATGAATTTAAGGTCCAGATGGACTATCTTTCAAACGTTATCTCGATTGTTTTTCATCTTCATTATCTCAATATATCATAACTCGCATTGGATTTTACATCACGCTGGAGTCCCTAAAAATTATGATTGTGTAATCAATAAAAGTAGATAATGAACTGAACATTTTCAAAGAACTTTTTTAATAAAGATTAAGAAGTAAGTTCCGTAGAGAGAAATTGTAAATGGATAATTTATCATGACAACTGACGATCGAATAGCCATTGGATGCTGGACATTATTAATTTGCAATTTGCTCCCTATCGGGTTTATTTCTCAATATTATTGGAAAACGTTCATTGAAAATGTTCAGTTTTTTTCAATGTTTTTTCGATTATGCATCATAATTATAATTCATCGTAATTCTTTGGGACTCTAGGACTATGTAAAACTGAACGGCTATTGGAGAACATTTCAAATTATCAAAATAGAAAAAAATAACTGAGATCACGTTTGAAAAATAGCACACGCGGGCCTTAATTCAATATTTTGGGGAGGAATTAATGTACTGTTCTAGACCACTCTGTCAAGAATTTACAAATGAACCTAAGTCAGTGGTTGTGGTCAGTCTGGTTACATTGATCCAATTCATAAAAATTTTACTTGGGAAAAAAATATATATTCAAATTGAAAAGAGGAAAAAAGGCATTTCTAGATCGAAGTCACCACTTGTCAAGACAATATCAAAAAATTCTTGATTATATATCGTATCTTTCACGCAATCACTGCCATGCTATTGAGCTTTTCTCGTATTTTGTTTGGATCCAGGGCTATATCTCTCTCAAAAAAAAATTCATCTCAAAAATTTCACTATCCATAAACTTCTCAAATATTTTTCCAATAAGAAAATCTGGAAACAATTTTGTAACTTGGTGATCTGAAATAATACTTCTCAATAAAATATTTTGGGAAAAAAAACAAACATTTTCATTTTCAAAAAATGTTGAGAACATTTCAAACTTGCTGAATTTTCGAACAGACATGTTCGGAATACGTTAAAAAATCACGAGTACGAAAAAATTCGTAGAAAAACCTAGGGAATTCGCTGGAAAATTCTACTAAACTTTTCATTACTTTTTTTTTCATAAAAATATTCAACGAAAAATATTCTATCGAACAAATTAATCGAATTCAATTTATCAATGCAACTTATTCTACTGAGATATTTTCTATCGAAATTCTCAGCTCAAATTTTCCAAGTTTTTGTTTGATTTTTTAAACAAAAATAGAAAAAATAGAGTGGAAAAACTTGAATAATTCATGTCGATAAATTCCTATGCAAAAAGTCCTGATAGAAAAAGTTCTACACAAAGATGACATTCTAGAATAGAATTTCCTCTATAGAGTAATTTCTATTGGCCATTTTCTAAGAACAAATGCGGAGTAAACTGAATACAATTTTCAATCAAAGTCCATTAGAAATCCAATAGAATTTTCCATCTATTGTATCTACCTTTTCATTGTCCCACAGTACCAATTCAGAATTGAATTTCCATTTCAATTCCTCGCCTCTCATTATTCATAAAGAAATTTCCAGAAAGAAATAAAAAAAAATTCAGGAGAAATATAGCCCCCGTGCCATTTTGTTTCATTGATTTTCAACTTCATTATTCGAATTTTCTGTGTTTGTATTTGTTCTTTCAATCCGAGGAGGCGGAGTCGCCGTATTCCGCCTAGGTATGTTTACTCCCATTACTGCCGTACAGGCTTGGATGGACAAATTTATCGTGCAACGTTCTCAGATGCCTCAGCAAATTGCTCTTAACATTGAAACCTTTTTTACAGTATGAACAGAGAAATGGCTTTTCACCAGTATGCGTTCGCTGATGAATGACCATGGATGCATGGCTTGGAAATACTTTTTGGCATATGTTACAGAGTTTCTGATGATTGTGGATACGTTTGGGTTTCGGGGGGGCTGAGTTGTTCATCAGGGCGAGTTGCTCCTCCGTATGCTCAGTTTGAATGTGACGAACCCATTCTTGGGGTGTTGGGTACATGTTGCCGCAGAGATCACATTTTAAAGGGGGAAAATCTTTGCTGTCGTCATCATCTCCCTGTTTAAAAATGCAATATTTTATTAGTTTTTCAAGGCCCGGGTGGATTAGCTTTCCAACGTTATCTCGATTGTTTTTCTTTTCATCTTCATAATGTCAAATATATCACAATTTACATTGGATTTTACATCACGCAGGAGTAGAGATGCAAATGCGTCATGTGACCGTCATTGACGGTCACATGACGAGGCGTTCATGACGGCTGTCACAATTCCCCCTCCCCCTTCTGCGACCGTCACAACTTGTCAAGAAAAAATGACAGTCATTTTTCATCTATATAGATGAAACTTTATTTTTTTCTCGGTCAATTTTCAGTTGAATTCCTTTTGTATTGGCCTAATCCGCATTTTGAAATGGAAATCACGTTTTTTCCATCCATATAGATGAAACTATTTTGTTTTATTCATGACCGTCACAAATTGGAAATTAGTTATTACCGTCATTATGCAACTATATAGATGGTGTGACAACAATTTGGTTACAAATGATTTGTGACAATCATTTGTAGTTGGAAAATTTATGCGTCACATGACCGTCATTTTTTGGTCATATGACGCGATCTAAAAAATGACGGTCATTTTGCATCTCTACGCACGAGTCCCTAGAAATTATGATTGTATAGTCGAAAAAAGTATTTTAAAAAACTGAACATTTTTAAAGAGCGTTTTTAATGAAGATTGAGAGATAAGTCCGATAGAGAGGAAATAGTGAATGCATAATTTATCATGGTAACTAATGATCTGATTGCCATTGATTGCTGTGACAAATAACGATCTAACAGCCATTAGATACATCAAATTATTAATTTCCAATTTCCTCCCTATTGGGTTTATTACCCATTTTTATTAAAAAACGCTCTTTAAAAATGTTCAACGTGTTTTGTGGCGCGAGTTACAAACGAATTATTATGCCGAATTTCGATTAACGCGTCTCGAATATTCTCTATTGTCGTATTCGAGACAAATATCATCCTATCCTTGTTCCTAACGAAATTTCTGGACAATTCTCGAACCTTTCATAGTAAAATGTATATAAACCCTCGTATTCCCGACCAAAATGTTCAGTCCGATTCAGCCCGATACCGAAACACGATGTAAACACATCTCTGTAAATCTTGGTGAAAAATTTTGTTTTGGTCCAATATAGTCACTGAAATTTTTTGAAAAATATAAAAAGGGTCGAACTTTGAAAACGACTGGTTTTTTGAAGTTTTTTGATGTTTTTCTGAGGAAATCGATGGAAGAACGAATTGAAAAAAATTGACATATTTTTGTATGAAAAATGTGTTCGAAGACGCACATTTTGTAAAAAAAAAACTCAAATCGGTTGATTTTTACGGAAGTTACAGGCATTTGAAGATGAAACTTGCAAAAAAACATAGCTGTCCACAGGATGCCTCAAAAAATCTGAAAAAATTTGAGAAGTCATATTTTTCCATATACAACCACAGGAAAAATCGGCAATATGATTGGCGATGGTGAGGATTTTGACCTGGGTGAGTTCACATGGAATACCCCATATGAAACATATATTTTATATATGTTTTTAATATAAATTGGGCCAATTTAAGCTATTTTTTAATATATTTTTCAAAATATTTCAAATTTTCAAATTTTCAAAATAAAAAAAAAATTAAGATCACGTTCGAAAGATAATCCACCCAGGCCTTAACACGATTAATCATTCGTTAATTGATTATTTACCTTTCTCTTTTTCCTCCGATTTTCTGTCATATCTGCATGGGTGAATTCAATGTGTCTCACCCAATCCGAGGGACGATTGAACGTTTGACTGCACATGTCGCAAGTCAATGGAGTGTACTCCTCCTCTTCAATGTCTCCGTCTTCATCACCACTGTGTACAATTTCCTACAAAATGACATGAAAATTTTGTGACATTTTGTCTCTGACGTTTGATTCCTTTAATTATTTCGTCAGCCTTCTTCACTCTTTAATTTTATCAAATATTGTCAGACATACAGTTTATGGGACCATTATATTCCATTGAGTCTATTCCCTTTGTATTTTTACCCATAAATCAAGGACATTTGTTTAGAATTGCAAGTTCTCGACAATTTTTTGATTTTCTAATTGACAGCTATTTTCTTCATGTTGATAAAAATTTTAATCCATCATTTTCAATACTTGTGTCGATACAAAAATCAATAACCGTTCTTGACGTTTTATTAACAATTTTTGGTGAAAATTTCAGATTTTTCAAAAATTAACTTTGTTAGTGATTAACGATTGGGAAAAAACGTTTTCTCGCATAAACCCTGACAAACTGAAGATAATGCTATGTATGACATGTTCTTTGAGAGTGCCAAAGGACGATTTGATAGCTTGAAACAACGCCAAAATATTGAGGGCAATTTGGAAAAAAAATTTTGTTTTGGACAAAAACTAGCCATTTGACGCTTTCAATTATTTTACCAGCCTTTCTCATTCTTTGATTTTGTTACATATTTTGGGACATGCAGTTTATGGGATCATCATATTCCATTGAAATAGTAACAGTGTCATACTATTGGAAATTTCAGAACTTCTGGTCAATTTTACGACATTTTTGTGTCTCGAAATTTACATTGGAAAAAATTTAAAAAAAAATGAACGTGATCACATGTGTCAAAAAATGAAGGCACTTCATTGTGTATAACAAGTCATTTTGTCGCGAAAATGCTGCATCGGTATTAACGTATTCCAAAACCGTTGTCACAACTACTCCAAACAATCGGTAAATCTGCATAACGAATTTCACATCTCACCGGTTTGATATCAATCTCGTGATCTATTGTCAGGGATTCTGACGGATCCATCGACTCGTCCCAATCAATTGGCTCATCTTTCACTAGTAATTCCAGATTTAATTCAGCCTGAAAGCAAGAAAAAATTATTTTTAATAAGGAATTCTGCAGCGAAGTGGTAAAACTATTTAAATCGACTCTTAGCTGAATTTCCGAGGAATAACTCTGAATCTAAGGGAGATATTTCTCGAGAAATTTTCGTAATGACCTTTTTTGCAGGTCTTAATCAGCTCTACAAAAAAGGTTGTAACATAAAATCCATTTCAATTACATTTTTTCAAAAATCGTTTTCTCGAAAAAATGCACCTAAAAAATACTCTTGGTCTATTCTGTCAACTCTGGAGAGGATTTCCCCCCGAAAAAATTGCTGGAACTACTTGGATATCCTTAAAGATCTTTTACAGTTTGGTACAGGCCAAATTCAATCATCAAATTTGTCAATTAAATTGCGTGAGAAAAATTTGAAAAAAATCGTAACTAGTCAGTGTCATTCAAATGACATTTTGCGTTGTTTATAAATAAATGATTAGAAATAAATGATTGGGTTACTTTTCGGCAACACAATTTTTTTAGACATGAAATCGATTTCTGGTAAAATTCTGAATATTAATAAATTGGTTACGATTCCGAACAAATAATTTTCATCGTGAAAAATTCATTGTTTACAAATTATTTTCATTATTTCATCAATTTTTCTTTTGCTATTGCACTCTTTGAGAAACGATTCCCCAAAAATTCATGAGAACTAATACTCTCGGTCTATTTTGTAAACTCTAGAGAGGATTTCCCCCCGAAAAAATTGCTCGAACTACTTGGATATCCTTAAAGATCTTTTACAGTTTGGTACGGACCAAATTCAATCATCAAATTTGTCAATTAAATTGCGTGAGAAAAATTTGAAAAAAATCGTAACTAGTCAGTGTCATTCAAATGACATTTTGCGTTGTTTATAAATAAATGATTAGAAATAAATAATTGGGTTAACTTTCGGCAACGCAATTTTTTTAGGCATGAAATCGATTTCTGGTACAATTCTGAGTATTAATGAATTGGTTACGATTCCGAACAAATGATTTTTATCGTGAAAAATTCATTGTTTACAAATTATTTTCATTATTTCATAAATTTTTCTATTGTTACTGCATTCTTTGAGAAAAGATTCCCCAAAAAAACATGAGAAGTATTATTTACATTATCTCCATCGCTTTTGCTCGATTTGTTGGATTCTGCTTCACTACTGCTGTTGTTACTCCGCCTCTTCTTCCCATTTGCCTCGACGTTCTCCTTATTTTTGTTCTGATCATTGCTCTTGCTCTCCTCAGTGAGCCCTTTCTTGGGATCCTCACTCGACTTGTCACTTGAACTGCTCTTCTTCTCTAGAATCTTCTGCACCGGCTGGGCTGATGACGGTTGAAGTGGCGGTTGCACTGGTTGCTGTTGCACTGGTGTAGGTGTTGATGTCGGCGCTGATGCCGATCCTACATCAGCTGTGGACTTTTCGTGGGCTGTCGGCTGCACTAGTTTTATCTTCTGAATTTGACCCGATGCCGATTGCTGTTCCCTCTTGTCCCTCTCAACTTTCTGATTATTCGACTGAATGTTCTCCTTTTTACTCGCTGAGTTGGATCGCCACAGGCCTCGCACTCGAAGGATATCCCCGGCTTTCAACACTCCCTCCAATTGATCATTGGTCACTGTTGCTTCACCGCTGTACATGTATTGAATGAGAATTTTCAGGGTGCGATAGCCAATCTCTGTTGGTAGAACCTGTTGAGAAAAAAAATGGTCTTAGAATTTTTTCTATAAATTAAGGACATTTATTTGAAATTGCAAGCACTCATCAAGTTTTTGATTCTCTGGTTGACAGTTATTTTCTTCATGTTGATAACAATTTTAATCCATCATTTGCAATACTTGTCTCAATGAGAAAATTAATAACCGCCGAACCGCGGCGAAAGACAAACTCCAAGTGACGCCAAAATTCTTGACATTTTATTAACAATTTTTGGTGAAAATTTCGAATTTTAAAAAAATTAACTTTTTTAGTAATTAACGACTGAAAAAAAACGTTTTCTCGTATCAACCCCGTCAAACTGAAGATAATGCTATGTATGGCGTCTCATTTTGAAGGGATTTTCATGATCTTTGAGAGTGCCAAAGGGCGATTTGATAGCTTAAAAATTTTATTCTATTCTTCATATGGATGAAAATTTTATTCTATCAAAACGAGTCAGTTATTCACAATTAGATTAGAATAGGAAGAAAGCATGACTTATATGCAGTTTAATCTTTTAAGCTGCATAATGAATATCGGCATTATTTGCCTAGATTCCTCAGATTTTCCCTTGGCCAAGGGATTCGGTATATTTTGTCACAGTACCTCCTATTTTTCATCGAAATTGTTCTCGAACTTGAAAAAAATTCAATTTTCGAAAAATGAATAAACTTGGAAATTCTCAAACCCGAGCATATGAAAAATACTATAATTCATTATTTTCATAAATTCATCATTTTGAAATTTGAATTATGAGTTTGAAAAGTTGTTTATTTTATCTCAAACATATTGATTTCGCATAAACATGAAGATTCTCAAACGCGAGAATATGAAAAATACTATAATTCATTCTTTTTTCATTTTGAAAATTTGAATTATCGATTTGAAAATAAATCCCACCAGGACCCATGTATAATGAAAAATTTATTATTTCATCTAGCCGAAGTTACTACTAAATTTTTTTCAATCATCAAAAATGTTCCTTTCATATTCTTCCCATCGGTCTAAGAAATCACAAAATTTTCCGCGAATTTAAAAAAAATTCAATTTTCGAAAAAAGAATAAACATGGAGATTCTCAACCGCGAGAATATAAAAAATACGATAGCTCATTCTTTTTTAATTTTGAAAATTGAATTATCGATTTGAAAATAAATTCCACAAGCGCCCATGTAAAATACAAAATTTGTTGATTTCATTTCGTCAAAGCTGCTACCTTCAACTAATTGTCCTCAATCATAAAAAATGTTGATTTTACCCATGTCCCCAGTGATCTAACAAATTACACAAATTTTCTGGAACAAAAAAAAGTAATTCTCAAAAAATGAACAAACATGGAGATTCTCAAACGCGAGAATATAAAAAATACGATAGCTCATTCTTTTTTAATTTTGAAAATTGAATTATCGATTTGAAAATAAATTCCACAAGCGCCCATGTAAAATACAAAATTTGTTGATTTCATTTCGTCAAAGCTGCTACCTTCAACTAATTCTCCTCAATCATCAAAAATGTTGATTTTACACATGTCCCCAGTGATCTAACAAACTACATAAATTTCCTCGACCAAAAAAAAGTAATTCTCAAAAAATGAACAAACATGGAGATTCTCAAACGCGAGAATATAAAAAATACGATAGCTCATTCTTTTTTAATTTTGAAAATTGAATTATCGATTTGAAAATAAATTCCACAAGCGCCCATGTAAAATACAAAATTTGTTGATTTCATTTCGTCAAAGCTGCTACCTTCAACTAATTGTCCTCAATCATCAAAAATGTTGATTTTACACATGTCCCCAGTGATCTAACAAATTACACAAATTTCCTCGACCAAAAAAAGTAATTCTCAAAAAATGAACAAACATGGAGATTCTCAAACGCGAATATAAAAAATACGATAGATCGTTCTTTTTTCATTTTGAAAGTTGAATTATCGATTTGAAAATAAATTTCGAATTTCCTCGAACAAAAAAAACATTCTCAGAAAATTAAAAAAACATTCTCAAACGAAAAATTCAAAAAAACTCAATCTCATTAAAGTAGTACCTATCGATCTAACGTTATTGGTGACTCACCACGATAATTGGAGCGTTGGTATTGGCTCCAAAATGACAAGTTTGAAAAATGTGGCTGAGATACGAGGAGCAGGCAGCGAGTACAAAGCGATGAGCAGCAACATGACGTCCGCACGATGTAGCAAGTAAAACATCGGCAAAGGACTCTGAGTGCAGAAGTGTCGCCACAGAACTGTGGAGATGAGCCCCATAACTGTGCCACTTGAGCTGATAATTCTCCGATGCAGCGATCGCCATTTTTTCTAGTGTTTCAAAAACATTTAACAATTTATTCACTGTGTAGGGGAGATTGCGGTAAAACGGACACTTTTGACTTTTTTAAAATGTCAATAAAGGGTTTAAATGTTGGTATAATTTAATTTTTTTTTTCAATACAAAGAACAATTCTTTCCCTTTGTAACGAGCCTAAACTGAGCTCAATTGATCAATTTGTTTCTGAGTTATGAATCATTAACAAAAAGTCTGAAGTGTCCGTTTTCCCCCCCCCCCCTTCCTAAAACGACTGGCAAAACTAACTGGGCATTGAATGTTAATGCAAGCGTACGTTGGACCGCTGAGAAATCACGCGCCTCGACTCTATTGTTCCCGCAATCGATCCAAAAACCCACGTTTCGAAAAGCCCCCATGGTACTCCCCTCCCCCCTTCCGCCCTATTCAAGACACCATTGATTCTCATTCGCGTATGGACACTCAAAGTTGGCGCCGAAACACGATCCCATCCTGCGAAAGCAATAAACATCCGTTTCCCTCGAAAATCGGCAAAGAACAGTGCAATCGTCATTAAATTGCATTAAGGATATCCAAGTATTTTTTGCAGTTTGATGCGGACCGCACTATACGTTGACAGAACAAATTATTTCTATTGAGATGTCTCTTTCTTGGAACAAGTGAGGTATTGGAAAAAATTTGGACAAAAAACATTCTTATAGATGGTGAAAAATGGAAAATTTTGATCCCTAATAAATCGAAATCGGATGAATAGAACTCGAGTTATTATGAAAAAACGAACAATTTGAAAAAAAAAATATCTCCGAACTGGGCTGTCAAAAAAATCTTTAAAAAATTTGAGAGATAGTTTTTCAAGCCCGCCAATCGTAGAAAAAATCGCCATCAATTTTCAAGAGGGTGAGGGTCAGCCGTTGACTCAATTCTTGGACCAATTTCAAACAAATAAGATCTTACGGTGAATATCAATTATTTCTTCTTGAGATACATTTACTTGAATCAAATGAAACAGTCGTTGGCGTCGAGTTACATGTATTCACCACAAAAATGGAAAAGTTCTATTTTTTTTAACCTAATATAATCTCAAGTCGAGAAATTTTCTACTTTCATGAATTGATGAAAAATTCGTACCTAGGAGATGATTACATTGAGGAATGAATTGAATGTTGTTTTCTCGAATGACGCCGATGTTTAAATTGAGCTTTCCGTGCATCACGTTGAACGAAGTTTGTGATATCCAAGTTTGTGTTGAATTGCCGTAATCTGTGATTCTGTTATTGTAAACTAATGCGATTTTTTTAGTCAAGAAATATAAACTTCTNTTCAGGGATTATCTAATCTCGGGGAATACTACCATCCCTGTAAATTTGAACGAAATCGGAGGGGGGGGAGTGATACTATATATTTACCACTTCGCTAAACTTCTTTCAACTCAACGACCTCTTACTACAATCTCAAAGCTTTTTCCGCGTAACAATATTCATCCTGATTCGACATACGGAATGCTCTCTTCAATTATAATTTACTTGGAACGACGTATGATCGTGTTGATTGAGATAACA